ATGACCGGGGCCGGGTTATGGGGCTGACGGTTGAGGTCCGTTTGGGTAGAATTAAAGGTTAAGGATAGGACACGAACGTAATTAAGCATTAATCATGTGTTATTAATCATTTGTAGGATACCTCTCACCAAATTCCGCACAATTCGCTCACAATTAAAGGAAATAAATTTGTCGGAAAAAGATGTAAGCGAAAAATCTATGAATTCAAAATACCACATTAACAGTCGTGCCGGACCTGAGGAACAGCTTAACAATTACATGGATGCTCAGTACTACGGACCAATCACAATTGGAACTCCACCACAAGACTTTAATGTCGTCTTCGATACAGGATCGTCTAATCTCTGGGTGCCTTCTAAAAAGTGCAAATTGACCAATATTGCCTGTTGTACGTATTCTAGATTTTTGTCTTCAGTTTATTTCTAAATATAACTTCCTCATAAGTCTGCATTGTGTTCAAAATATTATTATATCTTAAATGTATGGTGGTATTTTGGAGTAAATCGAACCCCAATTTAGGCGCTGTTACACAGGGCAATTTTTCTTGTAACTTGCAATGCAATTCTACGTTGAGGAGATGTTAATTAGTGAAGAATCTTTAAAATGTAAGTGTAAGAAACGTCCATGGAATAGATGTATAAACACAAACGTAGTTGGCAAATTAACATCTATCAAAAGTAGAATTACATTGCAACTAGCCTTTCTCACGATGACGTTTTTGGGGACTTTCAATTTTTTCAAACGTGTTTAAAAAGTTATGACAACATGAAAATCAGTTTTTTTAGAATCAACAGACCATTTTAAGAATACTGTAACTCCAGCCTAAAATTAAAGACTGTGGCCGTTATGTCTCACGCTTGTGGTTTTAAAAAAAAAGTACGGTACCCGAAAAATGGTGGCATATTCGTCCTCGTGAGGCTGGCTATATATTATATCAGCCCCGTTTACACTATACTCAATTTATTGGTGCGGCACAGGTAAAGTGGGCTCCCTTTAACACATTTCAATCAATCATATTTCATTGTCCTCCAGTGCTTCACAACAAGTATGACAGTTCAAAATCGAGCACCTACAAGGCGAATGGTAAGAACTTTTCAATTCATTATGGTTCCGGAAGCTTGACTGGATTTCTTAGTACAGATGTCGTAGAGGTGAGTAATGTAAAACATACATGCATACGTACAGCTGGGCTCGAAATAACGACGCAGATATCTCCGATCTAAGTGAACGATCAACTTTTATCTCCGCTTTCGATTGTAAAATCAGTAAAATCAGTTTTCGATTGTTCACCTCACATTTTCCGCTTGATTTTCTTTTCATGGACCGTAGCGCATTTCCCTCCATACCGGTCACAATTTATAGGAAAATCCAGCGAAAAATCTTGTACATTATTCTAGTCCGTATTTGGAACCACAAAAATTGTTTTGAATTTTTTAAGGTCGGATCAATGAAAGTGGAAAATCAGACATTTGCTGAAGCTATATCTGAACCTGGTATGGCTTTTGTTGCTGCTAGATTTGATGGGATTCTTGGCATGGGTTATAACACCATATCCGTCGACCAAGTTCCTACTGTGTTTACTGATATGGTTGCTCAGAAACTCGTTAAGAAGGCTGTATTTTCATTTTACCTCAACAGGTTTGTGTTTTGTTATGTGCATGCATAGTTAATCCACATCATTCAAAAGCAATGCAATAGATATACGAACCTGACTTCCACCTTTCCACCCTTGACAGTTTGTACTTAATTATTGGTAGCTTTATTGGAATGAAACTTTACAAGCTGTTTTACTCGACCTTCTGCCACAAAGGTTTCTGCCGCGCGCGGACTTTACAAGGGCCTTCAAGTTTTTAACTTATTTTTGAATTAAAGGTTGAACAACGTTTAAGCTGTTACAATTCTCTCGCGAATTCACACATTTGTTTCATTTTTTTGAAAAGATAGGTATTGTACCTAGAGACTAGAGAGGGGGGGATAGATAGCGGTATTGTACCTAGAGACTAGAGAGGGGGGATAGATAGCCCTGTTTTACAAATTTACTTGAGCTCAGGCTACCTGTACTAAAGCCGAACAAATGGAATTCGTACAGACTCCTATTACGGTGCCGTGCCAAAAATCTGAATTTAATTTCTCGGTAAAGACATTTAGTTCAATGGTAAAGACCGAGCAAGCGAGGTTAATAAAAAGTTTATTATATGGCATAGGGCATGTATTTGAACTTAAAACAAACAAGAAATGCATGAATTCGTACTAGTAGCCTGGTACGCATTTGATAAAAACAAAAAATATTGAATTATTTACTTTACCTAGACTGTCTGGAGACGTCTTATTAATTTCAAAAGCAGTTAAATTTCTGGGGCTGGTTGTATAAAGCCCGTTTAGCTTAAACGGTGGATAAGTCAAAATCAAATAACACTCTTACAACTCTCTTGAATGAGTCAATGTGAATATTATGCACTGAATATGTAGTTTTAAACAGTATCTTTGTATTAAGGTAAAAAACATTTAGTTTGCCTGTTAAATAAAACCACAGACTTGCTTTCTGTTTTGAACTTATCCACCATTTAAGCTAAACGGGCTTATACAACCGGCCCCTGAGCATTTACTTGTGCCTTTTTCATTCAGAATTTCTTTGTTTTTCATCTTGTAATGAATCGCGGTTAACGCCGGTCCAATATGGGAAAGTTTCGGTCCAGTACGGGAAAGCAATGGACCACTGGAAATTCTTCTCAGCCAATCACTGAGTTATATTTTTCTGGAGGTGAAACTTGCCATATAATAAGGACAGTTTATTTCCGAAATATGCTTTCTAGCGGTCAGCCTAAATTCTCACGTGTCACGTCGATCACTAGGAAACTTTCATGAAATGACCTGCACAGATATGATTCTGTTTTTATTTAGAAAAGAAGGTCAGTCTCCAGGCGGGGAGCTGCTGTTAGGCGGCAGTGATCCTGCACACTACAGCGGGGAGTTCACTTATGTTCCTGTTACCAAAAAGGGATATTGGCAGTTCAAGATGGATTCTTTAAATCTTGTTGGTGGTTCTGGTGGTGAATTCTGTAAGGGTGGCTGCCAGGCTATTGCTGATACAGGCACGTCCTTGATTGCTGGGCCATCCCAAGAAATAAAGGAATTGAACGCAAAAATTGGTGCCATTCCTGCACCAATTGGTGGAGCGGTATGGTTTATAAATTTTCATCTACAGGGTGTTTCGATAGACCCAGTACTTCAGAGGAAAAATGAGCATGTTTATTCATAGTTCTGCCTGACGGATTTCTTTTTTATATAAAGATGCTCTATCTGAACATGTTGTATATATGATTCATATTTAGTATGGATGTATATTTTCTATTATAGTACATCATTGATTGTATTTTCTATTATAGTACATCATTGATTGTATTTTCTATTATAGTACATCATTGATTGTTCGAAAATCGACTCACTGCCAGACGTATCAATCAATCTTGGTGGTAAGAGTTTCAAGCTAACTGGATCACAGTACGTAATCAAGGTAAGCATGCGAAGTGCATGTATCAGTGTTTGCTGCATAGCGCGATTGGGTTGCTTCCCATTTTCAGTGCTTGGTCGCGCATGCACTATTATTTATTGGGGCTTCGTACAGACAGAAAATGGTCTCGTACAGACAAAAAATGCATAGATTAGGCAATCAAGGGCGTTTGGACTGGATGTTGCTTATTCTCGTCCGCGAGAGCAACTACTTAAATCATAGGCAGCCCGGTCAATGCAGTTACATCATACTCTTATGTATATAGATAATATGACGTAACCGCGTTGGCAAGGGTGCCTATGCTTACATATAGCTGCTGTTTGACTGCATGGGGAGGCTCACCGCCCAACAGTCGTTCTTTTCATAAAAGTGAAGATTGACCCCCAAATAAAATAACAATTTCAATCCGTTTTTAACGTATATATGTGTTTTGACTAATGGCAATTTTGCTTTTAGGAAACTATTCTTGGGCAAACTGAATGTCTCAGCGGATTCATGGGCCTTGATGTTCCACCACCTATGGGACCGATTTGGATCTTAGGGGATGTCTTTATTGGTCCCTATTATACCGAGTTTGACATGGAGGCGGACCGAGTCGGATTCGCTAAAGCTACTTAAACAGACACGTTGGGATGGGAAACGCTGGGAAACCTAATAATTTTTAGTCTAATTGAAGTATAATAGTTTCGTAATTTTGCACGGCAGATACCACTACATCAACCTGGGTTCACAGACCGAATGATATGTTTTGCAGTATATACCAACAAACGTATGTTGGTGCAATAATCATACAATTGTAAGTAATTGAAGCTTTGTAAGAAAATACAGGGTGTCTCAAAAAAAACGCAAAACTTAAATATGCAGAACATTAATACAGCTCTAAAGCGCAATAGAGACACACCTCTGGGAATTGAAAATGGCTCTTAATCCTTCATTTACAATGCTAAAAGTCATTTTAGCTGAACTATGGTGCAAACCCGAACAATATTAATATTTTTGCATATTTAAGTGGTTGCGTTTTTTTTGAGACACCCTGTATAGTGGTTGTATGTTGCTTTTGCCTTACAATGAATTCAATATTTCAGTGGATATAAAAATATTATAATTAGTATAAGATAAAATAGGGCGGTGATAAATCATTCTTAATAAAATCAACCGTTACTCCGCGTAAAAGAAAAAAAGTCTGGAACCATATTTGGAGGCAAGTAAACCATCTATATGCAACCAGCGGTTCATATCCAGTTATGCAGCGCAAAAAAAATTTGCCACTACACTCCGTGCAACTAACTTACTCCCTGATTAAAATGAGCGAGGGAGAGGGGCCTCAAATTCGAATTCTCACAATTGAAAAGAAAACCATGCGAAAAATTTCGTTCGATCGTAAAACTCAGCCTAGTCCAAAAACGATGTTGTATTCATTTCATTCCACCATGATCTTCATCGAACGATGGACAGTCTAAAAACTTGGACTAAACCTCAATGCAAATTTCAATAGTTATATTTAGATTCTCAAAGAGAATTGTCATCAGCGGGTAGGGCAAACCAATTCAGCACGAGCGGAACATCAACACGATTTACAACATTTACAATTGTTCAACATCCTGGCGTCAAGATTTATGTATTCAAGTAACCCTTGGTCCACGTAATTCTACACGATCTTTCATATCGAACAAGCATTCATATATTACACGAACGAAATACATTATTTAATTATTTACTGAAGTACACATGCTTTCTTTATTTCATTATCAATCTCATCCTCGTCATTTGAGCAATCTGGATTGCGGTCGTGAATGTCGGGTTGAAAGTTTTTATGGTCCATACCAACACGCTCGTAAAATAACAAATATGGCGATTCCTTTTCGACCCGATCTGGGCTGGTCTCCTGAAAAATATCCACACGAATTAGTCATTGGAACATAAGTACCGCAGATCAACAAGTTGTCAGGAACTGAATTATTGTTTTTATGCCATTCGCAATAAAACCAATCAAGTAGGTTTGCGGCCAAAATTTAACGCATTATTATTGGGTTTTGGCCCTAGTTGAAAGTTAAATTAACGCTGGTTTAGCAAAAATGATTTAACAGAACCGTTCACGTAAATGGTGACATAACAAAGTAGAAAAATAAAGGGACAAAATGAAACCTTTACTTCTTTAAAGATTTTGGTTTTCTACACTGATTTCCATTTGGATTACTAGAGAAACACACTATTATAGAGCACTATTATCATAACATAGCATGTATGCAAATACCCCATGGGAAAGAACAACATCCATGTATTCTATTAATTCAGTAAGGATACTACTCTTACAAACATATTCTATCGTCTCTATTAAAATCAACTGCTTATTAGGTGTACTAACCTTGCAACTGCTGTCATTAAAACAATACCACTTCGAGTTCGGATTTTTCGAAAAAGAAACATAATGACCACCTCCCATCACGCCTGTGTGACTCTAAAAGAATAGTTGGACATATTTTTAGGTAGAGAACTTGAATATTTTAGAGGCCACAGCTTTAGAAAAAAGTAAAGGAAATGTTTCAGAAACCCAAAATTTCAAATATTCCAAGAGGGAGATGAACTCGTCATTGAATTCAACAGAACAACGTTTGATTAAGGAGTGCAATTGGTGATGACCTTATATATTTGATAACGCTCCTATTTCAAACGAAAACAAGCATCTTTCACAACTTAGAATGAGATTTCAAAGACGTTACGTAAAGGGTATTCAATCAATTTCCAAATGTCTTGGGGTGTGTTCGGCAAAGGACTCCGTTTGATCATTTAATTCTCCCTCACCCCCTAACCAATCCTGCACATTGCATCAACAAAACTATAAAATATCACTTAAGTTTCTCTTTGTTAAAAAATACAGAAAAATCTGGAGGTTTTAGGGGTTGATGATCTTTTTGTTCAAGCCCCATGCATGCTCTTATTCGGAATATAAAGAAAGTTCATGTACTTACAGATATGGTATATAAATTGTACAACATTCGTGACGTATCGTTTTCATTATCGCCTTTCACGTTCTTTTCGGCAATACCAGAAGATTCCACGTCAAAAGTATCTACACTATTTATTGCGACACAGTTGACATCACTTGTCTTACTTGAGGATGAACAACTGGACGTGTCATCGAAATCAGTCTTTACAGGTGCCTGGTCATAATGATTATCTTTCTTACAGTCTTCACTCGAACCGTTCTTCCCTCTTGTTTCACTCGAAGTTTTATCAAGCGCGCGGACTTTGTCAGAGTTTCCATCAACGGAATGTTTTTCTGCACAGCAAGGATGTTTGCCCTCCTTTAAATGTCTTTCAGAGTATTTCTCCGTGGCTGATTGCGATGAGCAGTCAGAATCTTCATTGATATCAGGAATACCCCCGGTTACAACACACGACTCGTTACTGGAATAACCCGAAGAATTCGACGACAAGCCTGAATCACTGGATTCTTTGTGCTGCCGTTCTGAGATTAAATGATTCTAGAGAGAATACGCAGATAGGTATGGTTTAGAGTTCAGAGTTCTCAAAAGAACTTTTTAAACAAAACAGGACTCTCGTGAAATAGTTTGCATGCAGTAGTAAAAGTTCCTGCACGTGGGAAATTGAAAATAAATGATGAGACGAATTCGTACCTTGTCGCAATCTGTTTCAAGAACCACTGGACATCCAGATTCTTTACCATGCTCCAAGATTTCTTCGGCTGCTGTTTGAACGTTCACTGTTCTTACAAATGTACTATCCTCGCACACATTACTCGTCGTTGTCCGTTTTACGACGAATTCCGATGGATCAAATGTCTCCATTGGAAAATTTACGATTTTGTTCGACTTCACCCACCGTCCGTTCATAAATTGAAATCGTTTCAAGTGTATTATCTTGAAGTGGGAGAAAATACAGAATAGTGTTAACAATGGTTTGAGATATTTTCACAAGGGCGATTCCATAGCTTATTATATAAGCTTGAAGAATTACTCGACGCTCATTGGTTGAGAGGAGAACAGTTATTTCAAATAGTGGAAAGGTATTTGTGTCCAACTTAAAAAGTTTGGCAGGATAAGAAACAACCGTGTTTGCATTGAAAATTATGTCCAAAAGATCTCGATGAAGAGCTTCAAAATTTTTACTATATTATCAATGCTTATAATAAACAAATAATAATCATGCGATGATGCTTGTACATGGCTGGACTATTCAGCAGAAATAACACATCTTGGAGACACTTTGTCAAAATGAGGTAGGGCGAAGAAAGTCGTTACACCAAAACTAGTTAATTTTGAGAAGTTTATCTAACATCAGACTATAGACTCTGTTAGAATATTCATACCAATATCGGAGGTAAGCTCCAGATATCCAACTTTTTACTTGCTAATTGATGTTTCTTACATTTGGAACAATACCTATAGGTATACAAGAGATAATGAATCATTTGTAGATATTAGGTAGATATTAGGTAGATATTAGGGGCCGGTTAGCACATGGCTAAAAACTCTGATCCTGCGGTTTAACAGCATGGAGCAATGTTGTGCTGACAATATTGCTTACAACATTAAACAATATTGTGGACAAAGTGAACAGGGTGTAGCAATATTGTTCAATGTCGATCACAACCTTGAAGAATGTGGGCAGCACAACATTGTTTCATCCCATTATTATCAATATTGCATCAACCTGATCGTTTTTTTCGACCAGTTAATTTTTAACTATAATGGCAGAATTGGCTTTGTATTTTCGAGATAACTACTCAAAACCTAGTTATAGTAGAAAGAAAAAATTATTTCCATGGCTGCTCGAAAAATATTTTCTCGCCAACTGAGATAAATCTATCCCCATATATGAAATGGTTCTATTCACAAGATCTTCAGTAGTTTTCCTTATGCATTACTACCTACCACAATTCATCTTCTCCTAATTCTTCCTCTTTTGTGAACGCTTTAAAACATTCATAAAGGTCGATGGGTTCCGTCTGAAGACGACGACTTTGCTCGACACTTGCGTGTTCCGTGAACACCTGAGAGAATTATAAATTCGAAATTGAATTCAAAATGAAACCTTTGAGTCGATTGGTGTCACAATCTGTGATATAAGTACCTATCATATACAAACTCATCAGACAGAAATACACAATTTAAAGCTGTTCAGCATATATGTTCAACTAATTTGAAGCCACCATTAGACTATGATATGACCAATGAAAGCATGGACCCAGGATCATTGTATGTTTCGGATAATTTCCTTCCAAGTTATTATTTTTATATAAGATAGCTTAGTACATATCTTTTCTCTTGAAACTGAGATAAGGTGACATTTTATTTGTATTTTTTGCGTGTATTCTGTTATTTGCAAGAACGTGAACAACCCACACTCACTTCTCTTGAGATATTGCTTCTTTCTTGACAAATTTAAGTAAAACTTAAAAATGTCCTATAGCACAGAGCGTCAGCATTTAACATTAATTAAAAATTCTACTATTTCCCACTCAAAAATATCAGAAAATAGCCAAAAAAACATAAATTCAGTTTGGCCGCGCACGTAGGAAGTCTGGGGTGTCCTCCAATAGCTCCTTCAGTTTCCGCCATCTTTGGCTTCACTTGAACATTAGCCAAATGAGCGAAGTTACTACACCATACATATATAGAGCTCCCTGGTCGCTTCAAGGAAATCGATTCGGCATCAGAGGATTTAAATATAATTTGCTACAAACAGCGACTGTTTCAGAAATGCATTCAGCGTATTTACATTCTTACCTTTTCTTGCGATGACTGATATCTTAAATGTAACGTGGTGGGCTCCCACTCAATGGCAAGATATTGACAATTGCAGTTAAACTGTTCATCATTGCATTCTATAGTACAACCGCGACAGAACCTAAACATTTACACAAAGCATATATTACTGACGAAAACCAATTTCGGTGATTTACCCACACTGCAGCAGAGTTTCCACAACTTATTTGCATATGAATGTCCTCAAAGGGGGATAGAAATGACAAATGAGAGAGACTAAGAACTTTTGGAAAGAAATACATAATATATCCTATATTAATCCTTCGTTGAAATATACTTACTTAAACCAAGGGCACAAAGCGCACGAAAGACCACTTTCAGTGACGACCTTCAACTCGAAAGGATATCCATTCTGCCTACGAATACAATGATGTGTATGAAAAGATTCATAGAGAATACAAACAAATAAACAACGCATTATTATATAGAAGAAGGAGTAGAAACAGGTTTAAAAACGCGAGTAAAACTCGCGGTTAGGAGAAGGAGTAGAAACAGGTTTGAAAACACGAGTAAAACTCGCGGTAGGAGAAGGAGTAGAAACAGGTTTAAAAACACGAGTAAAACTCGCGGTTAGGAGAAGGAGTAGAAACAGGTTTAAAAACATGAGTAAAACTCGCGGTTAGGAGAAGGAAAAGAAAAAGGTTTAAAAACATGAGTAAAACTCGCGAGACCACCACTGTTTTCTCGTGGGACGTATAAACATACCTGTTAGACGATAGTTCATCTCCAGGCGATGGGACACTAACGAACCGTGATATTTGCTGCCAAACACTTAAATATAACTCGCTGTTCTTAGTGCCTGGAATACAAGGAATGATGAGGGGACAACCAAACAAACTTGGACGATTCTTTTGAGGTGCTATGAAATAAACATCCATCCTCATCTAAAAACAAACATGTGTATTTTTTGAAATGGTATTCGTAAATACTTCCGAAATTCTTGGAAGTATAAACATGCGTTTTTTAGTGGGAGCCGAGGTTCATCACTTCATCAGCCCAGCGCGGGCTGGTGGCGTATGCATACAACGTGCGTTTTGCACCGCGATGACCAATCTAGTGGCTGTATAGCGGAAGCCGTAAACGTAAGCGTTGCCAAATGTAAAGCTGAACATCTGGTTTACTGACTCGTAGGATTAATGCAGTATACGCAAACAAAACTAGTATATATTGTTGTATTTACCAGTTTTCGATGAAGTCCTATCAAATATCCGCAAGTCTGGCCAGCCAAATGTATTCCAGTATGCACTGAATTTCCGGAATTCGCCGATGAAATGCTTGTATTTCGCGAGTGACCAGGAGTTGATTGAACACTGGCAGACGGTTGACCAGAGTAGGAAGACAACTCCACCGTCGTATTCCCGGCTTCTGTCGTATTCCAATGGTTCGCCGATTTCTTACCGGTGAGTTTCCGCATAAACCTGGGACTTAATTGTTTTAATAATCCTACGTTGTTTCTCTTAGACACTTCGGAACCGACTTCTATAGTGTCTTCATCGTCGTCCGAGGTTTGTCGACTAAGACAGGGTAGTTTTAGCGTCCCACTATAGCTTCTCTCGCTGCTACTCCGACTAGGACTTCGTACGAGTTCAGCGCGACGAGTATCACAAGGGTGACTTTCAGAGCGTTTCGTGTCAGAGGAGTTCGTGTCACATCCATCGTTGTCGTTATGGCCGGATATGCAACCCTCTGTACTTAAATTTTCGGAAGCTTCACCAGAGGATACAAGTGCTATGTTCGGAGGCGAATTCTCCACAACTACCGGTGGGGTAGGAATCTCGAATGCGTACAAGATCCCTGATAGGCTTGAACGAACTTTTTGACTATCCAAAGGTTGACCCTGCATGCAAAAGACACAGAAAATTTGTTAAAACAATCGTGTATTTACGACACGATTGAATAATTTATAAAAATATTAGCGATCGCTACAAGTTCCGTGATCAATGACATATTTTTGCGGAAAATATTTTAGCGAAGAAAAGCAAAGTTTATGGTAAAATAAAACAATAATAGAGTGGTTTCGCTAAGGGGACACCTTGTGCTTCCTTTTTACCTTAATAGATGCACCAAGTAGCTCAGCCATTAAAAGTTGACTGGGAGTTAAAGAACAAAGTTTCGCCAGCTGTTTTTTAACATCTTGTAGTTGTCGTCTGTGTTTAACAGTAAACCATATTTAATCGGAACAGAACCATCGAGAGTGACAACTATAAAAAAAGAAGACAATAATCTTATATTTGTTCTATTCGCATCGTTGTGTTCTAGACTGCCACACGAAACACACCAACAGAAGTAAATTGCTTCCAACAAAATTGGATCATGTGAAGAGGCCGTTTACACTTGCGATGTTCTTCTTTTGATAGATGTGAACAAGTAATAAGTCACAAGTACTCTGAAGTGTACGAGCTCCTATTTGAACATCAGTAACTAATTCACTCGTTCACATCTATCAAAAGAAGACGTTCGCACATAAAATCGCAGCAAAAATTTCAAGTGTGAACAGGCCTTATGTTTCAATATATTTCAACCACTCACCAATACATTCGACATAGATAGAGTTATCCATAGGAATCGGCAGGGACAAGAAGGTGTATGGATCAAAACGAACGCTGATGTGACTGCATTGTAAACATCGTACACAACTTTTTAACTACAAGAAAACCCAAGAAAAAATAAGTTAGAAATGAGGGGCCGGTAGTATCAAGCCCGTTTAGCTTAAACGGTGAATAAGTCAAAATTAAATGACACTCCTACATCTCTCTTGAATGAGTCAACTTGAATATTATGCACTGAATATGTAGTTGTAAACAGTATCTTTGTATTAACGTCAAAAACATTTAGTTCGTTTGTTGAATAAAACGGCAGACTTGCTTTCTATTTTAAACTTATCCACCGTATAAGCTAAACGGGCTTGATACAACCGGCCCCAGCTAAAGCAGCTTCCAAGCGTTAAATTGCAAACTTTTATGGAATTACGTTGCCCGTATCACGCAGTCTCAATCTAAATAGGTCCGTTTACACTTGCAATTTTTTCTGCGATTTTTTCCTATTTATAATTGTGAATCAGAAAATTATTTACGGATTTTGAATACGAGTTCTTATGCAATCAGAGCGTTCGTAACTAATTAGTCGTTCACATCTATCAAAGACGAAAGTCACAGATTGCAAGTGTAAACGCAGATCTTGTGATGTAGGAATTGTGTTGCCAGTTGGAAAAAGTACCTGGCCTTGGAATAAATCCACGACGATCGATTTATTTCTTTTAAGGTGATTATCCCACGCCTGAATGTAAAATGAGATAAAATATGGTAAATGTGCATTGCAGGCCACAGAATCATGCTCCTTGATGGATCTCCCTTCATCTGCATTAGTTATTTAGGTTATATTCAGGCTTAGTAACTGTCGAATAGACGTTTCTTATAATGACGTCAAACGCGAAAAGTGTGATGTTACACGAAATTTGATTGGCTCCACAAAACTATCGAGCCAATCAAACTTCGTGTAACATTATACTTTCCGCGTTTGACGTCATGAAATTCGACGTAATAACACATGATGGGGGTAATAATACACGGAGGTATACCATATTAAGTCTATTATAGACTAAAAAAAGGCCTCTAAATATTTTTAGCTTTTCTCTTGTGGTATAAGCATACGATTTTTACTCAGTTGCTCCATTTAAAAATTGCCGACTGTCTCGCCTCAGTTGCGCGCGGGTTGCCACGCGTGGGAACACGAACAGTAATACAACACTGTAGCAATTACCCCCAGGATCATCGTGATAATAAGGATAGAAACATAATTGAAATATTAAACATAATTGAAATATAGAACGTTCTCTGGTTGAAATATTAATTGAAATATAGAACGTTCTCTGGTTGAAATATTTCAACCAGAGAACGTTCTACATTTCAATTATAATAAGGATAGTTTGAAAGGTTATTAAACCCTGAGAATTGTGCTAAAGATAAAATGAAATTCTCCGTGAAGCATATTAAAACACACCTCCTTTGCAACCTCTTTATCAGGTCGGCCATCACTATCTTTCAATTCAACATAAGGCTTGCTATGAACTCTAATAACAAAAAATTAAAACATAGGAACCTTAAAAATTTTCCTCTCAGTCTGATAATTGTGTGTGTTAAGCTGATTTTTCATAACTTGACAGGTTGGCCATGCTCAGGGCAGCACCATCGAAATAAAGTTTACCTGTTAAGATCTTCATGCAAACCATCAAGTAGAAATGCCAAGAATTCCTATACCAAATCAGAGAAAGACGTCTTAAAGATCACGCCTTTAAATACGAACACTAAATCGAATTCATTCAGTGAAAATAAAAGACCTTCTTCAAAACAGTGTCAATACTAAAAATATTCTTCGCTGTTATATTTGAAAGACAGCGACTTTGTCTTAACAAAACATATCAAAATAATATACAACCAAACCAACCAACCAACAAAACAACCAAGGAGCAGCGTGGCAGCGTCTTCAAACAACTTAGCATCAAATGTGGTATAACAACTGCCTAAATAGACAAAGCAATTCTCGACGTTTCGACCTGAGGGCCTTCGGCAGGAGAGTTAGTGGATGAACTCTCCTCACTAACTCTTCTGACGAAGGCCCTCAGGTCGAAACGTCGAGTAGTGTTTTGTCTATTTAGGCAGTTGTCATACCACATTTGATGCTAATATACAATCAGTTGAAATGCCTCATTGTTATTGCTGATGAATTTAGCACATAAAAATCACGTTTCACTTGTCTTAGACGTTGAACTGGTCTTAAATTCTATTCTGCCTGCACCCAATTACTGCGTTCCTACAATTAAATGAGTGTTACTTCACCTGAGAATCTTGTTGTTGAAAACCGTTAAAACGAGGCGCATACCGGCCAATCGTCCACTAAAAGGGTAACAACAAACAGCGAAGAAAGAGTTAGTCGAGAATACTCCCAGTTCATTTCACTAGATTGTGCACCAGCGTACTTACCCTTAATCTTAAGGGTGCAATTGATCTATAACTGGTGCTCCACAGATCTTGTACCACCTCTCCATATCGTTTGGCTATATTACCTTTCATGCCAAGTGGGTTTGTTCTTCAAGAGAATATCACATTTTCAGTAAAACCAAACACAAAAAAGAACTTCTTGAAGTAGCAATATCTAGTTTCTTAACTCAGCTGTAAGAAGCCGACAGTTTCTCAATTAAACTGTAAGAAACACTTCCTAAACTCGAACGAGAAACGGTTTCTTAACCCGAGTGTGAGAAACACTTTTTAACTCGAATATGAGGAACAGATTATTATTTAGAATATGAGGAACAGATTATTAATTAGAATGTGGGAAACAGAAATGGTTTCTTAACTTGAATGTGGGAAAAAGTTTTTTAATTCAAATCTGGTAAACGGTTTTTCAAATCAAGTTGGGAGGCAGTTTCTTAAAAACTCGAACGTGGGGAAAAGGTCCTTAGCTCGACTGTACGTAAAAATTTCTCAGCTCTTTAGCTGCAGAAAAACATTTGTTAGGAGCAATTTCTCAACTCAGCGCTAAGAGTAGTTTCTCCTAACTCAGGTATACGAAGGTATTTCTTAACTCGACTACGGAGCGAGAGACGTTTCTTATCTCAAATGTAAATACCATCGCTCTTGGGACTTACTTATTCAATTCGTAAAGGTGATAGCGATCCGTGAAATAGTTGGTCAGCGGTACTGTATTACTCATACACTGGATTGCTGAATTCATGAAACACGTATTTCCAAGATTACTTAAGCCAGTCATACCCCTGCCTAAACAAAAAACGACAGAATGCTATCTACAATATCAGGGAAAACAGAATATTAATTAGGGATTTTAAGAATGTAGGACGCGAATGCGACGACGACATCATATGACATTGAAAACCTTGGGTTTCCGCTTAGGAACAACTCTATGGAGTCCAATTTCTTGTCATTGCAATTAACTGTATTTTACAGCCAAAATACCTAGGATGATCATTCTCAAACACGCGGTGAAACTAAAATCAAGCTTGTGTTGACACGAATTTAGCCAGAGTTGCAAAAAAGCTGCGGGTACGCGGGTACTACCGGCAGGAATGTTTGCTTTGAATGAAGTTTGCGAGGAAGGTTCAAATTTGAATACTCTAATTGATCACATGCATGTAAAAAAGCCAAATATTTCTTTATGCTGGTTGCAACTTGACTCAGTGACGTACCGCCATTTTGAAGTAGGTTTTCAGAACTTGAAATCCTGCCGGAGGAAGGTTCAACTCTTTTTGCAACTCTGTAGTCATATCTGAGATTTGAGTTTAGTAATAAGGGAAGTTTGTGAAATGGTTAACACTGATATTTATTGATATATACTGTTAACACTCGAAAGGTTGAACTCTTTTTGCAACTCTGAATTTAGCGAAATTTTAACCGCAAATTATCAAATGACGGTGATGTTAAGGCGGTTCTACAGCAAAAACAGCGAGCTTTCTACAGCAAAAACAATTGACTTATTGAAACCTCGCGTTCACATTTTGAATTGTGTTAGAGGCGATTCACTCACCATGCGGTCGTTTGTCCTGAATTGCTTTATTTAACGCCAATGACGTCATTTCCTCAGGCCAACTCATATCACGATTACGAACTACATAAATTAGAACAAGGATTTTAGCTTAGTTAGACGAGGTCGAACTTTTAACTATAGCTCACGAAGAACACTATTACCCTCCCTACACCAAGTACATCCTTACACACGAGCTTGTGAGATGTGTGAAAAACACGAAGTCAAATTATATTAATACATTTTAGCAAACGGTCTGCTTGTTACGCCATTGCAATTCCCAGTTCACATACTCTACCCTGTCAACTTACTTTCAATAAGTATAGGATGTTGATCGACAATTCCTAATGCCTCTAGTGTCTGAGGAAACTGGTCTTCGTCCAGGAGCTGAAGGTTGCTCTGAAATTAAACGAGAGTCAATTTAATCATTTACACAATGTTTATTACGCAGTTTTGAAATTGATTTTAGAATTGAAAACAAGATTTGCTGACTTCACGAAGCGGCAGCTCTACTTCTGATCATTTTTACCAAGTGAAATCGGCTAAATTTATGCAGTCAAACTTGTTGATGAGCGGGTTAGGTATCATTCCTGCATTACTCTACTAATAAGTAGAGTCATTCGTCGTCTTGGGGCTTTTTAATACAGTGTTAATTGACAAAAACCTCACAAATTTCCACAAAATACAATTTTAAGATTCATGCATGTCATTGACCAATAAACTAAACAACGTCTTACCTCATCAGCCATGTTCCAAAGCCGAACATCTTCTTGCCTCAGTCGAAGTCTTTGACAAAGAAAATCAAACAGCTGGAAAATACAAGAATGGCGAGGTTAAAATAAAGCCGCAGACATTTTCACAGAGATCAAGCTTAGCATAAGTTGAAGTTAAATAGATGATTGTTAAAAACTCATAAAGGCGAGTAACGCACCTGTTGCAAGGTGTTCATTCTGCTGAAGACGGCGGTGTAACTAAGCTGTCGTTTCGGTGTGATCATCTGAGGAACAGCCCCAGCAGAGGACGTGCCAAAATTTAGGCCACTCAGAGCAAATCCTACGCCTGACCATGACGTAAAGCTGTTTTTAGCTGCTGGTTGAACATGGCGATAAAGAAGAAGAAGTCTGGGGAAAAGCTCTAAAACCGGCGAGGGATCACCATCGTTTGAAACGATAACCTACAAAATCAACAAACATGAATAATAATTATAATAATAAGGTCTAAGGCTTTACACAGGGTGTAAAAAGAAAATAAATTCACATGACGAAACTGAAAATGGAAAAAATTTGCAGTCCAGAGGTCTAGGCCACACTGATCGGGAAAGTGAATATCAGTAAATAAAAGCCTCGCCTTCGTCTTGGTATTTACTCGGTGATACTTACCTCGTCTTCAGCAAATAATTGTTAAATACTAGGTTTTTGAATCAAGGAGCGAGGTTTTTGAATCAAGGAGGGAGGTTTTTGAATCGAGGAACGAGGTTTTTAAATCGAGGTTTTTAAATCGAGGTTTTTGAATCGAGGATCGAGGTTCTTAAATCGAGGATCGAGGTTTTTAAATCGAGGTTTTTGAATCAAGGAGCGAGGTTTTCAAATGTTATACGACCAGTGAATTCGAAGTGTCATTAATATAAAACTAGGTTCAAAGTAAATTACTCACATTTCTTGGTAAGGCTGGTGAGCCTGTGTACCATTGAACGAGGGCCTTCCAAACAGATTCAGGAACAATTTCAAAATCTCTTCCTCGGACCAATGGCACGGAACATTTCAATTTACCACCGTCAGCTGTCAGCGATTGAATCTGTTCAATTAGAAAAATCTAAATAATTAATTCGTTAAAAAGGTCACTATTATGTTCATGTTTTTTAAAAACAGCCAAAGCAAATCCTCAGTAAAACAACACAGCAGAAAATGCATGGTGTTTATGCAGTTTTAATAATAATCTAATCATTGTTACCCAAATTGTGCATTGTTGTATCGCTATCAGAGAGAAAACTATTCAATAACTTTAAAAAGTTCAATTCGTTTTTGCCGTGTGCAAGTTTCAAGTCTTTCATGCAAGACATAATAAAATCTTTTAAGTTTAAAGCCAAAGTATTGAGAAGTTTTACTGACGCGAAGTCAAGTAAAAGATTTATATTTATGGTTTAAAAAAGGAACGTGAATCTGTCCAAAATGTTTTCAATCGTCTGAGCCTTTTTTGCTGCACTTTTTTGCTAAAAATCTCTGCACGAACCTTGCGAAAGTCTGATTCAACCAGCCATGAGTTATCTATGGTACCAGGCTTCGTAATGTTAACCCCATTTACGTCAACCAATGGTGCAACAGAGCGCTGTGGTTGTGATAACCTCCTACCAACCATCCCTTTACGCTGAGAGCTCTCCATTTTATCCCACGCTTGACTCGTAGTTGATGAGGGTGTACTGGACAGCGGACTTACCCCATTCTTTTCAAGTGCACTAGTGGATAAACTACGGGCCACAGTCTAAAATCAAAACATTGTTATTTCTCATCTCAACCCAACTCTGCTGAAGCTAAACGCTTTTAACAAAAATATATATATATTTGTCTTGGAGAGAGAAACACACATTAAATAAATTTACACGCATCAAATTAACCTTGACCTGGGTCGAATTATGGAATTACGTCCAAATTTTAATCCTAGCTATTAGTACCATACACGCTCAATAACTTTAACTGTAATCCAAACCTAATCGAAATGAAAGCATAACAGCAAATACGCCCTTAAATTCGTAATTCCAAATGTAACAAGAAGAACAAAACTGTTCGTAAATGTCACTTGAATGAAAATACAACCATAGGATGAGAACACATCCAGTAAATTATCTGGCAAACGGTTAGGTGGGAACAAGGAGGAATTTTGTTTTAGACCAATCAGCAAATTTGTTCACATTTTAGTAACCCAATCAGAAAGCATAAATTTAGGCTACCTCCGGAAAAAAGGTACACTATTCGCTATTCACAATTTCACATGAATAAAACTAAAAATATACGCATTCTGATCGACTTTGCCTGAAAGAAATTGTAGATGGGGTCTTTGGGACATGTATGAGAAATTTGCGACCTTTTTCTAAGGTTGAATTTGAAAGAATGTCAATTCATACCGATTTCTGCTTCCCAATGAACTCCTTCCATCTTTTCCACCAGTCCATGGCGACGATATACCAGGTGGTACCAGGTCGTAAACCTCGAAAATTTTCCCGATCCAACCAACCCCTTAAGAAAATGAAGTTCATCATTTATTATAGCTTCTGGCAGTCATCCAATGCTGACCTAAAAGCCCTGTTACACGATGCAACTATTCATCCAACTTGCCTCGCAACGTTGTTGCATTGAAGCAAATTCAACTTCAAAACCATACTTGTGGTTAACAAATCAACCAGAGCCGTCGCTTGAAGCTTATTCGGGGGGGGGGGGAGGTGGATGTATATTCATTTAATTGTCTGATCTCCGACTGATTTCTTTTGATAGCGATTGTTTTTACGCTTGTTTAAACATGAATATATAAATATACACCTCCCCCCAATTACGTTATCCTCGCGCTATGCGATCAATCGATTTTGTAACTACTTTTTTATTACCATATCACTTGATATTCGTCCTTTCGTGTTGCTGGTCGTAAGCCAAATACTACATGACATATCTAAAGTAAATGGATATACGATCATTCGGACTTCTAGGACTTCTAGGATCATTCTAGGAACGGTTACGACAAAAAATTACAACCATTATATATATTAATTCACATCATTCGTTTTTGCCGTATACAAGCTTCAATCTTTAGTGCAAGGCATATTTTGTTGAGTATTTTTTAAACCTTTTTCTTACCAAGTTTGAAGCCTATGTATTGAGAATTGCGGAAAGTCTTACCAATTTCCGCGGATAGCTGTATTCAGAAAGCTCACTCGCACTCATTAAAGCCCGTTTTCCACTAGGCGAATTTATTCGCGCGACGCGAAGCAGCGACATCTGAAATCCAGTGATGTGATTGCTTTGCGAAAAAATTCGCCGCGAAAAAGTAGAATGGAGAGAAGTCCCTACTTTTTATCTGTTCGCGCGAATAAATTCGCCTAGTGGAAAGCGGGCCTAAGTATAAGTGGGGCATAGAAATTGTGTTATCACTTATTAATGTGATAGTCCTTTCTTAATCGATGGAAAGATTTAAGGTAAAACATCGCAAATCAAGCTCTTATATTCGAGTGAAAATACCGCAAACGAATCGCTATAACGTGATTAAGATCTCCCACTCAATGAGTTTAATGCATGTGGGTGAGCTTTTAGAATACAGGCGGCTAGATTTCGATCCTGCCAACTGACCAGCTCAGTGGCAGAACTTTAGTAAATATATATTGTCGCTGTAATCAAACAACACAGTTCCTATAGCACGTGCACAAGGCAGTGAAGATAAATGTATATCATAGCTTTAAATTCTTAGGAATATATCATACATCGAAACGATAAGAATATACGTGCCTGGAATAAGATATCCAGGACGAAACGAGAGAGTGTTTGAGATGTCGCCCATTTCTTGTAGTCATCTAGCGTCAAGAAACCATCCTGAAATCACACAGACAAGCGGTTGCATGTAGAGATGAATATTCAAACTCTTATATAGCCTTGTTTCAAAACATGTGCACAAGTCCCAAATCATGTAGCTTCATCTAAATAATCACCTACAATCTTTCGTGATGACGTAAAGCCTGATGTTACAGGAAGTTTGATTGGCTCGTTAGTTTGGCAGAGCCAATCAAATCTCGTGTGTAATATTCTAGGCTCAAAGGTTTGACATGAAAAAGGTCTTTTTGGCTGGCAATAAAAAATACAAATTTCCAAAATTCACGATTTATACTAACTTTACGGTTACTTTTCAAGCTGTTATGAAAGTACTGTCGCGATAAGCAGAAATCAAATTCTTGTTTACACGCAATTAGTTTATTGAACAAAGGAAAATAATGCGAATACACCTTCCTACGTTTACTAAAAATATGAATTAAGGAAATGTGAAGCTTCCTGGTGGTCAAATGAACAAGTACCTTATCCGTGTTGAAATCGCTTAAAATTTCTGTGACCAAGATTTCTGCATCGATTTCAGTTTCTGTTTGAGCCTGCATATGAGAATAAACGTTTGTTAGTGCACTTCTAATGAATTCACAAGCTTTGGAGCTGTGAGCATGGAATGGTGTAATAAACGACGTGTTAATTTCCTACATTTATTTTGGTTGGTCAAGATTAAAAGCCCTGTTACACGGTGCAAATTTCTTGCAACTTGCAATGCAATTCTACTTTTGAGAGATGTATATTTGGGAACAACGAAACTGTTGTGTTTATTTACACTTCATGCGCTTTACTTCTGCAAGACTCTTCACTGATTTACATCTCTTAGAAGTAGAATTGCATTGCATGTTGCAAGAAAAATTGCACCGTGTGGCCTTAACTGTTTCTCAAGCTATTACTACAGGTCAGGTGTGGCAAAAAAATCGCACTGGTGGAGACTTGCCTCGGGGGGTGATTCGTCATTTACTAAAGAATTTTAGACTGATGACGTTTTTCTCTCAATGACGCAACAGAGTAAATAACAGGAGCCGGTTGTATGAAAGCCGGATAGCGCTATACACCGGATAGTGATTTTTTCAACCGTTCTAAAAATGCATGAAAAGCTATAAAATCTCAGCTTTGGAACTAAATATTATTAAAGAGGATCCTCGACTTAGGACTACTAAGATTTAATCAAAGTTATACCTAACAACAGGTGATTTAAAAGCCATTGAAAAAAACGCTATCCGGTGGATAGCGCTATCCGGCTTTCATACAACCGGCCCCAGATGCAGAGCTAAAACTAGTGTACCCATTTTTTTTCAGTGCGCACGCCCGAGAAATGCCTGAGATTGACAATTCTGCAATTAATCGAAAATGTTTGTGGAGACGTTTACCAAGAAATCCAAGCCATTTTAAACATTTCAGCTACTTCCGAACATGCGCATTTGGTCACCTTTCGCTCATGCGCACTAAAGAAAGCGGGTACAAAAAATGTATCTATTACTCTTTGACGGCGCCTTGACGTACAGATTTAAATGAATTATTTAAAATTATAAAGCGTTCAGGATAACTGGAAGCAATTTAAGAGCAAAACTAATTGTATAGTGCAATTCAGAAATTTTAACATAAAGTATGTAAAATGACCGCAAACTAAGTGTGAAATTTGCAACAAAGGCGACCGAAAACCGCTGAGGCGAAACTGCGGTCGGCGGTCTCCCACGCACGCCAATCTAAAACTCTCTAGTGATTCGAAAAGATTACCGTGGATGAATGAGGAATATTTTCCGACTTCAGGTCAATCATAATTTTAATCATTGTTCTAATTTCGTCCACGGAAAGCAGCCCATCCCGATCCATATCAAAGATCTTGAATGTAACTAAATAAAATATATCAAGTCATATATGCCAAGGCTTTTATACAAAGTGAGGTGGTTAGTTGTATTATTGATAACTTAAGATTTTTTATCATCAATATTTATTCATTTCAGAAAATAGCAAGAAAAGAGATTTCCATATATTGAAATGAATAATATATGTCAAATTAAGGACTAATTTCAGATACTAAGGAATGTAAAAGGCTTGTTACAGCCTTGACTTACAGGCAAATCTTTCAGCAACTGGCCCTCGGCAACATGTTGAAATTCCACACGCAATCTCGCGGAAGTCAATATGACCATCTTCATTTTCATCAAAAGCATTAAAGAGAGCTACGCAAAAGAGAATTTTCAAATTATGCACAAACTAATAGTCCCTGTAGGCATAACATTCCCTGCATGTCTGTTAAAAGCTCACTAACACTCGATGAGTGTGTCATATAAATGATATCACTAAACAATGAGAAAGTTTTCTTAATCAATGGAAATATTTAAGGTAAAACACTGAAAATCAAGCTCTTATTTGAGTGGTGACACCGCAGTAAAAACGTTATGAGAAAATTAAAATCTCCCACTGAACGAGTTTGAGTATGCGCGAATCAGCGCATATTATTTATATTTATTTATAATCAGCATTTTAATCAGCGACAATGCGAAATTTCGAATTGTCATATCTCGAATTCTAAGACAGTTTTATCCTCTGGAATTCGCTATTTTTAAAACATCACTTGAAACTTTGGCGCCAGATAATGGGTTACTTTGTACAAAACCAATAGGTTCGGCACATGAAAAGTTCGAAGTCTGAAACGGTCTTTCTTCCCTAAAATAAAACAATGAAAGAGAACGAGATATCCACATACCCTTGGCAAGAGAGTCAGAAACACAAGATGACACGAGTGGTATGAAGGTTTCCAAATCAAACTTTCCAGTTTTTGTTCCAGACTTTAAATACCAATATCTTTTCTCCAATTCAATGATGTCCAACTCTTGCACTACATTGGATGCAGGAATTAAATAAATTCATATCAAATATCATGTTGTAATAAAATAAGAGTAGCCCAAATATCCTAAGATTCTTTGTCTGCAATCGTGCGACCTTTCCCTTTAATGGCAGGCAGACTTTCAGAAAAATTCAGGGCGCTTCTCTTCCATTCGCGACAATCGAACAACAATCAACAGAACATGCAGCAATTCATATTTTAGTTATAAAAGCGTCTCGAAATAACGGCCGAGCGACGGAAATTGTCGGGTTAATTAGTATTGGCTATTGACCGGACAAAAGCTTGACTATATATCGGACATTGCTATACCCCTAACTAATTTTATCCGTGCTGCCAATACAACGGCCGAGAACAATGCCATGCATTTTAGCCGTACCGTCCCGAAAATTTAAATGTAGTGAAAACAGGGCTTAAAACACCCTCCGAGACAGCATCCTGTATAGCTACGCTGTCACTCTGAGACTGCAGTTTAGGCCCAGGGAGATAAGAGAAAGCTTTAGGGTTTATGCATTATAGAACGCAAAAGCGCACAGATGCTATACTGACACAAATGTGGGAAAAGACTAATAATTTCGAAGTTACTTACAGCCAGTAAAGTTAGCAAGTGTTTGATAAAACGTGGGTGTTTCTCCATAGTCTGTCAATTGTAAACCATTGCCTTGTTTAATCAACCATTTTGACAGTGTGATGGAATCAGGATGTCTTCTCAACCAATCGCAAAAATCTTGGGAGGTTATTTTCTCACTCTAAGGAATATATGTAAAACATTTATTAAAACAATGCTATGAACAAATCTTAGCGGGGGAAACGGGGGGTGGTTGCTGGCTTGTTCTTCCCCAATACGCTATAAATTCAAGGCAACGATTTATTTCGAGTTATATTAATGATCTTCGTAGAGTGAAACTAGAACGATAATTCGGGAGGGAGGGTTCTTATATCTTCAGTTCGCAAGACGGATTTCTTACGACCCCAAGCACCCCCGCGCGCTCGCCTTTTTCAGCTCATCGGTATACAATAACTGAATGCAATGTTATTTTTACTATTAAAGCGCCTGGTACGAGGCTGCATTTGGCAGACCATTATCTCAGGCATATATCACTGTACTAATGGCTGTTTTCACAACTTACTGTATATGAGCTAATATACAGTAAGTGGCTCAGACAATAAGCAGATTTACCATGAGGACGTGAACGTCAAATACGACGTGAAAATGGCGAATAAATGGCGTGATGCGCCCAAATATGGACATGCCACGCCATTTACTCGCCATTTTCACGTCGTATTTGACGTTCACGTCCTCGTGCTAAATCTTCCTAATCATACAGATTACGCGACAGCTCTTTACAATGTGTAGCTATATTATAAATAATAGAATTTGCTCATTTTTATTATCATAAAGCTGGCTAGAATTAACCCACTTGCTCTCGTGATATATGGCTGTGAGCCAACGAATACTCTACGTCGTCTCGTTGCCTATCAACTCATATACGACTCGAGCTGATAGCAGAGAGCTCGTGGCATAATTGTTAAATGGACGTAGCTGTAGTAATGCAATATTAGATTAGCTGCTCAATACGACTATATAACGAAAGCCGCACATTGAACGAGAGACATTCGCTTGAATGACGTAATAGTCTTAATCGAGTGGAGGTAACGAGGCCAATATAGCTGCATTCCTCTTCCTCATTCCTCTGTCAATCTTTGTAAAATCATGTTTTGTGTGTTTTTTCTCATTTGCTCACAACTTTTTAAAGAAAAGTATTAAACTAACACGCGCAAACTATAATAATTTATTTTCTATTCAAAAGAAATCGCAGCCACTGATTGGCTAATATCATAATAATGTTTAAAATCGTCGTTTCCAACGAGTGACGTCATAACGTGGGACGCGACATTTTTCATGCACGGTATTAAGTCATAACTATAAGTCTATAACCCAGACGAAAAATGTCGTCGTATGTCACGTTACGACGTCGAAAACCCAAGGAGCAGGAATGTGAAACAATACACAAATACGAGTGAATATAAAGTTGGAATGTTCATTATTTTGAATGAGTAATTAATAAACAATTATTGAATTAGGGTGTCATATGTGAAGCCGGAATTATCAAGCCTTAATATGTCGCTTTCAACCAAAGCGAATGCTGAGTTGATTAAACCTCTTGAACCTCGTTCAATAATTGTTAATCATATAATGGTGAAGGTTGTCAGGAAAGTACATTAACAACAGTTGTTTTAAGACATCTTGTTTGACCCTAAACTGGCATACACAGAGGGGAGAGGGGCATACACAGAGAGAGGGGCATACACAGAGGGGAGAGGGGCATACACAGAGAGAGGGGCATACACAGAGGGGAGAGGGGCAACAGGGCAGTTATACCCTTTCCCTTGTAGGGAAAACAAAACTTGTACACCTTTTCTTTTTCTATAATGACTTAAACTTAAGTTATTAGTGAAAAGTATCTGTGTGCGATGTGACCTTCTGGCAGAAATGACTGCATGTGTTTATAATAGCTGTGAAAATCTTCAAATCTTCGTAGTTTAAAGATGCAACTTACTAAAGCAAAAAGCTGTCTGATTGAATCAGGTACTCTGCCTCCTTCAGATACAAGGAGAAGACTTTCCATATCATCCTGAGACACATGATTACCATCACTTGAATAGATCTCAAATATGACTAGAAAGAAATATGAATTACAATCTTTCTTGGTCTGCTGTACTGCACATGGGGTTTTCAGTTCAATTTACATGTTCTTGTTGGCATGATCAAATGGAAAAAATTAAAGAAAAAGTAATGCTGACTAACCTAGTTTTCAACTTAGTTTAACAGATAATTAACACTTATTTAAACAGCGAACGAAGGAAACATTATGTTTTGTGGACCCAAAACCTGTCGATATTTCACGAGGTGAAGCCGAGCTCGATGGTCGAGGGTCCACAAAACATAATGTTTTCTGAGTTCTCAGTAAAAAAGTTCTTTATTATAAACCACTTGTCAAGGTGAACAACAAAATATCTTTTCATAAAAGACATCATTTCAAATGGATAAACAGTCTAAAGGTCGCATGTCCAGGTGATTAAAGTTGTTATTTCCAATGAGATAACAGGTTATCTCACTCTGCAGGGGGTTGCGCAGGCAACATCAAGATTTCATCACTCTTGCATGATTCGCTCTCGCCAATGAAATGCTGCGAACACCAAACTTTGTCAAGTGGTATATAATCAATACACTTGTAGCCCATTGATTGGGTCAATTTGCTCAACCAAGAGTCAACCATTAGGATAAACTAATTTCACAGAAAATCATACTTTCCTAGTTGAAAACATATCATAAACCAGAGTAAAAAATATATGTTTTCACTTACATCGTAATTTGTCCATTAAGGAACCTCGAGTTAATAATGCAAGACCACAGAGAAGGTCCTTGAAACCAATACCTTTACTGTTCCCTCCGAAGGCAAAATACATTTGCTGGAAAAAAGACACATAATCAATAATTATGGCAGCTTTAATATGAATTTAGAAAGTTATATGAATGCAGTGATTGTCTCTGTCTCTGTCTGTTACAAGAACAATCAACAGCATTTTGCATGGAAAATTGTTACTCCTATTGGATGACGCATTAATGCATGTAAGAGTGGGCTTTATAAACTTGTAAATGTTTTATAAGAGGTTTGATTTTGAGAATCTAGGTAAGACTAAGTTCATGATGTGATAAGGCTGTGCACATCTAAACATATATACATGTACAGTTATAAAAACAATTAGAGGATTCCCTGTTATGTTGGAACAAAAACTGCAAAACTAAAACTTATGGAATGATTCCAAGCTTATGGAATCTCAATTCTATCAACAGCAAGAGTATAATCAGACTAATACAACATCCAGTTCACACATGACTAACCATGAACAAAAAAAGAATGAATGTTAATAGCCATTGCAATTTGAAAACAGTTCCCTGCATGTGGTAGAATAAACAGTAACTCTTTCCCAGTAACTTTTTCATCAAAAACATATATACAGTCATGCATTTATAAAGCACGGGTCATATTTCTTGCAGAATTGGTGTAATGTATTTAGAATATAACCATGTTCAAAAAATGGCAGCGAATTATGTCTACACAAGTACAACTCTGCAACATCTTGGTTTAAAATGTCCACGAGCAGATGTTCTTCTAAATGACATTTGACAGTTGACATGTTAAAGCACATTTACCTATGTTTACAAAATAGCTCAGTAATATGTGTGCCATATTGAACTTTTTTTTATCTTATTTCTTACTATACTACTGCAACTTGCTTGCATTCATTCTAACACCCCTCAACCTTGTGTTTATGAGGGCTGGTTCTCAGAGATAGGCAGATAGCTAAGGTCTAGTGGCTACTATGTGGGTTTTGCAGCTACCAAAGCTATAAACAATGCTGCTAAAGCAATTATAAACAAAGGCACTCAGCATTTTGTTCAAGATCACACCCTAACTGCAGGGTATAGCATGATCCCAGCATGATCCCAGTCCTATGACTCTGATCTCAGAGAAAATATTTTCTCATAATTCCAGCATCATTGAAGAATTTTGGATAATTTCTGCCAACTACAAAGTTTCGAACAATTTTTTTTCTATAACTGTAGCCTAGCTCTTTCTGACAGGGAGATTACTTGCAAAGGCCTTAAATGAAGCTGTTTATATACAAAGGTCATCTCCAAGTACAAATATATTCCTGTATGATTATTTAGTGTTTATCAAAAACCAAAACGTGTAAATATTTGAATAAAAGTTTATCATGACATCAAAAATTCTGTATTGACAAAGAATAAAGACCTGATTGTAGCACCCATCTCCGCACAGTCACAAAAATTGATATGAAAATAAAAATAAATTTTTAAAGCCTTACTTCTGCTAACTTGGCTGGAACACTTTCACCCAGAACTTCACGCAGAAACAACGATTTTCCCATAGCACCACTAGCACCAGCGATCCGTTTGAACGCTAGCCGTAACCGTTTCAGTTCGTCTTCATTCACTAAGGGTGGATATTTTGAAAACTACCGGTCAATACATAACAATATTTAAAGGAATACAGTTTGAATAATGTACAACTGTTAATAATCTCTGTACGTCTATACCTCGTCTTTGTACTTCTTCGTACGAGAAAAAGCTAATCTTAGATTCCCTTTGACCCATTGTTAAAATCAACCCAAATTCACGTCATTTTTGTTTAAAACGTTAGAATAGTCTTAAGAAACGTTCATAGTTTTCATTTGAATGTTTTTATACACAATTTGCTTCGACATATTATAACTCACTATAATAACTTTCAACGTCATGTGAGTTCATCATACGCTAGTCGTTGCTCGTCAACACATCGTCTGCTACTCGAGCAGATACCGGAAAGAGTCGAAAACAACATCACTAGGAGTTCTTATCAGAAGGAAAATTGCTGCCGGAAATCTCAAGCAAAGACCTTTCCTCACATCAAAGGTTTAATTCCAATACATGTCTACTAAATGAACTTTATGAAGACAAGTCGTTTCGTTTCTAAAAGTTTTTCCTGAATGGACCTTTTCGGTAATTACGTCACAACATTGTCGTTTTACCGAGCAATGTTGAATATTTGAAAAGGCATCCTTATTTACACATGAAACTGTATTATTATATATTAAACAACTCGGAAAAGCAATTGCGAAATACAGAATTTTCGAGTTATAAAATCATAAAATAAATGGCAGCTTGTTCATTTTATCTTTGACTAGCGTTCTACCCACAGCTCATAATCATTGGTAAATATTTTCCCTGCCTATCGGCCATATAAACCATGACTACCGATGCAACTATATATCAAGAGGTTCTGGCCCCAATTAGATCTAAACTTAATCCAACAGCATGAAAATAACGGTTTATTAGTTCTTCTTGGAGGAATTGCCGTATCCGATATTTAAGAGCTGCTGTAATTGGCGTGAGCTGTAGCAATACCCTGCCTCGATTATTGTGAATATTCATGCATCCGTTTACACTAGAGCGAAAGTTTCCGGATTCATCACGAAAGCGGAATGTTTTAGTACCGGATTCATGTTCCTGTTTACACACGCAGCAACGAATCCGATAGAAAATGTACTCGGTTTCCGGAAACTTTGAATCCGTAAAAGTTTGTGGAAACTTCGTATCCAGAAACATTTGAATCCGGAAAATTTTCTTGTGTAAACGCTTTGCACGACGAATCCGAAGAAATTCAAACGTGACGACCAAACAATTCTCCAAGAACAAGTAATGTGAGTGTAAACGGACAAATCCGCATACAGAGACAACTAAAGTGTAGTGTAAACACCTGGCGAATCCGATACATGTGTGTAACAATGAATCCGGATAAATTTACAAATCCGGAAACTTTCGTTCTTGTGTAAACGGGGTCTTAATTTTGTGCTGTTCGTGTTTGTAATATTGTATCTTGTATTCAAGTGGCAAAGCATTATAAATAAATAAATAAATCATGCGAGCGAAATCAAATCGCGCATCGGAAAATTAGCCAAAGCTGTGCACAACAACTAGATCAAACTGTCACACATACATCGGTATGATCACATACATCACATACACTTTTCAAATACTAGTAATACTAGTATATTTCCAACCCAACGTTGTTCTCAGGGTCTTCTGTGTACAAGGCTCGGTACAACGCAACGAAGATCCTGGTCGGGGCTGATGCGTCACAGCATGGATAGTTAATTCATGCTGTCATGCCGTCACAGCATGGATAGTTAAAAGACTTTATTCGATTTTATTATCCATGGTCACAGCAAAGTGGATCTATCGCCTCGAGAAATGATATCATATTACATATTTCCAATATCTCTACCAAACTGGGTAAAGTGCTCCTAACACAAAAATGGATTTTAGATATTTAAATCCTTATTGGCAGTATATACGATATTCAAAAACCGAATTGCAATAGCTATTTTATTTTAGTCCAACAATTCATATTCATTCGTATTGTACTGTAAATAATTCGTGTAATAAATTGCTGAACTGAACGCGACTTTATGATAGGAAACACTTTGGCATAGAATCGTCAATCGAGCTCATCGTATTGGCCGTGCAAGAATCCCGTCTAGCAAACCCCGGAGAATTGTGGCAAAGTTTGCTTGCCATAAAATGAGAAATGCCGTCATAAATAAAAGGAAACATTTTAAAGGGACTAATATATTTATTAGGGAAGATTTTTCTGATAATGTATTAGCTAAGCGACGTAAATTAATTTCCAAAATGTTTGAAGCAAACGAAATGGTAGGGTGGCTAATTTACGTTATGATAAACTAATTTCGCATTCAAGAAATATTTTAAGTCAAATATTAGCTTCTGCTCAGCCTGTTGATGATGGTACTGTTCCATGAGATAATGCAAATAAACAATACCAAATTATATGTATATATATACAGGGTGAGTAAAAAAAAACTGAAATTCAAATTAACCTTTGAAATTCAAATTAGCTGCGAACTTATGACTGGAATATGACAATTCCCATTTACAATCAACAAAAACGATTTGATAAAACTGTTCTTTTGTATTTACAGAGCTTAGAATGCATTTTAACTCCTAATGGGAATAAACTTTATGTTTTAGGTTAATTCGATAACTTTCACCGTAGCACGAGAACGAACGAATATAGCTTCATTATAATCATTAATGTCATTAACGCGACGAAAGAATTGTGAAATCCTCATTCCCCAGAGGTTGGCTTTTGTTATGTGATCAAATGAAAATAAGCACAGCTGTTAAAACATGGACATCAGTATACATAGCCAATTTTCAACAATTGCATGACAAATCAGCCTGGCAGCTATGCAGCTAATTTGAATTTCAAAGGTGTCAGTTTTTTTTTACTCACCCTGTATTGTCTCCTGTTGTCGGTATTCTCGTTCGTATTTGTCTTATCTCGTTCATATGTGCATAACGAGCATAAAATTCTATTTACAAGTAATTAAAATTCCTGCATATTCGTTCGTTCTCGTCCTACGGTGAAAGTTAATTTTAAGCAACTTCTGTCACATTATATATATATATACACCCATTTGCAAAAACGTTGGCCGCAGATAGATATATAGATAGATACTCAAAATCTAATTAGAATTGCATATGCTGTGTAATATGATTGAAATCCCAAGCAAATGTAATGATATGCAATTCTAATTATATATATATATAGTGTATATATATATATATATATATATATATATATATATATATATATTATATATATATATACTTTGTTTGTTTGGTTCGCGTTCTGGTTGCTGACGCGGTCTTCTTGCGTTTGAAATTCCACGCGCTAAATTTGTTTCTGTGACTGCATTTCGAGAAAAGCTCATTTCGTTTGTTCAGGAGATTTTCCGACTTTGACTTGATAATTTAAAGCTTTTCCTCGGTACAGCTAGAGGTTGCAACGATTTCCGCCCGGGGTAAAAGCTTGTGCTAGAATTTTCTGCTTGCCATAAGTAAATCACCAACCCTTCTCCGATCCCGTTTACTGTCATTTCATATAAGTAAATCACAAAATAAACTTTGGTAACTACGTATATCAACATTTATTCACCTCCTACGTTTCGGGGCATGCCCCTTCTTTAAGGATGAATATAGCAGTCAATGGCCTAATGTATTGTCCTTTATACATACCTATATATAGTAATTACCCTACATATTATTCAAAGTCTCTTACATTTATCCCCGAGGTACAAACGAATCTAATTTGCATACCCAAAATGCCTCCCTTTGTGTAGGCTTATCAACATTGGTCTTATCAATAATGATAACCCTCACATCCCCCAAACCTTTATGCCCAGGGCCAAAAAAATGTGCATATAAGTGCTCCGCAGCCATTTTTCTGCCCCCTTGTTCATACTTCCTCATAGATAATGATAAAAAGCCTTCGATTTCGTTTAGAAGACGATATATATAGCATAATAATGCGAGTCTTTGTGCCCTAAATAGGGATGACGGAAGCTATTTGCCAAAAGAATATTTGCATATATGAATGATAGATGACGTCGTTTTGAGAGTATATAAGGAACTGAGTTTCAACATCATATCACCCCTGAAGAAGACACTAGACCGGAGTGTCGAAACGTTGGGTCGTGAAAGTTAATCTTTGTGTGGTTATTATTTCATTTATATTAAAACCAGAGTAGCGATAACTACGAAGGTTTAACATGATTTTGCTCCAAATTTTTGCAACTCCAATATATATAACTTAGCATCAAATGTGGTATAACAACTGCCTAAAATAGACAAAACACTTCTCGACGTTTCGTGTCGGGAGAGTTAGTGTGAGAGCCTTCGTCAAGAGAGTTCATACTAAGCGTCGAAACGTCGAAAAGTGTTTTGCCTGTTTTGTCAATTTTAGGCAGTTGTTATACCACATTTGATGCTAAGACGCTGCCACGCTGCTCCCTGGCTATATATTGGATCCAATATATAGATATATATATCTCTTGCATACGTCTTTAACTTAGGTCTGCCAATGGGCCTCGAACCGGATTCCAACTCGCCACTGATACAGAAGATCCTTAGGAATTCGCCCATCCTCCATGCGGTATATACTCATGGCCGAGCGGCCCGAGCCACCTCAATCTGCGTTGTCTTAGCAGGTTGAACATCGAAGAGATATTGGCTCTGGGAAGCCATGATATCCGGTCCATGAGATGGAGAGGATGCGACGAAGACATCTCAGGTGTTCAAGCGCTTCTTCTTACGGGCATATGTGGTCCATGACTCGCTACCGGTACCGTGCAGTAATGTGTTCATCCGTATATATGTAATTATACAGCTTGAAGTTAATTGCTGCATATTTATTCACTACAAATTTGTTTCGTCTGTTGCCAAGGTTATATACATTATACACATCCCATACTAGTTCCTTCAAGTTAAGCAAATATAAACATGCTACTGAACTAAACAAGTACATAATTATGGCACTTGAAGGAGTCACAGGTTACTAAGGAGTAAATATTCGTTAACTTGGAAAGTAATGCAATGCAAACGTTGCAATATTTCTACATACGAAAAATTTATAATAATTTATCACCCTGAATTAAGCACTTTAAACTGGAGAACAGAACTTTTGTCGAAATGTAGAAATATGGAACAAATTACTATACTTAGCAATGTAACATGACCTTCTATAATCCGTTGATTTCACTATGTATATAGTGTATATAACCACGATGTAACCTTGGCAACAGAATGCGAGTATTTTAAATATTGTAAATTCACCTGATGCCACACACGAAAAAATGGACCTTGGATCTTTATACTGCTCTACTTTTGTATATATATATATATATATATATATATATATATATATATATATATATATATATATATATATATATATATATATATATATATATATATATACACCCATTTGCAAAAACGTTGGCCGCAGATAGATATATAGATAGATACCCGAGATCTAATTAGAATTGCATATGTTGTGTAATATCATAGAAATTCCATGCAAATGTAATCATATGCAATTCTAATTAGACTTCAAATATCTATCTATCTATCTATCTGCGGCCAACGTTTTTGCAAATGGGTGTATATATATATATATATATATATATATATATATATATATATATATATATATATATATATATATATATATATATATATATTATTTGTAAAAATTCGCTCTCCCCCCGTAAAATGGTGACAGACGGAAGGAGAGAAACAAATCGAGATCTCGAGAATGAATATATAGGTCGCGCGTAAGAATGGGCCGAGGCACGCTGTGCTGGACCTGCTGGTGGCAAGTGAACTTTAGTGAAGTGACTGCCTACGGTTCAAAATGATGTTCAAAATGCGTTTCGTTTTGGTCGTTCTTGTGACTTTACTGTTGCTTACCATCGGCTTTTTTTTGACGTTTGTCGCAGAAGATAAATCAGGAAGAAATGGACAATATTTTGGGATGAAATTAGGAGTTCAGAGTGTCAATACAGCGCTGCAGTCTATTATGGCTGAAGTCAAGGATATAAAGAACGATGTATATAAGCTACAAGCACAAAAGCCACTAGATTTACCACAATGGATCGAGCGTTTCCAAACTCCGCAATGGACGGACTTCAAACCATGGCGTGGAGTGCAGGTATTTTTTGTATCATATCGTTATGCCTATCTTAAAAAGTGTGTCGAGTCCATCCGTGTGGCTTCGGCGGATATCGACAAATCATCGGTATGTTTGTTTGTACTCCATCGCACACCAAAGACCACCGCGAGAGACGTGAACCAAACGTTGGAGGTAATTCGAAACGTGACTTTCTGCAAAGTCTTCGTGTGGAAAGTTAAAGAGGACAATAAAGAGAAAAACTACGCTTTGAGATTAAAACGTCATTGGTGGTTTGTTCTGGAGTCTGTCTTTGACGCAACTCTCACTGGTATGTATGCCATAATTCTGCTTTAACCGTCTGCGCTCGCTTCAGTTTTAGTCGACAAGACTTAAATGCATGTTATGACAAAAAACAAACAGCGAACTATCTGTTGTGCAGGAAAATGCGGGGCAAAACGAGACAGAGGGGCTAAATGAGAGTAATGAGACATTGAGGCAAAAATGTTAATTTTCGGTGTATTACCGCAGATTTTTAATTAGAAACATCGCAGGGTCATCAACAAGCATTTTTCGAAGTTATTTAACGTGGTTTGAGGTTCATAGCTATTTTGCAGCATCAATTCTTCACGATTGCGCCGAAGTTGGCGTCTCGAAATTGAGGTATGTAATTTACTTAACATATTTAGATAGTTTATGTTACCGCAGTTAAGAAATATACCACATTTGTTTTGTATAAAAAACAATAAATAATAATAATAATCATATTTAATAAAAGGGGTTTTTGCTCATGTTGGTCTCAATTTTTATTATTTTGAGCCTTTGAATCCCCCCACGTGCTGTGGGGCTAAATGAGACACACAGTTAACTGTCTCACTTGGGCATTGTTCTTTGGGTATTACCATTATTTGTTGTAATTTTGCGTGGTATGAAATAACCTAGGAATATTGCAGCATGTATTTTAGTGTCTCAAAGTGGTATTTAATGCAATAATATAATAAGTATTTATAATACCATCTTTCAACCCTACATATGTGCGTCATTGCTCAAACAATTCATATTAATAAAAAAATTACTGTAGATTTTATCTCAATGAAGAAATGATAATATGTGGTTAGTTGGTACAATGGTACATACAAATTTAGTATTTCATAGTTGAGCTATCAGTTGACAAGGTAAAGATAGACCTATTAATCTGTTTAGAATGGTTCGAAAAGGCAAGCGCAAGACCGACCAGGCAAAGTGGTTAGTCTGATACAAGAAATTGTCAAGAACTGAAAATGTTATTTGCATAGTTATTGTAGAATTTTCACAATGTTCTATGTGTGATGGATTTTGGTCTCAGTCATTGCCTGGAGAAAATTGGGGTCAGTGTTATAAATGTAAAAAAATGGTACCATAAAGATTGTTGGTGTTCTGTGCCATCCGAACTGTAATATGTCACATTTGCTATGACTACTGATAAAACTATTTACTTTCAATGTATTTTTAACTGTACTTATATCCTACAATTAAAATACATTCAAATTTTAAAACAAATTCTGTATATTTAATACTTGTCTCATTTTGCCCCTAGGTTAGGGCAAAATGAGACTTTACCACAGGTCTTGTTTCTTAAATAAATGCCACAATATTGCCTGAAAATCCTGTTTTTTTACTATATTGGTTGATTGGAGTCTGTTTAGCATGCCAATAATAAAAAATAGGTATGCAATATGTACATGTGGGTAGCCTGTAAAACATTAACTGCAATAAAGCTATCTTGTATTCAATGTCAAATGACAGGCTGCTATAGTGGCAAGTAAATATAAACTGATGCTTAGTCTTACGTTTTAATGCCATACACAGTGACAAAAATGCCCTATACTTAGCTACTTGAATACAGTTATAACAAAGTCAAATTTTTTACACAATCTATATATTATAATATTTTATTTTCATTAAATACATTTTAAGACAAATCAAAACATATATAAAAGTATATTTACAACATATAGGGAACGCATATTTTTTAAGCAGAATGGGTGGAGAGAACAAAAAAAAGAGAGTAAGGTTCTCGGATGGTGGCACACATACTGTGATAACATAAAGCTTAGTTTAGAAGGAGAGAAGATTTCAGACATTTTCAAATTATTTTGTTTTGATGTCCCTTGATTATCAGCATGTCTTTGTTACATACAACATTGGTTTTTTGTTGGTCAAATGAATGTTATATAGTTAATAAATGTTAGAAAGGTTATTGCTCCAGTAAGATTATATGGCCTGTTTGCCAAAGTTTATTGAAAATACGGTATCACCATTATAACTGAAGATGATAGTGTGATTTCATAGATCCAGTAGAAAGGTACAGCTGGTTTGCAATGTTGCTTACAGATAACATCTCAGCAAATCTCAGTAATAATGGCACATAAAACATTGTGATAGTATATAATTTGAACATACCATAACCACAATTCACTGTTCTTTTGACTCTTAATCAATTGGTTCATGAGATAAGGCAAATAAAATACTTTACTATAAAACATTAACAGTATTTTATTCCAAAGCTTGCCTTTCAGATGGCAGAGTTTCAACAGCTTAGGAAATTTTGATGTGAACCAATCCTGGAGTGATGAACTTCAATAATGACGTCCATATTAGTAACCTTAAACTAATATTTCGTTTGAATATATCATCAGAATGGCTGTTGTTTTATTTATACCTCCACAATAGCTGCTTTCAATTTCAATACCTGCAAAATGACAAGGTCTAATTTTAATACATTTACAACAGCAACGTTTTTTGCTTGCCATATCTCAAGAACCAATTGATTATTAAGAGTCAAAAGAACAGTGAATTGGGTTTATGGTTATAGTATATTTAAATTATATACTATCACAATGTTTATGTGCCATTATTACTGAGACTTTTAAATAATTTGGAGAAAAATCCAGGTCCTAGGACATACCTTCCTGGTAACTACTACTCAGCAATACACGTTTATATCAATGATGAATGGTGGCATTCAATGTCGACTGATTTTCGGACTGATTTATACCACAGTGATAAAATATGGTCAATGAAACTTGCAAACAAGCCACGTAGTAATAAAGATTTGTACACTCAAAATTGCTCGACCACAGTAGTGGACAAAAGAGCGATTGAATGACAAAAATTGACCCAAATAATGCAACGTTGACTTTACCTTGACTTTTATATATAGTCTTGCCAAAACTCAAAGCAGCCCTTTGAATGAAATTCTGATAAACATTCACAAAAGAACAAACGAAAGTTTCCGGAAATATTGACGAACGCGCGAACAGTACATGTCTATTATCTTTGTTCATCCGACGATCGCCGAAGATTAACGACAGACGTATACATCCCCACACACAGACGCTTTAACTACATATTTAAATATGCTTTTTTGCCTTTTTATGATGGTCGGACTGCGTCTCGTTTTGCCCTGCATTACCCTACTGTGTAATAACTATGACAAATAACATCCAATTATTAATGGTAATTGCACTGAGTTGAGTGCAATTTGGTGTGAAATCAAACGCGTGATTACAAAATCGAACGACCGCGAAGCGGGAGTGCAATTTGTAATCACAAGCTCTGCGGGGCATATAAAATTCAAAATAATAGAATTTTGTCAAAAGGGGACAATGTTCCCCTGTAATTTGATTGGATAGTTACACTGAAATACTAAATCTGATTGGTTATTGTGGTGTAGAGCTTCAATCATATTACAAACTCAGCCCGGGCTGGAATTTCAGCCTGGTTTTAAAATAATTCTGACGTGTTATAAACACAGCCCGGGCTGAAACTTGCCATGTAATTGAAAAATATTTTCGCCCCGGTTTGAAAAAAAAACACTCCATGTAATCAGCCCCTAAGAACTGGTGATTAGCAACTTGCTCATTGGCTAAGAAAAAATGTTTGTATTTCAATGAAAAACGTCAGCAATTTAGCTGTCATTTTGCAAACTGTTTTTTTAAAAATGTCTCGTAAAAACAATATGAAATGAAATTAATATGAATAAAAACAATATGAAATGAAAACAATCAAATGAAATTATATAAACACCAAATATATAAATATATTAAAATATGATCAGAACTGGAAATGTTAAGCGCTTAAAGTTAAACGGTGAACAACTCGTACTTAAAATTTTTGAATTGTTAGGTGTCTACTTTGTTTATTTCGTGTTTAAATGAATTAAGATTTAAGAATGCATTTTATGAATTTGTATATCGTTTTTGCGAAGACCTAACCGACTATTTAAGGCTTTAAATCATCGTTTTAACTTCAAGAAGAGTTCTTTAAAGTGTAATTCGGAGATTTGATATAACAAATATCACTTCGAAGCTTTTATAGATTCACAGTGGAGCGTCCCCACTTTTTTACTCGCACGCGCTAGTAAGCGTTTACACCCGGTTCCCTTCTGATAAGCTCCGTCTCCGAGCACATTTTTAATTAGGAAAAATGGAATTTTTGCCATTAAAAAAATGCAATTTAAAAAATTTAACCGCTTTGACGTTTTTTTGTAGTGTAAGTTAAACGCTAAAATATATTTTCTTTAGAAAGCCCAGACATAATGTGCTTGGTGAAAATTTGATCAAAAAAGTTTGAAAAATGAATGAAAAAGTATGTAATGGAACAGCAACTTTGCTTGAGAAGTAAAGATACATAATTATGAATGTTTTCAGTGAATGTTTGTATCATCAAATGGTACTAATTATTAAAAAACTGATATCATCTGCGACCTAAAGCTATATAACGCCAAAAACTCGAAATGTCTTGCAATGTATTTTGTCGATATTTTTTAAAATTAAAACGCGAATTTAGAAGTATTCTTTGAAATTCGTCCTATATTGTTATTCTACAAATATGCAAACACTCTGCCTGTAGTTGACAAACAATAAAAAAGCAGCTCTGACAACGTTTTACTTTTGCAAACACAATTTGACAATTCGGGTGAATATGGCAGTCGACAAGGCAAATCAGATTGCACTTTTATACAAAATAGGATTTTAATATTGCTTTTAAAAACAACACGAACACTTAAACCCAACAAAACAAACAACATACCGTTAATCTCCAAGATTTTAGTCCAAAAATAAAAACAATCCGATCCAGTTTCAGAAAAAAATCAATTTTTCACCTTTCGAACAGCGTTTTCTTTATACTTTTGTATTGAAATTTGGCCGAAGGAGCTTACCAGAAGGGAATCGGGTGGTTGCGTGGCGCGTGGAAATGACGTGATATTTGGCAAAACTCGGGGACACTCGTTTCAATGCACTGTTTCAATATCACTCGTGAAAATGATGAATAAATGGCGCGATGCACCCAAATATGCACATGCCACGCCATTTATTCGCCAATTTCACGTCATCTTTGACGTTCACGTCCTCATGCTAAATCTCCCTAATTAAATCGGAAGAGTCGAGCCTCTTTCAACATTAAATCGGAAGAGTCAAGCCTCTGTCATTGATCTCTCCTCTGTGATAGAGTCGACTGCAATCACCGCATGATTTAAATAACCGGAAAACATAATTCGACGTTTAGTGTTTGGGGATATAAATTTTTCCTGTTTTGAAGGTTTGGCTATAGTGAAGTATTAACTATGTCCATATGACTATTACTGCATGCAACGCCTGCAGCAGGTAAACGGTGATTTCATTTCACCTTTACGATTTTGTTTGTTTCCAAAAAATGTGAAACATCAGCCATTATATTGAGGTCTGGCTAGCTCAGGAGAAAATTTGCTTCGTTTGAAATGGGAGGGGCTGCTGCATGCATGTATTTCTAGTAATATGCGTAACATTTTCTGTCACCCAGCACTTACCATTCATAACGCCCTCTCTCTTGACCTCAAAAGGAAGCTCGTTTAACGGCTGGTTGCTTGGGTACAAGCACGATATCTTGTTCCTCGAAGAGGACACTGTCCTATCACCAGACTTCGTAAAGGTTATGTGGTATGCAAGCGAGGTGAAGCGACGTAATGCTGACATCATACAGTTCGCGCTTGGCGGATGGTCTGGAGAGAACATGATCAATGCACATCCGGACACGTTTATCGTGCGCACCGCGCGAAGTATGCGTGGGATCGCGTACGGTATCAACCAATCGACGTGGTTGTACTTTAAAACCCTCGAGAAAGATTTTAAATCCGATAATCAAGCCGATTGGTGCGAATCGATGGGCTGGGTTCTGGGAAAACACAACGATAAAAAAGGGTTTAGGATTATCGTTCCAACGTTGAGTCGTTTTTGGCATATAGGTAAGTTAAGCGGACAAACTATACTGTATAACTTTATCTTTACTGGATAGCAATTGGAGAGCTTGGCCTTGTGAGGTAATTAAGCTTGTCCAGTTCAGCCCGTCTTCCACTGGGCAAATTTGTGTACGCGGATAAGATATCTGGAGTGTGATTGGCTGGGTTTGACACAACACAACTGGATAAGATGAAGTTCCTATAGCCACAGAGGTTTTTACTAATTAAACAACTTTGATGAAAACATGACCGAGTAATGTTGTGCTTCTCTACTCCATGAACTTTAAGGTTATCAAGTTGGCAAGATGCTGCAACTTGTTAATAACTATGTTCTTGGGCCCGGCAAAACATTGTATTATCCAGCATTGCTCACATCTTAAAGCAACAACTTCAGCTGCTTAATCAGTGATTATTTACTCTCGAATCTTCCTAGGTGTACACGGTCTGGGGCCGGGAGGTGATTTTAACTGGCAACGAGGCATCACAGCACAACCTAACTGGGCGTATGCAAGCAGGTTACTTGAACCAAAACATGCTCAAGTTAATCTTGGCCTCAGAGATCTCCTAGGCTTTCTTTGTCAGTACAGGGTTGATTTTTGGAATCTTAAAGACACGGAGTGTCTCAACAGCTTCAGAAGATGGAAAGGAAAGGATAGAAACAGAATAATGTGTGCGAAACAGCCATATGTTCATGATCCGTGCGATGTTTTTGTACCAAGTTGAAATATTTTAAATAGAAACTAGATTTTAGTCATACAGAGTTGTAAACAAGCTGCGGGTACGCGGGTACTACCCGGAGGAAGGTTTGCTTTCAATGAGGTTTTGCGAGGAAGGTTCAAAGTTGAACACTCTAATTGATCACATGCATGTAGGAAAAAACCAAATATTTCTTTATGATTTGAGTCCAGAATACGGGAAGTTTGTGAAATGGTTAACACTGATATGACACTCAAAACTATCTAGATTGTATACGTTTTTACCTTATAGTTGAAACTTTTTACCTTATTTGAGACTATTTATCTTAGTTGAAACTTACTTAAAAATGACAACCTCAAGGGAGGGCTGACCCTTATCCTGTCGATCAGCGTTGTAAGTGTGAACTGTGATTTTGCGTTGGAAGCTCGCTCCAGCTCCAGCTCCGGCTGAAACATTGCCTCTGTGAATGTTATTTTACACTTAACTACATATACTAATATTTTAATCGAGTTAAAAAATACAATTCTACCAAATCGCTTCTTACATCCGGGTTACCATGACATGCGCACGCACCGCCGAGGATCGGTGCCACAGAGGAGAGGTGAAAAATGATTTTTTTTAAAAAATGGCGGGCGAGTTCGTCGTGTTGAACCTTAAATTTTAAAACTTAATGGTAAGTGAATGTTTTTTCACTAAAAAAGTAAATACATCAATTCATCAAAGAAATTAAAGCGTAAGAACTTTGGTGAGATGGCGTGTCGGCATGAAAACCGCATGCCGATTTACTTTTGAAATTCGAACCACAGTTAAAAAGAGCATACCGAAATGAGTATAATTGCCAAGTTTGGCCTATATTTTCTGTACTTTACAATATTTTGCAGCCAAACTTGGTAATTTTACCTCCTAATCCCACTCCTCATAGTTGTATTTCCTGATTTTGTTGTTTTAATGGGTATCACTACAGTCATATTTGATCAAAACGAAGCAATGTCGGATAGAGTAATAAAAATTGTTGACAAAGCGAAGATCAAAAGGCTCTTGTCTTTTAAATTGCATTTTTTTAGGCTTAAGAATGCTGTTTCTCATTAAAAAGTGCAAAAACACTTGCTGGAGTTTCGCGCATGCGCATCCAAACAGGGACAAGAAAGCGCAGCAGTGAACGGTCTGTATGATCTTTCGATGAAATTTCAAAATATTCATTTCACTGGGCTACGGTGGTTTGGAAGTGCCATTTAATTTATTAATATTAATTCAAGACTTTTGAGAGAGCGTTCCAGACTTGACTTGATCTTACCTACCAAAAATCCTTTGTATAATAAGATCAAGTCGAGTCTGGAATGCTCTCTCAAAAGTCCTAAAGATTAATCCAACGATGACTCTAAAGGAATTTAAAACGGAGCAATTAGATTATTACAAAGTAGCATTAAATAAAAGTTATGATATTGACGATCCACGAACGTGGCAATCAACTTGCTTAAAATGCAATCAAGCATGAGGAGACCTGACTAGACCGATAACATGTTGTTTTTAGTTTCAGTTGAGTAGTTTGCGAAATTTTCTTTGTACATATACTGGTATATCTGTTTAAAATTAGGGAGCGCAGTAATTGGTAAAAGCTGTTGCGTTTCACTGCAAGTTGTTTGTGTCATTTATTTATGTTAATTTGTTTGTACCTGGCAAAGTTAATAAATGTATTTATTATTATTAAATAATAAAGAAAGTTAATGTTATACGGGTCTTCGTATCGTAGTGTCTCAGGTCTTAGGACGCTGGTCCGGTCGGTTACTTGGCCCCTCCGGTGAGTGTAAATTCGAGCTCAGTTTGCCTGATCTAGTTTGTTAGTTGCTTGCGTGACCCATCCCTCCCCTTTCCCTAACAGCTTCACGATTTTTGGTGAACTATACCGGAGAAGCGTCTTATTAATCTCGCTGGGTTTTTTTGTTAGTTTTGTTTTTTGCAGGGTTAAGCAAAGTTCTTTTTACAGCCTTTTCGTCGTTGAATAGGTGTTTGGGGTAAGAGGTAAATTCATTAATGATCGCCACACGTACAGGTATTTCCTTTCTTTGTGTGTGTACTTTGATGTTCGTATTGTTTATTCCACGGTTTCGCGTCAGTAACTCACGTGTGACAGTTGATCACGGGATGGAAGAGGTACCGTTAAATAGCATGGTTCGTAGAGTTATTATCTGCGCCGAAAACAGCAAACTCAAAGAAACACAGTTTTACCCTAGCCCGATCGTTTCGCTCGGATACCAGAGAGGTTAAGATACCCCGGTTCCGGTGTACGGGTACGGGTGAATTACACGTACCCGTTACCGGTAAGACGGGTACGGTTTGCAACTTAAGAATTTTCTTAAATTCCGGGTAAGAACAACACCGGGTAAGAACTGACTATAAAAGTAAATATGTATTATACATTTCCATTGTAAGTCCTACTTTTTATAACTATAGTATTTCGTGTGTTTGTTTTGAAAATCAAAAATATCAAGATGGCGTTCATAAATTATGTTTGCAAACCATTTTTGAGAAGCCTGAACAATATGAAGACCATATTAATACGTAAAATGTATTTTAAACGTGTTAAAGACACTCACCCGCTTCTCCATTTGTCCTTTATGAAAAAAACTTTGACCACTTTGTCTTTGTAGTTACCCGTTCGTTGTTTACGTGTAGACCGTCGTTTACAACGGGAAAACGGGTAGATATTACGGGTAAATATGCTGACATCAGCGAAAAATGGAAAACAAAATGGCGCTACCCGTACCCGTACACCGGAACCGGGGTATCTTAACCTCTCTACCGTCTCCATTCCTACCGATCGGCAGCGGGCGAAAATATAGTGTAAGAGCTGGTGTGTTATTGTACTAATTTGAGCCTTAGGATCCGTTAGAACGTTAAGATAAAATAAATGAAATAAAATTTATGGTGGTTTGGAAGGGCCATCAGTCTTCTTTCCTTTCCCTTAGGCGCCACTTAAGGTGCCACTTACCACGTTGAACTTAAAGTTCTTAAATATTAAATATGCTGCTTCTGGTGTCATAACATACAAAGTCAAATACAGTTTGATATCTCAAGCAAAAATGTATGGTTGTGTTATATTCTGCATCGTGTTACACTTAAATCGAGGCGTTATACACTTCAGTCGAAACGAACTTTTCGCCTGAAAATATTTTCACCTGTGCTTCCAAGCAACTGAGATTCTTGGATTTGTCGTAAATATCCATGGCTATACGTTAAGTATTCGACAGCTTAAAAGAATTTTGCGTGCTAGAGGTTGTCGAAGAAGGAAAGAGCCCAGTTATTTTGATGAAATCTTGAGGGTCATTGAGATGGAACTTGCGTCAAGCTCGAGTTTACTTGGCTACAGAGCGATGCACCAGAAATTAACAATCGATCATCATCTTGTTGTAAGAAGAAATGTTGTTCGCCAAATCCTGAAAGTTGTTGATCCTGAAGGCGTACAGATTCGATTTCGTCATCGCTTAAGACGGCGACGATATTGTGCTAAAGAGCCAAACTATATTTGGCACATCGACGACTATGATAAGCTTAAGCCATTTGGCTATTGCATTCATGGTGACAGATGGCTATAGTGGTCGAGTTTTATGGTTGAAATTCGCTGGTAGAGAATTTACTTTCCTCTTTTTTTGCCATTTTTTAGCTTCTTTCTGCGGAAAATTTATCTGCAGTAAACTTTTTTCTTTTCTGCTGTTTCTGAGCTCATTTCCTTCTCAACAAATGCGTGAAGAGCTAGTATGTCACCACGATGAACTAGTCCAAGTTCCTGAAGCACCTCGTTTGTGCTTTTTTTATCGTAGGTATATCCATCTGATACACTTGAAACACATTAATCAAAACCGAAATTCAAATGATTTAAAAACTACTACACAGGGGAAATATTCTGAAATAATTTACGCGGCGTTAAATAAGTTTAAAATTGACAGAAAAAGTTCATGCTATGTCTTGAAAGTACAGTTCTCTTACAGAGACCATAAAAAATATCTTGATGGGAATTCATTGCCACCAAGAAAGGTATGGTAGAAAACGCTGGTGCGGATAGACAGATGCGGATAGATTCTTGCGGATAATGGTAGAAGACGCGAGTAAATTCTTGCGGATAAAGTAGAAAACGTGGGTAGATTCTTGCGGGTAATGGTAGAAAACGCTGGTAAATTGTTTTATTATCAAACAATCATAAGTTTGGAAGAATAATCCGCTTAAGTCACGTTTTGACAAGGTTTTGTTACTTTTGTTAAATATATTTGGTTATGTGTTGGTTACTAACCATTACATTTTTGGCTTATCTTCAACAACTTATCTCAAATCACTCCGTCACTTGTGTCCAGTTTAGGAAAGCCGTTAGACTAGTTACCTATTTTGACAACTCGAAATGAGAAGTTTCCTCACTGCTACTATTATCCGCACGAATCTATCCGCATCCGCCTATCCGCACCCGCGTTTTCTCTATTGAGCAACACAGCAACTTTAATAAGTGCATGCAGATTGCAGAAGGCGATTTTCACAATGCGAATGGCTAGAAACTGGCGACATGCAGCTATTTAGCTTTCAAACAATACCTTTTCCAGTCATAAAAGCTATAAATAGACATGTTTATGTTTAAAAGTGTTCGATCATTTCCTGCTTTATATGAAAAGTTAATAAAATAAAATAATAAAATAAAATAAAGACTGTTATTATTGAGTTTACAATGAACAGAACATTACATTGTTCGCTCGAATTACAGCTTTTCGATCGATAAAATTGGTATAAAAAAATTCAAATGAGAAATGTGAACATGGTGGTTTGTTCGACCGTGACTTTTCAATAATTTTTGTCACAAAAACATAGATTTTGAACCAAATATGTATCGCCAAAAGAGGAAGAGACGTAATAGCCCTTGGAAAAAACTAAATTTTTAATTTTACTTAAGTTTGTGTCGGCCTTTTCCATATTTCCCCGACGAAAGCAGCCAAAAAGATTAATGAAAACATCACAAAAACGCCTCAATTGAAAGGCGAAACTCCCTCACCTGAAAACTTTGATAACAACGATGAAACCAAGCCTAAAGGCATTCAAAAGTGTGTAAACCAAAGGCAAAAACCGGGATATAAGTATAACTCGGCGAATAGCTTTGTAGTTTGTACTGCAAAAAATATAAATACTCTTTTTGGCACAATAAGCCTCGTTTCCATGTTGCGCGAAGGTCTTTATCAATAAAAAAGTTCTCAAAATCTGGAAAACAAATGGTATTGCAAATATAATTACTCGGGCTACTGTGGTAGCCGAGTCTAGGTTTCGCGATTATTACTCCGCCTGCGTATGCGCAGCGGAGTCTTAAAATGCCATGGTTTTTTTTCCTTTTCGTCGTAGTTTTGGGCGACAGAAGTTGGCATTTCTACAGTAACCCAAAACATTTTGACTGAGAAGCCCTGGGTTACACGGATGAACTATGTACATCAGTTGGCATTTAGGGAGGTTTTGGGGGTGATTTTGTGCAATGTTTATTTTTCTTCGTGTCCTTGTGCCTCGTGTTTGAATCGACGTTCTTCCCTTGTGAAAAATTGAAAAATATGAATGTCGAATTGAAAGAGCTTTCAGAACCATGTTCAACAACTACAAAGGTAAGTTTTTAAGATTTAGATTGTACTCATATGCTGTGGTTGTGTTTTAATACAAACTTACTAACTAAGTATATACAAATGTATTGCGTTTAGTTCAAAATGGCTGACACGTCGATTAAGAGCTCTAACAACGAAAGTGAATTTGATGTGGATAACAACGAAAATAAAGAGCCTAATGCGATAATTAACGCCACCAAACATCTAACAGTTAACCACAAAGGCAAATTTAGCTGGCATGGTTCGTTTGAAAGCCTTCAAGCTTTCATGAGTAAAGTTACTGAGACAGAGACAAGATGGACCCTGCCTGGTGGCTCGTGCAAAATGCTTGAATTGAACGAGGCGGTGATCAGATGGTATGCCGATAGCAAATCACTGATAATTAAAGGGAAATCTAGCGACAAGATTATTACACAGCTTCGCATAATCGCAAATTTAGCTCAGACCAACAACGAGGAGATAAATATCATCGAAAAAGCAAACAACTCTGACGACACTTTGGTCGATAACACTAACAGTAGCGGGGGCGAGGTCATAAATGGTCCGGCAGATGACAAATTAGAAAAACTAAGTGTCGCCGTACACGAACTTGAAGCAAAATTCGAACGAAAGATGAGTCAACTTGCATGCGAAATAAATGAGACAAGAATCGACTTATTTAACGAAAAAATGATCAGAGGAGAGAACGAAACCTTGAATAAATTAACGAACAATGAACAATCATCGGTTCTAAAAGGGTTACTCGCGAAACAAAACGAGAATTTGAAGAAAGAAAACGACAAACTTAAAAAACAGATCGATAATTATAAATGCGTTATGTCTGATCTTAACCAAAAAGTGAAAGACCTAGAAAACGAAAAAAGCAGCTTAGTCACAGTCAAATTCTACAAAACGAGCAAGAACAACATAAACCTGAGTCAACATGGAATATCGCAAATAGCTGCAAAAGAACGTCTAAAACCCAAAACATCCCAGAACGAAATCCCAGCGGTATTAAAGTCAACGATGAACAATGTGATTTACATCTACAAAATCAATTCGACATTCTAAGCGACGACAGTGAAATTAACCGAGACGTCTGGATAGAAAGAACAGATAAACAAAACCAACGCAAACATATTAGTGGTGATAAGACTAGACGACACCGAGAAACCAAAAGAAACACACAGGATCGCGGACCATACATGCACAAAAAAAAAGAAAGAAATGACCCAAAAGCAGTATAGGCCGTAGGATGAGCATCCAAAAGATGCAATTCCGTTGCACCCCTCGTGAAACTACATAATTTTCACATGAATCAATAGATAAAAACTTACTTTATCAGAATCCGTCGCTCCCCAAGTGAAACAGGTGCACAAATGGGAAAAAAATCCCTCCAAAGTTTGCTATATTCGCGCTTCGAAATATTCGAACCGCCATTGTTTTAGTAGCAAATACGCATGCGCTTGTCAGCCAAACTCGCACTGCGCACGCGCAGACAGGAAAAATGGATTTTCCCTGTGGGTTTTCCCCGATTTCCCGTGTAAAAATAACAAAATAAAATCACGGAATAAAGATCAAACCTTGTAATATTAACGAATAAATACACACACAATAAATATTGTTAAAACACATTGTACATTTTGCTTGCTCATATGCTAAATCACTTCAATTTATTGGCTATTGTTTCAAAATACCGTTTTAACGTATAATTCTACTTATTAACATCTTAATTCAATAAAAATTTGTGAGGTAAAAAACCCACCTGTATCAAACAGGACGGAGAATATATAAATATACATACAACTGACACAATCAAGAAACAAGTTAATTATTTCGCTTAAATATAGCCTTGGCCAAACGCAGCAAGAAACATTGTCGCGAAAATATTCATGATTTTCAATGTTTGCTCCAATGTTTCCCTGTCTCCAAAATCTGGAAACATTGGCTTTTAATGCAGAAACAAAATTTGCTTCCCGAAAAGCAAAAATATTTCCTACCAAATTTGGAAACATTTAATTCCACACTCTCTCTCCGTTCGCCGACGCTGGTAAGACAATATGACATAACGAAACATTGGTAAGAAAAATAGTATCACAAATATCTTTGCGCAACAATGTTTCCCAGTTTGTCCCAGGCTATTTATATAAACTCCTAGGAAAACCTCTGATTGAATTTTTAAATTTAATGTATTATTGAATAACTATGCAAGGTATGTTTGGCACTTCTTTAATTGTGCGTTCTATCCATCGCTGAAGTATATTCTATGGATATCAATCTTGGATTTGGACCAACTTTTCCATTCGTTCTAACAATCTTTTCCAACCATCTTTTCCAACCCATCTGTTCCAACCGACGAAGCCAGAATGCACCAGCGAAGGACCTTTAACTGTGACAAAAACATGTCCCAGGCACCAACTCGAAGTTCATCATAAAAAAAGATAAATTGGGAAGAAATATAAAACCTATAATTTCATCATAAGTATCTATAATTGAAAGCAATGCATGTTTTTTCCTTGAGACTAGATTTTCATGAGTGCAAGGCCAAAGCCAAGGCTGGTCAAGGGGCTACGCTCAAGACGAGTTTGCTTGTATTCTACAATCTACAATAAGCTGTCCTGGTTTTTGTCTGGTAAAGTTCTACTTCTCGTCCTTGAACTATTACATATATTGTGTCATAAATTGGTATTTAGCAACAATCTAGAATAACAAGGAAAAATTCAACCTGGTTTTTCGCGCCCAACACTAGCTGACTTTTTCTTGTAGATTTGCTTCTGCGCCAGGGTGCGCTTCAGCTTCTCAACCATTACCATACTGTTAACCCTATTCACGAGAGAGACGTACGTGTTGATAATATAAATACTTGTGGATCCGAATGAGAATACCGAGTAGGTAAATAAAAACTGATCTACTGCACTGCGCAGATAATACCTACGTGCATTACCATCATTGTTCTTCAAATATACCATCGAATCCAGTGTCATCGCCATCAAGTTCGAATAAGCCATCGTCATCGTCATCATCTGATAAATCGTTCTCGTCTGTATTCTGATCCGAATGAGAATACCGAATAAGTAAATAAATACTGATCTACTGCACTGCGCAGATAATACTTACGTGCATTACCATCATTGTTCTTCAAATATACCCTCGAATCCAGTGTCATCGCTATCAAGTTCGAATAAGCCATCGTCATCGTCATCATCTGATAAATCGTTCTCGTTTGTATTCTAGTCGGGCGAATTTGTGCAATCGCAACAGGAACAAAGACCAGTACACTTCAGTTCTGCTTTTTGGCAGGCACAACGTCTTGTTGAACATCCAGACTTACAACCACAGTTAACGTTTTCCAGAATTCCATCAGGAGCTGCCGGCATGGTCATCCATTTGATAGTGACTTCACCTTCATTTACTTCCCAACCAAACTCGCTGATTGGAGGGGGTGACATAACTGGTTGGAGTGCACTTTTCCATATGCGGCATTGATATGAGGCACGATTTGTATGAAGTAAAAGAACGTCTTTCGTGCATGGCATGGTGTTCTCTGCGTATTGACCAATGCTGAATAGGTTGAAACGAGCAAGATTAACATCATCGGTAGAAAGCTGTCCATATAGACGACAGACATACTTTTCGATATCTCGAAACAACGTTGTTGAGACCGCGTATGTTGATCCAAGTGACTGGAAAGTAGACAGAAATTCTGGAAATTTCTCTAAAGCGTTCAAGGTCTTTGTCTTTCCTTTTCCATAGAAGGCACTGGTACTGTCACAGCCTTAAATTACACAGAAATGAATACGTCAGATCTATTTCTTGTATTTTTCAAATGGTCAAAAAATTTGCGACAACACTCAAATTTGTATACCTGTGAATGCATGAAAGCCAATGAGAGCATCACAAAGCTCAGAGCCAAGAGTTAGATGCACTTTAGCAACATCCAATATTCTCCTTTGGTTTCCAATCCCTGTGTCAAAATACAATGATGTTGGTATCGCTAACTTATGTCCTAATAGCAAGATGAATACATCAGTGTCGGGGCTGCGTATGACGACATGACCATGAGTTCTTGAAGCTTGTTTAGCGTGAAGTAGTAGTCGTGTGTCTGCTTCTTCATGGTCGCTGTACAGTTCTTCGCATTCCTCAATCTGAACTTCCTCTCGATTGTTGGTACAGAATTGATGACACATCTTGCCATGACTGACAAATAGTTCAATATTTCCCATCAAATTTGACAACCTTTCAACGTGTTTCAGATGCTGAAAGAAGAACTCAATTAAAGATTCTTTGTTCTTTCCAACCGACAAGAATTTCTTGAATTGCCGTGGTACTTTCTGGTCTGCACCTAGAATCCTAACGACTGTTGATCCTCCATCAGCACGACTACTCCTTTCCATGTTCTTAATACTAACGTCGGGGTATGTGTCACACACGAAATCAACTCTTGTTGACTTTGAATTTGATGCTAACGATAAAATTCTACGGAGTATGATCTCAGCTAACTTCCCGAAGGTATCAGGGATGTGTTTCATCATCTGGATAAGAGCCATTCCATCCAATATCAAAGCATTATTAGATGGTACGCGTTCGATCGCTGGATCTTCTACACGACTCTCGAGAACATGCATTAACTTGGATTTGGGTGTTTTGACAAGCTTTCCATCAACAGTTGCAATAGGTGATGGGAATTTTCGAAGACTATAGGTCAGAACGTCTTTCATGTCAATGTTTCTTGATTTTCCCACTGCAAGCAACCGTGATACAAACTTAAGGTCATTCTTCAACTCAACAATTTGTCCTTTGCTGGTCTTTACTTTAGTTTTTCTTTCCATTGTTGAGAATGTGTTCAGCTTTGTTGCTTTAAGCGTTGCAAACAGATCTGGTTCACTTGTTAATAATTGTTCTGACATAAAGGTCTTACATTTCTGTTCTCCTATATCTTTTGCCGAGATCATGTCATTGGAAACACTTGCAGGAGCCACCTTTCCACTGGCGATATTAACCATGCTGCCTTCTACTTCAAAAGGATTGCTCATGTTCATGATTACTTCCACAACATTTCCCACTTCATGCTCATGGTGCTTAATTTGTGTCTCATCCATGTCTTTACGTGATCTGCAATGGAAAATTAAACTTACGTATAAGCAACCAGTTAAAATAAAAAGTGCTTCCAGTGCTTTCCACGATTACCGGGGGGCATAGAAACCCTTGGTTGACTGTACAGTATACCTGTACACTAAGCAAACCTGTTGTCTGTATTGATGTAAAAATCATGGGGTCATCATTATCTACTGTACAATATTTTTAACATGGTGGATAAGTGGAGCTTTGTATTGCCCAAAATGTCAAAGTACAGTGATTCAGCATTTTTATATTTTAGGACAAATTTTTTACCTAGTATGTGATGAATTATCTGCCATTGTGAGACACTGTCTTGTTATGGCACCACGGTCAGCCTGTGACATTATCCATCTGTGCACTGCACCCCGATTTAGAGTAAATCCAACCAGACCTCCCCTCACTTTTGAATCACGATTATAGGTCTGCTCCATTACCTGGTCACATGCGGTTGACGAAAAACCATGTGCTGTCTGACGCTGACATGTCCAGTTTGTTATAATATCATTGGTCACCCCTAAAAAAATGTTGAGAGTTTACATTTCACTGCAGCACCTTTAATAACAATCTAAAATAGAGACTGCGGAGGGGCTTGGCCTCCCCAATAATTTTCCATACATGTCTGAAAAAATTTTATTCCTTATATAATGGCTTGTGTAAGAGCCGTTTAATAAACTTTTTTGCAGAAACTCCGTGGCCCGTGTAAAATATTGTATGTCTTGCCTGGATGTGATGTTTCAATACATAGCATCTCCAACCAGTATGCTGTACCATATCTAGCATAGTGAACTCTGTCAGTTGCGAAAAACCATGGCAGCATTGATCTAACTGCTGAGAGATGTAGATCCCAGTCGTTTTCTCTTGTTGCTCGTAAAAACATTGATGGTGCTGGGAGGGATCTTGACCTTGGAATGCTATCCCGTCTCTGTAACTCAGTACTTGCACTTTGTTCCCTTTGAATGATAATGCCCCCAGTGATGTGAGTTGTCTCTTTGCCAGATCTAGTTTCTTCTGAGAAATCATCATTATCCCATGCAAGAGTAGTTGGAACATCACTAACAAAGCCTGGAGGAATAGCAGAATCATTGGATATATTCATCTGTGCAAGGGCAGTTTCATGGCACAATACAAATGAGTGTGACATGCAATGTCCAAAGCCACTCAATAGAGAAATTACTGAGGCTGAACCTGTCAGTTGTCTAAGTGCCATGGCAAGTGCTATGCTCTTGGGTGTAGGATTCCTTCCCCCAGATGCTAAATTCACAAGGTCTTGTACAATTGATGTTAGTTTGGAACTGTTCTTGCCCTCAATTGGCACGTACTCACTTAAAGTTGGCTCTGAAGAGAATCCACAAGTCCAAGCCAATACATTAAAAAGTTCACATGGAACTACTTTTTGCACATTATCCATTGTCAAATCAGATGCCAATGGTGGCCAAGGAAGATTCAGTTTTGGTATATCTTGGATAAACAACAATTTGAAATAATTAGCATTAATGAAACTATGCTCGACTCGTCGGTGTCTGACCAGGAAATCAAAGTTAAAGGCTACGATGTTGTAAGGAAAGATAGAAATAGACATGGCGGTGGAGTCGCAATATATGTACGAAACGTAATAAATTTTACAGTAAGAGACGATTTTAGTGATGATAGTCTTGAGACAATCACCCTTGAAATTTCGAAACCAAAATCCAAGCCATTTATAATTAATTCTTGGTACAAACCACCTAACACCACACTTGAAATTTTCGATGCATTTGAGCATTTAGTTAACCAAATGGACTCTGAAAACAAAGAAGTAATTTTACTTGGAGATTATAATTGTGACTGGTCTTGTCTGGCTTCTAATAACGCTAATTCTCAAACAAACAGGCTTGCCGAAATTACTCAAATACTACAATTTCAGCAATTAATTACTGAACCAACACGGATTACATCAGATAGCAAAACGTTAATAGATTTAGCATTCACAAATAAACCTGAATTGATTAATGGTTCGGGAGTCATTCACTTGGGCATTAGCGATCACAGTTTGATCTATATTCAGCGGAAAATCGCTGCCCCTAGTGAAAAACCAAAACTTATAAAATCAAGAAATTTCAAACACTATAATCTAAGTTACTTTAAGTCAGACCTCTCTACATACCTGTATGATCAAACGTATTATGATATAATACTTGATCCAAATATTATGTGGGAAAAATGGAAAACTATATTTCTGTCGGTTGCAGACTTTCACGCCCCAGAGAGAACAAAAAAAGCTAGAAGCGAATATGCACCATGGATAACTGATAAAATTAAACAAACAATGCATCGAAGAGACTTTTTAAAGAAAAAAGCGGTTAAAACTGGTTCGAAGCAATCTCATGACGCTTATAAAAGCGCACGGAATGATTTAAATAGACTAATTAAGAATACAAAAGCTATATACTTCACAAATACGTTGAATGGCTGCAAAAATAACCCAAAGAAAATGTGGGAAATAATTAATAATCTTACAAACAAACAGTCAAAAACAACCCTTATATCTGAAATTCATTATGAAAACCAAAATTTAACTGAAAGGAAAGATATTGCAAACGCCTTAAACCTACATTTCAATGAAGCTGCCTTTCGGCTGGCTGAAAATATGCCACAGAGCTCAAGGACGCCCGAATCATATATAACAATTCCCAATGCACAATTTGTATTACAAAATGTTTCAGTAGATAAAACATATAAATTACTATCTACAATCAACATATCAGCAGGACATGATAGAATATCAGGTAAACTTCTAAGAGATGCTGCCGAAGTAATAGCTCCATCACTAACAGCAATCTTTAATACATCTATAAATACTGGCATATTTCCTGAAGATTTTAAGACAGCTATTATTTCGCCAGTACATAAAGCTGGAAGCAAAACTGATTGCGATAATTATAGGCCAATTTCAGTTTTATCTTCTGTTGCTAAAATACTTGACAGACTTATCACAGAACAACTAGAAATTTTTCTTGAAACTAATGAAATACTAGTAGAACAACAAGCAGGATTTAGGAAAAATCACTCTACTCAAACTTCACTACTTAATAATACAAACCACTGGCTAATGAATATGGACAAGGGTTTATTAAATGGAGTGATTTTTTTGGATCTTAAGAAGGCGTTTGATTGCGTTGACCATAACATATTATTTAAAAAAATGCATTGCTATGGAATAAGGGGTCACGCGCTCGCCTGGTTCCAGTCTTATCTTTCTAATAGAACTCAAATGTGCAAGGTAGATCAAATATTATCTGAACCAAGAACTGTTAAATGCGGAATACCTCAAGGATCTAACCTTGGACCACTTTTGTTTCTATTATATATAAACGACCTGCCAAATTGTCTAACTTCATCATCGGCAAGCATGTTTGCAGATGATACAAATATTTCAACCAGTGGCAAGACTAGTGAAGAATTACAAGAACACCTAAATACTGACTTAGAAAACGTGCATCAATGGTTACTTGCAAACAAACTTACACTCAATAAAAATAAGACTGAATATATGATTATTGGCTCAAGACAACGAATTTATATTTCAAATCTAATATCAAATCCTAAAATTGAACTCGGCGAATCAGTTATTAAACAGGTCCAAAAATCAAAAACATTAGGTGTTATAATTGACCAAAATCTTTCATGGAGCCATCAAATCCAACACATTTTCACCAAAGCTTCACGAGGAATAGGAATGATGCGACGAATAAAACAGTTTGTCCCAAAATCAACTCTAATAAAAATTTATAATGCTATTGTGTTATCACACTTTGACTATTGTAGCCTTGTATGGGATAACTGTTGTGAATACTTAAAAAATAGACTCCAGAAATTGCAAAATAGAGCAGCTCGCGTCATAACTGGTAGAACATACGAAGTTAGTAGCGAAGATGTCCTAAAGGAATTGGACTGGAAGCCTTTAAATCAACGATATAATGTCAACAAAGCAATCTTTCTGCACAAAATGCGAAATCAAAAAAATCCATCATCAATTTCTAACATGTTCAAAATAAAAAGCAACGATAGATATAATCTAAGAAGCAACTATAACGATTACGATCTTGGGAAACCTAAAACAAATTTCATGAAAAAAGTTTCAGTTACTCAGCTGCATCACTTTGGAATGGTTTATCCAATGAAGCGAAAGAATTAGGCATAAGTACTAAAAAATTTAAACGTATTCTTGACGACACTTGACCAAACACCAAATGTATATGTATAGTTATATTTGTATATTTCTGTAATGTATTTTAGTTCTTTTTAATTGTATGCGTGTGATACACGGCCCTTTGAAAATCAGGCTAACTGAAAGGTTACCGTGTTTAAATATTTTAAAATAATAATAAATAATAATAATAATAATAATAATGTTTGCTCTGTTTGCTCTCAGAAATTATACATACTACAAGTATGACCATAGGTAGCCCAACACTTGTGTTCCGCGCGCGTACACGCTACTCAGTTATTAGCATATATTAATTTATCTTAAGGTTGGCAACTTTATCACCAATTATCAATAATATATCACATACATACATGTCAAACTTCGATAAAAACTGAAAAACTACCACAAAATACTGCAAAATTAATAAATATAAATGAACTTGGATGTATTTTCTAAATTCCGACATAGTTTTTAGCTTCAAAATGTATTGGGAAATACGGAAATTTGTTCATTTGAATTAAAGTTTTTGAAAATATATTGTCAAAATTTTCTTGTCGATAGGCGGGATCCAATTTACTCTATATTACGTCACCTTCGGAGATATCCGGAGTCAATCCTATCGGCTGCTCTCTCATTGAGAAATCTTCGGAAATTTTCCGACTTTTCAGCGGCCAATAGGATAAATAGGATTGACTCGGGATTTCTCCGAAGGTGACGTAATGTAGAGTAAATTGGATCCCGCCTATCGACAAGAAAATTTCGATAATATATTTTCAAAAACTATATTTTTAATGAACAAATTTACGTATTTCCCAATACATTTTGAAGCTGAAAACTATGTCGGAATTTTGAAAATACATCCAAGTTCATTTACATTTAATAATTTTGCAGTATTTTGTTGTAGTTTTTCAGTTTTTATCGAAGTTTAACATGTATGTATGTGATATATTATTGATTATTGGTGATAAAGTTGCCAACCTTAGGATAAATTAATATATGCTAATCACTGAGTAGCGTGTACGCGCGCGGAACACAAGTGTTGGGCTACCTATGGTATGACAGACAACAGTTTGACAGGCAAAGCACCTCATTTTGTGACCTTTTGTCACCTGTAGTGTTTCCTCGTGTTGGTCTTTAGGTCTATAGATCCATACTTAAAAATGTTCACAACTTAAAATATTTATCATCAACAGCTATTAAAATTATCAAACATTGCTTCTGTGAACCTTATTTTACTCTTAACTACTTGTACTCCTATTCTAATCGAATTAAGCTTTCTCTGACCACAGCTCTGACGTAATGCTAAAATGCTCGACCGCGGAGAATATAAAACACAATTGATTGACAAGAGAACTTTGCAGCTGCCTAAAAGTAAAGCTCCCTTGTCTTTAAGGTTAAATTTAGCTCCGCTTGAGCTTTTAAGATAGTAACGTAAACTTTACATGTTCATCTAAACCCACTATTTGCCTAAGAACGACATATTGGTCAAAATGATCGACAGAAGTGTGAAGATTACTACTGCATTAATTATTCACCCAAACTGTCAAGCTTGCAGAAGGAATGCATATATAGCATGACTAAATCGTTAGGCTGGCTTCGTGCTTTCATATATGCAATGACTAAATGTGTTACGCAAGGCTTTATTGAGTTCAGAACAATGCATATATAACAATGCATAAATAGGAATATCAACTGGCATGACAGGGATTAATAATTGATTCAGTTCAGCCACAAGCTGCATGAGTAAATAAGGGACCATGCAAAATTTATTTGTTTCCAGCTGATCTGAGAGATTAAATCAACGAATCAGAAGCCAGACACATCATTTCTTTCATTTCATATGACTTTGGCACTGGAAAATTTTAAGTAATTCTATAATTTTCACGCTGAAACACGTTTGTTTTTCCAAACTGTAAATAAGAATTTCTTTTTATGTTACGCAAGGCTTTATCATGTTCAGTTATATGCATATATATTAAAATAGTTATAAAAATGGGAAATATCACCTGCCATGCGTTGTATAACAATGTAATTTTTAGCCTTTCGCAAATATCAATTACAAATTGTATGTTATTATCATAATTAATTTTTTTAGAAATGCGTTGTCTGTCAATGAACACCAAAATATTAGCATAGACATAAGATTGGCTACGCTGAGTGACAAGAAATGATGTTCAAATTGCGTTTAGTTTTTGTCGTTTCTGTGACTTTACTGTTGTTTATCATCTGCCTTTTGTGGACGTTTGTCCCAGACGAAGGAAGAAATGGACAATATTTTGTTGAGATGAAATTAGGAGTTCAGAGTGTCAATACAGCGCTGCGGTCTATTATGGCGGGAGTCAAGGATATAAGGAACGATATAAATAAGCTACAAGCACAAAAGCCACTAGACGATTTACCGCAATGGATCGAGCGTTTCCAAACTCCGCAATGGACGGACTTCAAACCATGGCGTGGAGTGCAGGTGTTTTTTGTATCATATCGTTATGCCTATCTTAGAAAGTGTGTCGAGTCCATCGGTGTGGCTTCGGCGGATATCGACAAATCATCGGTATGTGTGTTTGTACTCCATCGCACACCAAAGACTACCGCGAGAGACGTGAACCAAACGTTGGAGGTAATTCGAAACGTGACTTTCTGCAAAGTCTTCGTGTGGAAAGTTAAAGAGGACAATAAAGAGAAAAACTACGCTTTGAGATTAAAACGTCATTGGTGGTTTGTTCTGAAGTCTGTCTTTGACGCAACTCTCACTGGTATGTATGCCATAATTCTGCTTTAACCGTCTGCGCTCGCTTCAGTTTTAGTCGACAAGACTTAAATGCATGTTATGACAAAAAAGAAACAGCGAACTATCTGTTTTGTAATGTGTAATAACTATGACAAATACCAACCAATTAAAGCATAAAGCAACGATTAAAATTTCAAGGTGTGTTCTTGTGTCAGTTGTGTGTATGAAGCATAGTAAAGAGATGATTATAGGCGACGTAACATTTTCTGTCACCCACAAGAGAATCTAGCACTTACCATTCATAACGTACTCTCTCTCTTGACCTCAAAAGGTAGCTTGTTTAACGGCTGGTTGCTTGGGTACAAGCACGACATCTTGTTCGTCGAAGAGGACACTGTCCTATCACCAGACTTCGTAAAGGTCATGTGGTATGCAAGCGAGGTAAAGCGACGTAATGCTGACATCATACAGTTCGCGCTTGGCGGATGGTCTGGAGAGAACATGATCAATGCACATCCGGACACGTTTATCGTGCGCACTGCCCGAAGTGTGCGTGGGATCGCGTACGGTATCAACCAATCGACGTGGTTGTACTTTAAATCCCTCGAGAAAGATTTTAAGTCCGATAATCAAGCCGATTGGTGCGAATCGATGGGCTTGGTTCTGGGAAAACACAACGATAACAAAGGCTTTAGGATTATCGTTCCAACGTTGAGTCGTTTTTGGCATATAGGTGAGTTAAGTGGACAAACTACGTAACTTTATCATTACTGGATAGCAATTGGAGAGCTTGACCTTATGAGGTAATTAAATTGTCAAGTTCAGCCCGTCTTCCACTGGGCGAATTTGTGTACGCGGATGAGATATCTGAAGTGTGACTGGCTGGGTTTGACACAACACAACCGGATAAGATGAAGTACCCATATAGTCACTGTGGTTTTTACTAATTGATCAACAATGTTGGGCTTTTCTACTCCATGAACTTTAGGGTTATCAAGTTGCAGCAGTTTTTGTTTGTTGTTGACAACTGATGCTGGAACTTGTTAGCAACCATGTTCTTGGGTCCGGCAAAACATTGCATAATCCAGCATTGCTCTAATCTTGAAGCAACAACTTAATCAGTGATTATTTACTTTCGAATCTTCCTAGGTGTACACGGTCTGGGGCCGGGAGGTGATTTTAACTGGAAACTAGGCATCACAGCACAGTTACTTGAGCCAAAACATGCTCAAGTTAATCTTGGCCTCAGAGATCTCCTAGGCTTTCTTTGTCAGTACAGGATTGATTTTTTAGATCTTAAAGATACGGAGTGTCTCAACAGCTTCAGAAGATGGAAAGGAAAGGATAGAAACAGAATAAGGTGTGCGAAACAGCCATATGTTCATGATCCGTGCGATGTTTTTGTACCAAGTTGAACTGAATATTTTAAATAAAGCAACTTCGGATCTTTGAAACTAGATTTTAGTCATATTTGAGAATCTAGTTTAGTAATACAGGAAGTTTGTGAAATGGTTAACACTGATATGACACTTGAAACTACTTGTATACGTTTTAACCAAAGGAAATTTAAACTTTAAAATGACAACCACAAGGGTGGGAGGATATAATTTTTTTGAAATGAGTAAATAACACGTTTCTGGTAATCGTGTTCAGTGTTATCGTCCTAAAAATAGCATGTGATTGTTCTGTTTCAAAGACTCTTTTCAATACCACAAAGTCTATTTTACATTTCGTTAAATCTTGGTAACCGGGCTCATGTGAACAGCCCCTTAAGGTTAGTTTCCACTCAGGAAAATTCTCTTTGAATCGGAGTTTTCTTTGTATAAACGCCGCCTGAGAACTCACCGACAAAGGAAATTTTCCTGTCCGTTCCGATCCAAAGGAGATTTTTCTGAGTGGAAACTAGCCTTTAGAGACGGGAAACTCATCTTAAACGGGAAACTTTCTGAATGTGAATCCGGTCACGGACGAGTTTCCTGTCCCAATTTTCCCGTCTAACTTTCCCGTCTAAAACTGACTACACAGACGGGTAAAAGTTGTACGGGAATCCCGTCTGGACGGGGAACTCGTAATTATTCGAATTTGGACGGACAAATTGGTCGAGTTATTGAAATATCAATGCGGCCAGCCGGGCCAGGGATGGAACAAGGCTAATCTACAAAATGATTATCAGTTGTAATGATTCGGATATCTGACCTATCTGACCCATACGTATAAATTCCCGCCTTGTTAAGTTTTTTCAAAGTGTTTATCACGTATTGAAACGTTAACCAAGGTTTTTGAAAAATTTTTTCATAAAAATGCCGCGTTTTTTTGCCGCTTTTGGATGCCATAACTTATTGTTAAAGGAAAATATTTCCTCATATCGGTAAGAAACTTTTAACCATATTTTTTAGTGTTTTTTTTTCGGACATTGTTTTATTATCTTGTCAGTTGAATTTGTCAGTTTTATAATTTTAACTGCGAAGCAGTGGGTAAGTGGTTGGTAAATACTAAACAGACTTCAGGGATATAATATCAGATCATGTCAGAATAACTGGACACTCAGACTAGCGTTTACAAGTGTTAGTAATGTCTTTCTTGTATTGTTAAAAAGGTGAGGTTGTATCAAAAACTCTTGTTAGAAAAGTCTTAAAGACTGGTAGTATTTCTGTATATTTTGCATTTTTTGAACTGAAGAATGACAATTATTACATAAGTATGTGATTTCAATACATAGCTAGCCTAGATATTATTTGGTATAATTTTATTTTTATTATATGATTGATTTGAAGTTTGCTGGGTTGTGGTACATCAATTAATTATATAACTTTCACTATGCTGTTGCATTTTTTTCACTAAACTATTAATTAAAATATGTATTATTGTTATTCATGCAGTTTTCCAGACGTGAATATTTATCCTGAAATACGTGCCATATGGATTGAAAATGTGAATAAGATTTCCCCAGTTAAGTTTGTACGTACAAAGGAAAGCCGATTATGTTCAGATCACTTTACTATGGAGATGAAACAGCAGACTGGAAAAAGAGTAATTTTGAAGCCAAATGCTATCCCAACTGTGTTCCAAAAATCTCAGTTTGATACCTATGCTAAAAATTTTACCACAATGTTTAGATATATCTATATGACAGTGATATGTTTTAACTGGTTTATAGTTTTGAATAGTACATGTCTCATGTAGATACCCATGAAAACTGTTCCTCGCCTATAAGAAAACTCTTTGTGGTATATATTGTTTTATAAAAATGTATGACAGGCACTTTATTTATTAGATAATTTGGTATATGTTTTGATGATGTCATATGCCTAATTAAAGCCTTCTGTATACATTATTGTTGATGATGATCTTTTAATTAATATCAATGAAATTATAGGAAATACACGTTGGTAAGTCAGAGATGGAAGAAAAAATGGTTTGTGGTTACAAAGAGTAAAATCGGCAAATGAGGTGAGTGATGGAGCATTAGATTTGCAGGTCACAAAAGTAATGGGTAACAAAGAAAGTGTAAGTATGAGGGATGGTGCTGGGGCAATCACAATTGAAGACAATGTAAGTACTGAAGGCAGTGTAAGTATGGAATACAACGTAGGTAATGAAGACATTGAGGGGGTCACTGAAGAAATTTCTAGTAGTAATGAAGGTGTAAGTATACTCGGAAGGAAAAGAAAACTTGAGGATGAAGTGATTTTGGATGAGGTAAGCACTGCTCTGAAAAAGGCTCATATTACTAGAACATCTGGAGCAGTGAATCATGATCACACATATCACATCAGTAAATCTCGTTGTAGTTTGAAACAACAAGTCGATGATGTTGTCAGCAAATTGACAAAGTTGCAGAAGAGGTATAAAGTATCCAAACGAAAGACTCGGCGCCTGAAGAGAAAGGTTGTGACTCTGAGTTCAGTGGTAAGTAAGTTAAAAAAGAAGAGTCTTATAAATAGTGATTGTGCCTCAATCTTGGAAACAACCTTTTCCGGAGTTCCAAAGGAACTGATGAAAAGGTTGGTGTCGCAAAAGAAAAATCCTGGCGCGTATCCACCTGAGCTAAGGTCATTTGCTCTGACCTTAAAGTTTTATTCAACGAAGGCATACAATTATGTTCGGAAAAGTTTCAAGCTAGGGCTGCCACACGTATCTGTGATCCGATCGTGGTATACGTCGATGGATGGTGAACCCGGTTTCACGAAAGATGCCTTGACAGCTTTGAAAGATAAGGTTCTTGCTGCAAGAAGAGATAGTGAAGAAGTTGTTTGCGCTCTCACCTTGGATGAGATGTCTATACGAAAACACGTTGAGTGGGATGGTAAGAGATGTCGACCTCGGAACGGGCATTGAAGACGACTCTCTACCTGAAGCTACCGATGCTCTTGTGTACATGGCCGTTTGCGCAAACTCAGGTTGGAAAATACCCTGTGAAAATTTTCTGTTGAATGGGCTGACTGGTGAAGAGAAGGCCAACTTAACGAAAGAATGCATTCGAAAATTGCACGAAGTCGGGGTGAAGGTGCTTTCTTTCACATGCGACGGTCCATCGACCCACCAGGCGATGTTCTTACACCTGATAGCCTGCAGGCGTATTTTCCGCATCCGTGTGATCCAGAGGCCAAGATCTACGTGTTTCTGGATGCCTGCCACATGATAAAGTTGGTGCGAAACACAATGTCGGACTGGCAAGTTCTGAAGGATGAAGAAGGGAACACAATTCAGTGGCAATTCATCGAGAAATTGCATCAGTTGCAAGAATCAGAGGGTTTACATCTAGCAAATAAGCTTCGGGCAGGGCATATCAAATGGAAACCACAGAAGATGAAGGTAAACCTAGCAACACAGGCGCTCAGTTCGAGTGTCGCTGATGCTTTGGAATACTGCGAAGGTAAGCTGAAATTGCCACAATTTCAGGGATGTGGTCCAACTGTGAAGTTTATTCGTGTTTCTGATCGCTTATTTGATGTTCTGAATTCCAGAAACCGGCTGGCGAAGAATTACAAAGCGCCAATCAGGAGATCGAATTATCAGTACACGAAGAAGTTTCTGGACCAGGCGAATGAGTACATCCGAAATCTAAAGGGTCCTGATGGAAGATCGATTCTCAAGTCGAAAAGGAAAACCGGATTTCTTGGTTTTTTTATTTGCATCAAAGCAATTTTGGGATTGGCTGACGATCTGGTTATGCCGGAGAAACCTGTCCTGAAGTACCTTCTGACGTACAAGATGAGTCAAGATCACTTGGAGTTGTTCTTCGGTGCTGTGCGAGCATGCAGAGGATGGAATAACAATCCAACCACACGGTAGTTTGTAGCCGCGTACAAGCAACTGCTGATGAGGCACAATATTAAAGGAGGTCATGGAAACTGCGTTGACTTTATGCTTGACAAGAAGAATGGCATTCTTCTGCATTGAGAATTCATCCCAGTGAATATACACAAGATGGTGAATGAATTTATCCTCACAGCTTAATACTGAAGAAAAAAGTGGCAATGTATTGACATTATTGCAAGTGTAATCCTCACAGCCTAATGCAAAAAAAAGTGAATTGAAGAAAAAATGTCAATGTATTACAGCAACTGTTAGCATTACTGCATTTTATCAAGTTTATTTAAATATACAACTATACCATGAAGAGATACCACACTCTGTGCAAGCCATATATAGCTTCCAAAACATTGCCAAAATCATGGGATGATATGTAATGAAGAAAACGCGTAAATGATATACTCTTGGCAGAGTGTCATTTGGTTGTGGGTAGTATATGATCGAAGAATTTTTCCTCTTACTTCTGTGATCAATCATTTAAGCAAAGTGTCACAGATAGAATGGTTTACATGCTTTGGCACCTGACAACAGTAGATAGATTTTTAGATTAATTGTAGAATAGAGATAATTAAATACTAACATGTAAAATGTACTTTGCACAATACATTTATACTGTGTGCTTAATTTTTTAATAAGTTCACCAGTAAGTAGCTTGTTTTTATCCTTTCCAATTATAACAAATACCATTATTTTTGTGGTACTTTAAGGCAGACAGTAATCCAATCTTCTGACCCTTTGTCCCTATTTAGTTTTTACATACCATCGATCTCATTACTTCATGTTAGTAATAATATCTTTTCCACTGTCTGGGCCAATCAGATTGTCGTATTTTTTTCGCGCTCTTTTTTATTTTTTGTTTATTTCATGTAATTGACCGGAAATTGTATTTAAAGTAATAAGGTACGAGCTGGTCTTTAAATATAAATTATATAGCGTTTTATCAGTTTATTATTTTCAACATTTGAGAAAAAAATCATATTTTAGAGCGCTCAAAGGGAAAACGGAGAAAATATTAACATCGTGAACGGTCGGTACATATGTGTTTCGCGATATACGTATTTCACATTTAAAGCTTAAAACACCCTTAAAAAAGTTTAGGATGCCTTTCAAAAAAAGCTAGTTGGGTAATAGTTGTTATAACTACCTTATATTCAGTAAATCGTAAAATTCTATATTGAAGGGCCTAACGAAGATGACAAAAACGGCGAGCCGACGTCCGCCGAGGTTGGCGAAGCCGAAGAAATCGCCAAAATGGTATGAATTTTTAAGACATGTACTCGTAATAAGTTTGGACCGGTTTTTGATAAAATATATCATAGCTAGAGCATGCATGTATCTATCTTTGTTTCTAAGCATATAGCCCGCAGAGCTACAGCCATGTATAAAAAACATGCTACCTTTCCTATACGTAATTAAAGGCTTAGAAACAGCATTGTTATGATTAAGGTGTTTTGTCCCCTCATATATAAATAATTTTTCTCAAATATCTTTCACACAGATGATAAAGAAAGAAAACAATTCCAAGGTAAACCATTTAGAATTTATTGCTCCCTTATAACAAATCATGAGGAATAAAATTATATTGACCATAATTATTTTTATTTAGGAAAATGTTACAACTGTGGCCAAAGGGGCCATAGAGCTGCCACGTGCAGAAGAAGTATGTGTTTTCAAAGTTTTTTGATATCACAAAGCACAAGTGTTGAGGGGAAATAGGAAACATTTCACCTGTCATATGTATTTGCTCTTATTAATTACAATTAAAATATTGATTTATTTCAGAATTTAACAGAGATCACCAAAAAAGTAAGAAATATGCTGTTATACCATATAACAACTCTTCCACTGATGAAAAAAGTCATATATCTTGCAACCAATAGGAAAAGTCACAAACTATTGCATGACTAATACTAGTATTTATTAGATATAAAATATAAGCCAGTTACAGTAATTGTTGCATGTATTTTGTAGAAAAAAAATGCTTCAAGTGTGGGAAAGTGGGCCACTTGGCAAGAAACTGTCAGGCCGAACGTCTTGGCCTGACATATGTCTTAAAAAATTGCAGAGAGTGCACATTCAATGTTGCAAAATAAATTATTGTTTTTCACTATTTTTACAAAATGCATGTATTATATAATTGTTAATAATTTTAAAAATAAATTTCTAAAAGTTAATGTTAAAGTTCCTAATAAAATAATCCATCAGTATTTTGTGATACCTTTCTTTTCAAACACATTAGCAACACAACTAGTTCATCAGAGATTGCATGGTTCTGCAAATATGTGATAATGAAAATGACTCAAAATACAGAAATGCTTCTGCATAGAGCATAATTTGGTGGAGACAAATGATATGTTGTGAAATACTAGGATTGGTGCATTCTGGCCAAACAAAAGTACTCAACAAACCCCACATACAACACATGTTTATTATAATTAGTTAGCCTGGAAGTTCACAATATGAAGCAAGGGAAAAATGTATTGGCCTCTTGAGGACTATGAGGGATTCACCTGATTTAAACCTAGACAAGGACATGCCTCGTATACCATTTGTGTATTCCTTTACTTGACTTGCCCAGAGGGGCATCAGGCAAAGCATATGGCATAAGCTAGTAACTAACTGACTAAAGTTTTAGTTTAGAATAAGTTATTATAATATAACATTTATAGTACGCGCGTGCTGATTGGTCGAGAAGCGTGTTTCTATAACTGTATAGAAACACGGGAATTTTCCCGCCGAACTTGTCAAGCGAAGTAATGTAATGAGAATTTGTAATTGAATCGAATTATAATATTTGTAAAAAATCTTTTTATTGAGTTATATTATAAAAGAAATAGAAAACATTTTTCCTGTGTTTCTATACAGTTATAGAAACACTTGTGGGAGTTTGGGAGAACTCGAAATAACGTGGAAAAACTCGCCCTACGGGCTCGTTTTCCCACTGATTATTTCTCGTTCTCCCAAACTCCCACGCGTGTTTCTATAACTGTATAGAAACACGGAAAATGTTTTCTATTTCTTAAATAATTAACTGAAATACTTAAATACATAATATGATGGAAAAACCATAATATTTACATACCTGTCACCCAAGCTAGCCCAAGATCGATTCAAATATCATTACCACTTTAGCCGTTTTTAGATTTCTTTGACTAGGCCTATAAAAACAAAAACGATTTAGAGAATCGGAAAGTACACGACAATCAAAAGTAAACGACAGATTTTCGCACGTTTTCAAATGGATTTATACTGTGCTTTCGTTTTTCATCTGTGATCAGGTATTAAGGCTGATAAGCGACGTGTCTTTCTAACAATTCTTAAATAAATTTCTCGCCTACTACTAGTTGACTAATCAATTAGTTGACTAATCAATTAGTTGACTTGACTGTTCTTAATTCAAAAGAAAATATGCAAATATTTCGCTAGCGAACGATTTCGCTGTAAGTAAAAATCCGCCTTTAGCTTCAAAATTGTTCCGATTTCCTGTAATTTCAGTATTTGCTTAATGTCCGTTGCGGCAGGATTGTTTATTAAACAAAAAGTAAAACACACGTTCAGTCGTTCACAAAACAACGAATGCAACACGTTTACTGACAAAAAGTAACCGGGAAAAAGATCACTGGTGTGGGCTCAATATTGAGCCGTGTCAGTGGTCATTACCATGGCCAGTTGGGCCCATATCTGGCGTCAGCACGAAAAATCCGCCATGTTTCTTGCTTCACTTTTTTGACAGGAGGAGCCGGTCCTCCAGGAATTGTCATATAGCTCAGTGGTGAAGCCACGCACGTTCGGGCCACTGGTTCGGGCACGTCATTCCAACGTCACTGCATTCGTCATCAATTAGTACATAGTCTCCTGAGCCACGGGAAGAACAATGTTGTCGCAGACGAGGAGTCACGAACGATCAGGGACCTAAACGACTGGAAAATCGATCCGAGGGTCATCAAACACCTAATCAAAGACTGTCAAGTAGATCTCTTTACATCTCGAATGACCCATCAACTCAGCCGATACGTCAGTTGGCGGCCGGATCCGTATGCGATTCATACAGACGCCTTCACGATGGATTGGGCGAAATTGATAGCGTACGCATTCCCACCTTTCAACTTAGTTCCAGCGGTCCTTCACAAAACGACTTGGGAACGACTCAAATCTCCTGAAAAACATGTCCTATCGGAAACAATTCATCCCCTGTTCCCAGCTCTAAAACTAACCGGGTGGAGAGTATCAGGAGACAGTTCGAAACAGCGGGCATTTCAGCAACGGCTATTGACCTGCTCTGCAACAACGTTAAGACCTCATCCACCAAGACATACAACTGTTCCTGGTCCCAAAGACGTAGCTGGTGTGAAAGACGGGAAAGTGATCCCGTACATTGTCCAGTCTCTGAGGTCTTAACGTTTTTGGCAGAGCAGTGTTCGGAAGGGAAGCAGTACAGAACTATTAATATACTGCGATCGGCTATTTCGTCAGCACATGTTCCCCTTGATAATAAGCCAATTGGTCAACACCCGTTAGTTGTTCGGCTAATGAAGGGAGTCTCGATATCCCGACCCCCTCAACCTCGGTATCAGCATACCTGGAACGTTAAGACAGTTACAAATTACCTGGGTAACTTGGGAGAGAATTCAACGTTACCTGCAAAGCAACTGTCACCAAAACTTTGTATGCTGATGGCATTGACCTGTCCGAAAAGGGGTTCCATTATGACATCTTTAGACATAAGATACATGCATTATTTCCCAGAAGGTGTAAAGTTCTAGAATTAGGAAAGAGAATTAGAATAAGGTGTAAAGAATTAGGAAATAAATCATCACAGCTAAATTGCAATTAGTATAATTGCAAAGTTTGGCTGCTGCAAAATGTCAAATATCAACTCATTTAGTTACACACTACCGGCCGTAATAAAAAGCATCGAAAATTGCCAACTTCACATTACTCTATATTCCGTACATTCAACTTTAATTTTAGTAATTTTACTAAGTTTAGTATGCACGAAAATTGCATAAATCAATTTTGCAAAGGGTCTATTTTGGTATAATTGCTCTATCCAGTGTATTGAGAGATCAGAGGTTTGGCGTGAGCAGTTATAACTTTCCGGTGTCACGCGCGGTCTTATATACACCGCACAATTTCCAATCTACATTGGCAAAAAGAAGTTTCATAAGCTGCATATACTGTATAGCATTAGCAATCTATTAAAAGTGGTATTATACGTAATAAACATTTGAAGGTGCAAAATCTATCTTCAGCACATTTACCTCGTAGGTCTGAATTATTACTTGATTCTCTTCGATGCGGTCGTCGTACGCAAGCATTAGCAGAGCCACAAACTTTTTGTTCACCTGAAACAACGATGAGAGTGCTGAACAATTAATGTTAGGTTTGAAGGTAACGTTGAAGCTTATGAATAACAATAATAACGCGATTTTGTAAAAAAGCTGTACAGGGTGAGTAAAAAAAACTGACACCTTTGAAATTCAAATTAGCTGCGATGTGTCTGTAATCGGCTGTAATGTGACAGAAGTTGTCTGAAATATCTCATGGGTATACGAAGCATATCAAATAAGTGAACTCATTAATTAACCTAGAACATAAAGTTTGTTCGCTTTGGGAGTTAAAATGCATTCTAAGCTCTGTAATAAAAAAGAACGTTGAGTTAGTTCAATTGACCGTAACGAAAAAGATGGTGGCATGTACATTTTACCAGAATGCATTGCGGGCATAAGAATGATTGACTGAAAAAAGATGGCAAGAAAAACTCTTAATGACGTGAAATTTTAACCCAGCGAAGAAAATAACTTTCTATTTTATGCTTGACCTTTAAAAGACGTCAGTTCGCTTTCTTAAACGATTTCCGACCGCAATGCACTCTGGTAAAATGTACATCCGCCATCTTTTTTGTTATGGTCAATCGGTTTAAACACTTTCGCATTAATCAACGTTTTGTTGATTGTACAAAATGGGAATTGTCAAATTCCAGCAATAAGTTCGCGGCTAATTTGAATTTCAAAGGTGTCAGTTCATTTTTACTCACCCTGTATATCTAATAAACTCGCATCAAATGTGGCACAACAACTGCCCAGAATTGACAAAACAACCGACCTAAGTGCCTCCGTCGGGAGAAGTACGAAGTCTTCTACACTAATTCTCCTAATATATTCCTGATAGTCGACACTCTTTAATACATTGGCAAACTTAAGTTGCAACGAACGAAAATCGCATCAGTAATTGCAACTGTAAATAGGCCTTTATGTTATAAGAATTGTTGCAGTACATGACATACCACTCTGGTAGATTTCCCTCATTAACAAACATCTGGTCCACTTCCTGAAAATTTCAAATGAACAAATATTTTAACGGGTGTTCGTTAAACTTCAACTTTGTAATTCCCCCAATTAGGGAAATGTTGTAGAGACATTTTGAGCATGGAGCAATCGCTGTTCCAACGACCAAGTTCCACGCTCAGCCTCTGAACTAACAACATTGTTAGGGAATAACCAGGGTGCGGCGTCTAGCACAGCGAACGCCATAAAATATACAACACTATAACATCTCGATCTTAAGTTTCGATCTATTAGGGCCCAGGACGGCCTTTTTTTGTATGGCTAGCGTAGTGGTCATTGCAGCCACAGCGGAAAAATCGTTAAAATGATGAGTAATTTGGGACATAATATCGGAGGCAAACGCCCTTCTTGGAATATTGTGCCGCAAGGAAGAACGCCACGAGAAGCTAAGTCATATCGGCACTATAGGATGATAGAAAACATGAAAGACACTCCAGTCTAATGCTTTATTAGCGTAAGAGTACTTTACCAGAGTCCTTTAAGAAGACATTTTCCCTTTTCAGTTCCTCAATTTGCATTTGTAACAGATCAGATGAAGTACCTGTAAAGCAATTATGCATTCGGTCATCATGCCGCCTATGCAGATCATGTTGTCCTAGATTTTAGCGGCAAACGTAAAGTTTCAGGGTGTACTACAGTATCTCTAGATAAAGATACGATATTCTTGCAAGCACGTAGGATTATTGTATTCCATTAAATGTAGAACATTGCTTCGCGCACTGCACCGGAGTTATAGCTGTGCCAAACTAATAGTTTAGCTGTGCTTCCTCACGTATCCCTTGCACGAGCTCCTCTCTTGCCAAAAATAGACAAAAAATATACCACAAAGAGCAGCAATATACCTAAGCCAGGCGTATCAATATTTTTGACAAAAGATTCGTTTAGTTTTTTCAAAGTTGTGTTTTCTTCTTCTGATAAAGATTGGCTGAGTGCTTCCAAAGCTGACTTCTCGCGATCCAGTGCTTTAACTTGAAGATAAAGTTTCCGACATACTTCTTTTGCCGTTGTCGTTGACATTTGTTGCAAACTAGTAGTTTTAGACTTATTATTGTCTCGATCAACTTCGACAGAATCTGTGTGGCTCTTCTGCGAAAGATAAAATGTATATATCGCAAAATATTGGGGACTACCGCAAGTAAACCAGAGAGCGTTTCGCTTCGACCTTGCGTTTAAATATGCAGATCAGGATGAATATCCGAAAGAAATTGGTAATGAGTTACAATCCCTATACTCGCGCTTTTTCATAGTCCCCGCATGTACACAATTGTCCTAGTCATCTTCGTGTAAGTGTCAGTTGAGGGGGTACCTATAGGATTCCTTGTAGAAACTATACTCAATAGAGATGATTAAGGGGTTGTTTACATGAGCCCTACCTGTAAGGCTGTGTTTCACCTCTGTTTACAGAGGGCCTGGACGCCACGTTTTGGTGCCAAAAACCAAATGGCTGGAAACAAAAAGACTATTTTCACTATTTCACATTAAAATATTTTTACTTTTCCAAATGATTTTTCAACAGTATACTCTGTCAGTGCTTTGGAAAATTAACGAAGAAAGCCGGAACCGTCAAATAGCATCGTTGCTGACGTTAACTCTTTACCCCTACAGCGAGGGCTAGCCCTCCCTGTTACGTTTATATTGAAAATTTCCAGCCCTACCAAGCGAGATCCCGGGTAGTAGATATAGTGAGATCTTGCTTGCTAGGGCTGTCCTTTCTCTCATGTAAACGAAATTGTTCTTTTGTATGGATTTATAGTTGCACGCGCGATCTCGCTTGGTAGGGCTGGCTTTCCCTGAAGGGCTCATGTAAACAGCCCCTAAGGTTAATTACATTCAAATCATTAATTAACAGCAATATGGCATTTTAAAGGAAACTTATGTTTATATGCACAAAAACCTACAGAGGCAATTCGAATAAATTTCCTACTAAAACGTTTAATCGAGAGACCCACCGTATACAGTTCATACATGGTGGGTATAGAAAAAAACAAAATGGTCGACAGTTTTGCATTAGCAATCATTAGCAGGGCTAATGCAGGAGAAATTAAAACAATAAGTGCAGTCAGTGGCGTAGCCAGCCTGACGATTTTGTCCCACTATGTAAATTTCGAGTTATTATAATTATTCATATCTTTAGAAATTCATTGTTTTCGCAGTCAATGAACACCAAAATATTAGCATAGCGGGACATATTGTCAGGCTGGCCACGATACTGAGTGGAGTACAGTTCCAAGATATCAAAAACAAATCAACAAAATACGAGATTACGCACTTTTTGAACTTATCTTTACCGCTTTTTCTTTTCTTACTGCTTTGTTTCCTGGAATATGGTTTAATATCAGCATGATTGACAGCTGTACTTGAATCATCATCAGATCACCACTAACACTGGGTATGCCATCGTCATTGCCAGAACTGGCATGGATATTGATTTCTTCTTTCTAAATAAAAAAGAACATGTTCAAGCGCGTGCACTGATAGCGTGTCCTTCGGCGAGACAAAAATTACGCAACTAGATCTTTGATTATCTTTGATTATCTTTGATTATCTTTAAGGCACTGTTGCACGGTGCATTAATTTTTGAAAGATGTAAATTTGGCAACCACGAAACTTGTGTCTATAACTTTCCATGGATAATTCTTACACGTCACATTTTCCAGACGCATCACTAATTTCCATTTCTTAAAATATACAGGTATTAAATTGCATTGCAAGTTCGTGTAACACAGCCTTTAATTGGAGTATATTTATATATTAATGTTCATATAACCCTAAAACAACCGCTATCTATGAAATCAGTCAAATGTGGATTAGCATGTATGTAACTTTCAAGACAATTAAAGACAACCTTGGGTAGAATTGTCAAGAGTTTAATGTTCAGGTTCATGTTCACAGGTTCATCCGCAGCAATTTTAGTTCTTATATAATAACATTTCTAAATGAATACTTCTAGATCTTTGTTCAGAAAAATAGTAAAGATGGGATGTATGGGCAATTACAAATCAATTAAGTAGCCTACACTCATTGCTTTAGGCAAAACCAGTCAGCAAAAGCTGGCCCTGGACCCTTTTCTTGTTGATTGTGATAAAATACTGAAGTGCACAGAAACTGTAATAATGTTGCATTTCATTCCTCATTCATATCATCTAATTCTCAATATAGAAGTATTAGTATTATCCAAGGTTTATAAAGGGTGTATTAGTATCCAATACACCCTTATTAGGTTTATAAAAAGTATTAGTATTATCTAAGGTTTATAAAATTATTATTATCTAAGGTTTTAAAGTTAATATTAGATTGAATGATTTAATATTAGATTAAATTGACGCATCGATTCTGCCTCTATAATGAATACAATTGGTTTGTATCCTGAGCAACCTGGTTCAGATGATATATATATATATATATATATATATATATATATATATATATATATATATATATATATATATAAACCCTATATATTTTATTAATATAGGGTTAATTTTATGTACAAGGTGTCTTTAAAAAATACTAGAACAAATTGAATTATGCTGGCATTCCAATTTAGCTGATCACTTTACCTAGACCACAATTAATTGAACTGATCAAATTGATATGTGCATACTAATGAGCATTAAGCTCATTTTAAGGCATATGTAAACAATGTTTGGGTTATATTATATATGTGACAAATTGTATAATTATAACAATTCAGATTTAATTATAGTTTATTGAGCTTCATTGTACATCAATTTGCTCAAAACTAGTCATCTTCAAAAAGTTAAATGAAAACAATTAAATGCTCTATCAAATTGAACATATATGTTATCATATGATATTTTTACATATTTTAACACACATACATAGCCAACTGATTGCCAGCCTGGCCTACAACCGTCAACCAGATATTTAAATATGAATAAAAGACTAAAATAATTCTTTATTTTGGTGCTTGCTAAGTCTTGATATGGATCGACTAACAAGCTTCGATTGATCAAGTAATAAATTAATTTCAGGTTATTGTATGTGCATGTAAAATATTCAATAGATGAAATGTACCTAGTTTATTTTTACTTTGGGAGAATTTGGATGAATGAAATTTAATTCATATGAAAAAAAATAATAAAATAAAGCTCTTCAGATGAATGCATCTTAATAGGTAAAAGTTCTAACATCTTAAGAAAGGATTAAATAAATAACCTGCATGATTTAATAGCATTTGTCGGAGCTAGTCACACAGGTTAATCATTGGAGTTCTTAAGTCTGAGTTCTGACTATACATTCATTCTAGTATTAAATTACAACTAACTCAAACATATATATTTACATAGAATGTGCACATACAGCGACAAATGTTGTAGTAGATTACTTTGCAGGAGTAAAATGCAAAAATTTCCACTGTTTATACAATTTCGAGAGTTCGCCAGTTGGTCTGGTCAGATAATGAAACTTTCATAGTTCGGATAAAAGAAATGTATAAACCAAATCATGACAATTATTGGGTCCTACTAAAAACCGCCCGAGACCATAGGCGGCCCAGAACTGATCTCGCTGACCTCGCGCGACGCTCATGTTGTCTGAGCAGTAAGACTGTTCAGCGTCGCGCGAGGTCAGCGAGATCAGTTCTGGGCCGCCTATGCCGAGACCGCCCGAGACTGCCCGAGAGTATAGAAAAATAGGTACGCAATGCGTACATGTGGGTAGCCTGTAAAACATTATTAACTGCGATAAAGCTGCTATAGTGGCAAGTAAATATCAACTGATGCAATAAAATATTATTTTCTAGTCTTATGTTCTAATGCCATAGACAAGGGAATAAAGCCCTATAGTTAGCTGGTTGAATACAGTTATAACGAAGTCAATTTAGTACACAAGCTATATATTATAATATTTTATTGTATTAAATACATTTTAGACAGATCAAAACATACATAAGTATTTTTACAAGAGATAGGAAATGACATTTTTGCAGAATAGGTGGAGAGAACAAAAAAAGACAGTAAGGTTCCGGGATGGTGGCACACATCATCTGATAACATAAAGCTTAGTTAAGAAGGAGAAAAAGGTTTCAGACTTTTTCAAATGATCATCGTTTTGATGTCCTTTGATTATCAGCAAGATTGGCTATTTTGTTGATAAATCAATGTTATAGTTATGTTAACATTCAATAAAGGTTAAATGTTATTGTTCCAGTAAGATTATACCACTTGTTTTCCAAAGTTTATTGGCAATACGTTCACCATTATAACTGAAGATGATAGTATGATTTCATTGATCCAGTAAGAAGGTAGAGATGGTTTGCAATGTTGATTACAGATAACTTATCAGCATCAATTAGCTGGACATAATAGCACCAGTTCGTAGGTCCAAAAAATCTCTGTGGCTTTTTCCAAGTTTGAATTTAATTATCAGTTGACAATATCTTATCACTGTGGTAATCAGTCCGACAATCAGTCAACATTGAATGCCATCATTCATCATTGATATAAATGTGTAAAAATTGTTTCAAACATTTCAGCATAACAATTTCAAAGGACTCATCTATGTATCTGAACAATATTTTAAAGATTTTTGTTCAGTTGAAATGCACTTGTGTTAAAAGTTTTGTTTTTTAAAAAAATATGTTTTGTTAGTTATGTTCAAATAAATGCTTCTTTTTAAACTCCAAGACATTTGGTTTAGTAGCTGCATGTCCACAAGCAAGAAATTGACAAGTGAAATATTGCATTATAATTTATAAAACAGGGCAACTTGTTACTACCATTTGCAATAAGGTAATGTATTTGGTTTAATAGCTGCATGTCCACAAGCAAGGAATTGACAAGTGAAATATTGCATTATAATTTATAAAACAGGGCAACTTGTTACTACCATTTGCCAAATTATAAGGTAATGTATTTGGTTTAATAGCTGCATGTCAACAACCAAGAAATTGACAGGTGAAATATTGCATTTTGATTTATAAAACAAGGCAACTTGTTACTACCATTTGCCGAATAAGGTAATGTTTCTATTAGTGTAACTTTGTAGTTGTAGATTCAACGCTCACCGATTAACGCTTTTTCGTCTTTTAAGTACTCGCCTTCGCTTTAAAATTTGACAAACGTATTAACGTGACTTCGGTTGCTTCGAATTCCGTCCTTCGAAAACAACGAAATTTTCCGGAAGTAGAAGAACCACCGTTCGTCATCTTTCGTATATCCGACGATTACCGAAGATGTGGCACCCACACACACACAAACATCCGGACACTTTTTCGACTACATAGTGGTTAGCCGCGCATGCGCAGGCTACCCACAAAAACCGCCCGAGACCGCCCGAGAGTATAGAAAAACCGCCCGAGAGTATAGAAAAACCGCCCGAATATCCCCTAATCGTTCCAGGCTACTAAGTTCTTGGTCCTGTAACAGAATATAGTGGAATTATATTTACCAAAGATAGTCCGGTATGTTTTTCTCTCTTCTTCTTTTTACCCATATCATTTCATTGTGTTATTATTTTTAAAATCAATCGATATAATTTGACATAATATTGTTTCAAACTGTTTTGAAACTATTAAAACTTTTCTCGTAAGGCAACACATCCTCACTCTAAGAATACCTATTATAGGTATATGTCAAATGCCGTAAGAATATGCATTATACATAGTTCAAGCCTCTAACACTTGTAGGACCCAGAGCCCAGAGATTGGTCCGCGTGATGCGCATACTCTGCGCATATGGTAATATCACACAATATGGCGGCTGCCAAAGAGTGCGCTAAATCGTCAAAGCGCTAGTTTAGAAAACTTACGCGAATTAACCGGTACAATAGAGAAAAAAAAGACCCCAAAGCAGAGCGACTTCTTCCTCACGTACGATAGCAGTGGTAAAAGAATACGTGATTCCAATTACAAATACCGCTCTGTTGCTGAACGCAAAAAAGCAAAAAGCGAGCTACCTCTGGCCAAACTAGTAGTGTTACTGGTAAATTAATCATAATATTTGTAGAATATCTGCAATATATATATATATATATATATATATATATTGCGTGATAGCGCTGTCACAGTAAATAATTATTGTATCTTTAGAGAGCGACGACGTTGACCTTTGCCCATTTGAATCAGATAGTGGCTTTGATTTTGACATCATTACTGAAGAATCATCTGATGTTTCTCTACAAAGAAGTTAGTCTCATCCCTATATACCGTGATGTTTCATTTATTACTACTACTTATTACGACTACTACTCAACGCTGGCGTGCAAGCATTACTGTGCAATTCATATGCAAAGTCTATTATTTATAATTTGTAGAAAATTTGACCACCTGTATAGCAAATTGTGAAAGTTTGACTCAAGAAATGAAGTCCAGTACCCAGTCCATGTGGACAAGAAGAATGCAGTCTGTGGATGCTGCATGGGAAAATAGTAGATCTGCTATATTTGCTGCTGTTTTAAAAAGTCAAGCAATTCCTAAAACTGGGGCTGTTTGCTTCTTGTGCGGAGAAGACAGAGCTGTTGTTCGGTGTCGCCACTGTGGACCAGATGCATTACTCTGTAACAATTGTGATGAGACAGCTCATGAGAAAAAACCTTTGCATGACCGTGATATTTGGATAAATGGATTTTATCAAGCAGTTCCTCCAACTGAAACAGTCCTACCAGATGGATCTCCAAGCTTCAACAGTAAGTGATTATTGTAAATTTATTAATTCAAAAGTTATCATTGGTTTGTTCAGATGCTGACTATATTCTTGATAATCTTGTTCCAGAGACTATGAAATATATCAATTATAAATATTGCTATGCATGCATTTATTTTTTATACAATCATTTCAGGTAAACTACAAGTAGTGGTTCAGTAATCTTATACTGTATAAAATAGACTGATTATTACATTTTTTACAGGAAAATATGCTCCATTTTTATTTTGCAAAGAATGTATTTATTGCAAGGGCCAGGATACACTTTCTATCATCCCCTCTAATGAAATGTGCATTCTTATAACAGCCAAAGGTACGAGTTGAGCTGTGTTGTACAGTGCTGTGCACTACATCATGTGCTCTAAAATTGTAGTTACTATCAGCTTATCTTGATTTTCAATGTTTTCTTGCAGGAAGATTTGATTTGTATTCATTCACATACAGTTGCACTGGATGTGATCAACAGTTCTCACCATTAACACTGGAGAAGATAATTAATGAAGGGTATTGGCCAGGTGGCCCAAAGAATCTTAATTACATCTTCTGTGAAGATGTGTTCAGAGTTTGGGATTCACTGCGAAAGTATATGCCAGGCACATCTGAGACAGCATTTCGTAGGTCCTTCGCCTCCATATCTAGTGAAAAGGGCAGGGTTAGTAAATCATACTTAGGTCACTGTACATAGATCAATCAAATTTTGTACCTGTAGTGGTCTAAAACTGTGCATAATCTTCTTGATCAATTTTTAGTCAGGTATCATCAACGCATCAGTGTTTCATTGTGCATTCAAAGAATGGTGTTTTGCCATGCATGAAGTTGACATCTTACAAGAAAAACAATGGGCAAATTGCCCATCATGTTTTAGATCCTAACATTCGTGTCATGTTGATGGAAACGCTAAACTTTATAGATACAACAGTGTGCCAAGGTATTGTGTTGTTGCCTGGCTAAAATCATACTGACCAAATGTCCATGATTTATGTAATTTGTTTATAGAGGTGAAAGAAAATGCTACTATGAAAATACATTCATTGAAGATGATGAACTGGTAGAGGAGCACTTGAACAATGTTTATTCCAACAACTCAGCTAAGGTATGATCATGATTGTGAGGAATTATGGAGAATTGTGCAATGATAACAGTTTTGTGTACAATGATAATATACCAAAACTGCATAAGAGTTGTACTTATAAATCATATTCAATCCTCCTAGGGTCATTCAAGTAGTTCCTATTGTGGTTCCTCTCATTGGAAAGCTGCAAGTAATACGGTCAACCGCCAATCCAAACTTGATGAAACTGGTCTTGTTGTAGCATGCTGTAGACATTCTCTGGCTCAATCTGCTGTGAATATGCATCAAGGTGAACTGTATGGTACACACATTATTTGCAAACCAACCGACTAATTCACCATAAAGTTAAGTTCTTATGGCAAGATGTGATTTGTAAGTACTGGCCTTGGTTTATTTCGCTTCCCAAAGATTTGTCACCTGATGAAGCCTTTTTGATGGCACCAGCATTATCTATCATGCATAGTAAAGCTCATGTTTGGTCTTGCCAAGTATTTTAATAAAACAAATGTTAACCAATTTTAATTAGGAAAATCATTCAAATTGCATACTTATAATGTTCATTCCTTTCAGGTCACATGGGGTGGACGTTGGCAAATTGGAAGTGGTTACACTGCAGGTGAAGAGGTTGAGCAAATCAACAGCTACATCTCGAGATTGGGATCAACAACAAAATACATGCATGCAGCAGGTACGTAGCTGTTCGAATTTTTAGGTTTCCTGTAAAATGTATTGATTGCGTGTGAATTTGCTGTGGTTTATTGATTATAATGTCTGAATGTTATATTTTTCATCGTTTTCAACACTTTGTTACATTAGACTACTTACCTCTTAATTTCTGAAGACTTACATTTGCCATTGACGGATTAAGCTTTTTCATTTATATACGACAGGTCGCAATGAAGCACAAACGGAGCATGTTCTTCACTGGAACAAGTTAAAGATTCTTAAGCTGCCAGTCACTCTTTGCAAGGAATATGTTTATGTATGTTTGTTTATTCGTAAATTTTATTAATCAATAGTTTTTCTCAGTAAACTAAAAATAGACTTTTGATATTTATAATTCAATTCTCTTGTGACAGGTAAAGAAGTTAATAGAAGAAAATAAGAAGGAACTTGATGAGCTGGTAAACGAGCTAAATCTTTCCGCGTATCGTGAAGAGTTCGGTAATTGGGCTGCTGAAATAACAGCGTGTGGGAAACGTACGTAATTATACGCATTTTATTCATTTCAACTTGCTTGATTCAAACGCGTGAGGTGTATCAGGTGGAATGTTTAAAACTCGCAAACTACTATACAGACAGTAGCGTGTACATGCTCTACAATGCCGGTTATAGGGCCTAATTCCACGGGCGCCTTTCTCCGCGAAATGCGAAATATTTCGCCTGTTTCTTTTGAATTTCGACCACTTGAAAAAATTAACTCTGCTTCATTGCTCACAATTCAAAAGAAGCAGGAAAAATATTTCGCCTTTCGCTTGAAATTTTAGCCCGTAAAATTAGGGCTATAGACTAACTATATATAGTTACCTGTACTTACATTTGTGTTTCCAGGGTCGAAGTTTGAGATGACGAAGCGTGAAGGTGATCTTGTTTCTTACTATGAGCTGTATACCGAAGTTCGCGAAGCTATCGCTTTGAAGCCGTTCCTCGATGTTGCTGGTGATGAAGCTGAAACAGAAATAAACGACGGGAATTCAGGATTGTATGCTCAAGCCTTGGCAAAACATCAGGAAATGGATAAGAAAGAAAAGAAATTAAGAAACCTTGAATCGACTCTATGTATAGTTGGAAATGAGTTAGGGAAGCAACAAGCCCTGCAAGAGGGGAAAAATCTTTTGGCTGTTAGAAAAAGAATTTCTATTCGCGAAGTGATTGAAATGTTATGCTTTTCTATTTCACAGCAAAAGAAAAATATTAGCCGCCTAGCAGGTTTAAGTATACATTTATTTTAACAGAAACTTTAATAACAGAGACTTTAAACTGTGGTCGTAGTTAATAATGTAAATGTTTTAAATGAAAGTATGTATTTAATATACTGTTGGAATGTTTCAGATTCGTCGAAACAAAGGGCTAGATTGCGTAGCAAAAATGCTCTGGAAAAGAAAAAACTTAGCGATTCCAACACGCAATATAATGTGGTAAATCGGTTGTTAGAAACTGATCCTGAAGAAGATGATATCACATATATATATGCAAATTTATTATGCAAAGAATCATACCATTCGCATTTGTGCGTTTTCTGTGTTAACATTTGCCATTGTTTCAATAAAATAATAACACGATCAGATGAATTTCGGGTGAATATTGTTCAAGAATTTATATTTTGCCGCTAAATTTGTGCCGCGAATAAATTCCGCGATCAAATTCCGCGATTATGATTATGAATCAATGTAATGAATAATTAACCGTGAATAAACATACACGCGGACCAATCTCTGGGCTCTGGGTCCTACAAGTGTTTGAGGCTTGAGGCTTGAACTATGTATTATGCATATACGGCATTTGACATATATTACTAGAAGTTACTATCGCAAGGGAAGTGCTGGCATCGCAAGTCCATTTATCACATGTTGAAGAAAAACAACGGCTATTATAAGAGGTGGGTGGCGGCTTTTCGGGTCGGTTGTCGTGCGCTTGTCATCACGCGGAAATACAAATCAACACAAATCGTTCTTTGTTTTGACTTCAAGCCGCAAGTTAAACTGCTCAAAAAAACGAGTGCTTCGTTAGATTCAGTGTTCACTTGCGGTTTGCCTACGAAGTGGCAAAAACGAAAACTTTCTATGACCGCCATTCGTATTGAATCTTAAAACTCATTGTCATCGGATCAGATGGCATTGCGATTTCTGTGTAAATACTTGACCGATTTTAATAAAAATTTTTAGGATCCATTTTAAGGAGGAAATTGTCCTCAGGAGATACATTCTTTTTTTAGGTCGATATGTTGCCAATTCGCCATAAATAATATCAATTTAAGCGCGTGCTTATTGCGTGCTCGAAATGTTGTCATGCGGTTCGAAAGGCAACAAAACTCTATGGTGCCCTCCTCTAGGGTAAATTTGACCCCAAAAATCGATTCCTGATATAAAATTGGACCAAGGGGTCAGTTTTTCGGCTTTTTTTGCCCGATGTTATTTTCGATATTTGTATTATTGTGAAATAGTATTGCCGGTGAATAATTCATATCATCATGCATGTTTATACAAAAAAAAATCGGCAAAAATCCTCTAAAGGCTCGATTTTGACGCTAAAGGTATCAAAATAATCCTGAAAATGTGAACTAAATCACAGTAACCGTTTTAGTTTGTATTTTGCGTAATATTTTATAGATTAGGCCGCTTTGATTTGTAATATTGAATAATAAATAAATCGCATGCATTTTAAGCCTGCAGCACACGAGAGCTATCAGCTGAGTTACGGGTTAGTCGTACCTGTTATCTCAGCCGACAGCTCACCGTGTGCGGATACATTTTTCTGAGTTTTCTGCCACATGCAACCTTTTCTCGCATATCATACAAGTTTGATACCATTTAGATCGTGCTGAGATATTTAGTTTTCCTTCTTACCGACAATATTGTCGGGTTTAATCTATGTGAGTCAGTGGCGGGTCGCGCGCGCCGGCGTGGCTCGAAGCCAGTTTTTTGCCCTGCAGGCAATATGACGGAAATAACCTTGCAGGGATTCGCAGACGCAGGTAACTTCCATATATAGAACGCATACCATATATGGTTTTCGCCAGAATGAATGACAAAAATCGCCTCAATATACGTGCCCAGACTCCGAGGCGTACACGGCCAACCTCCAGATTAGTGTACTGGCTCGCTGCGCTCGCCAGCAATAATAGGTATTTTAAGAGTGAGGATGTGTTGGGTGCTTCGCACCGATTCGGGGATTACGAGCATTCAATTCAACACAAATATAATTTGGAAGGTTTATTCCATAAATAGAGCTAAGAGGTTAGGAAGAAACGACGCTGTGTTGTTTATGCATTGATAGATCCCTTACACGAATATATATTTTAATATGTCGATAGCAAGTCGATACCTGGTCACAGTACATAAATAATACTATACAAAACGGACATTTTGTGCAGTAATCAAATCATTTTGGCGGTATACAGTATTGATTATAAGTATATTGTTTTGTATCGATTTACGCGTCGAAGTATCCACATCATAGACATAATATGCACCGCAGTTTATTTACATTATTTACAACGCAACTATTTTAGTTATTCTTATGAAATGACGGATAAATTGTTGCCATCATATAAATGTAGTGAATGTAGTCACAGTTGTTTGACGAAGAAGAAACTAAACTGAGAAAATCACGCCTGGTTTACATGGGCAACTAAAATTATAATTTAATAGTGACAGCACAGATTACCCAGATGTCTCACTTCTGATTAAAAAAGCGTAAGCGCTTGCTCAGCAAGTGACTAGAGGCATTCCCCCCCCGAAATTTCAAAATGGAGCCGAACTATTTTATTCATGGAAAAAAACCTCCTCTCATTTGCTAGAGAAGGCGACTGTGTAGTTAAGTTTGTGTCTGAATCCATCATCATCTATACGCCCTTTGGAAAAGTGAGTTTAGAGTACCTCGTTTTCAATATTGTACGAGTGTTTTATCTTTTTTCGATTGTCGTAGGAGCGGAAAATTATAAGCAGTAGAAATCTCCATAATTTCAAACATATTTCTTTTAAAAAGTGTTTGAATATCTTTACATTGAATGGAACTTCCTGTACAAATCAATAAATGAACATATATTCCGACTCATTTGACACATCGTGCAGTTTTTCACTTCAATTCAGTTCGTCTCCATTTTGAAACTTTATTTCGGGGGGGTGAATGCCTCTAGTCACTTGCTAAGCGTGCGCAGAAAGCGATGCGCAGTGACGAATCGCTTACGCTTTTGAGTCAGAAGTGAGACATCTGGCTGTTAATCTGTGGTGACAGTATCCGCGACTAACGTCACTTGAGTACTTTGAGTAATTTCCTTTTGATTAATATTTAACCTAGTTCTTTATATTTTTACTGGCATAAGTCAAAATGTTCATGTTGGGAAACGTCTGGTTGCTTAGGTATTACAGGGCATGAAAACTTTGCACTATCCTTGGATCCCTAGTTCTAAATTACGGATCCTTTTATGTTTTGATATTACTAGTCGTGTATCGTGTTGAAGATTTCTATTAAAGATGTAACTTCAGGTCTTGATCTTACTTTTTTCTTTAGGAGGCAGAAAGAGTTGTCTTTATCTTTGGAGAGAGAGTCGTCGTTGGAACGTTCTGGGGCTCAGCTAGAGTTAGATTGGCAGCGCAGATCTGATAACGAAGAGAGAACTGGGTATGATAAACAAGAAGAACTAGTTAAGAATTTAACACAAGACAAAGAAGAGGTGAATATATATCAATATGCAAATAGTAAAATGTTACACCCCTTTCCATTGCCTCTACCCTACCCCCTCTCAATTTGGAATCCCGTTGAAGTTTCAGCACCACAAGGTCCAAATAAAGCGATATAATGTTACTAAACTGATCATCAGGGACTTCAATGTCAAATTCAGGTTGATAGAACTCTTCTGTGTTTTTTCACATCAGGCGTTATCGTTGGTGAAACAACAGAAACGTGAACTGCTTCACAAGGATAGTGTTATCCATATTTTGAAGACACAAAGAGATGAATCAGTTTCTATCCTCAAGCTTCATGGACTAACCGTGCCTTCCGAAATATCAGGTAAGTTTTACACCTTGATTGTAGGTAGATCGTAAACGCTTAGCGTTGTGTTTTTATACGGCGTATATGGGGCCCTAGCTCTTCCGGCAGCTGGGGAGATTAACACAAATAGAGGAAATGATGTAAATTGAACAAAATTTTGTACAAGGTGTGACGGGGTGTAAAATCCTCGAGAAATTTTAAAAATGATCTAAAACATTGGTGCCAAATGAGGCATTTTTTGAGATTGTTCTTGTATATCACAACTATGTAAATATAGTCTCTTTATCTAAATCCGTAATGCAACTAATGATTGTATGCAGTGGTAACAGAAAACTCATCGATTCCAAATTCAGTCTCCGTTATTCGCCGTAAAAAAGTTGTTGAAAATAGATTGCAAGTCGAATCATGCTCCTCTCGTAGTGGCTATACTTAAAAGCCAGCTGATGTGCTTAACGAGGTAACTGTCGCAAGATGTATAAACTTTAGATGCGGACGGAAATATCAACCGAAAATATCTTAGTATTTTCGAAACTTTACTGATGATATTACTCGAAGTTTAACGCGCATGTAATTTTCACTGAAATAACGCGATTTTTCATCATGACCAAAACACTTGACACATTCCAAAATTCTTTTGAGTTTGCACTGATGTAATTAAGGACCTACCCTGCGCTCACGAATCTGAAACCTTTACATCGATACCTCCCCCATTGCTTCGCAAGATCTTATCATTTCTCTAGATTTTATCATTCATGCATGTTTCGCAAATCTCAATTGTGACAAAAGCATGACGTTTTCGTCCGGGTTAAGTTCAGACTTCAGTATCTTTTCTTGTTGAAGTTGAAGATGTTGGCACACCAGCAGGGAATACGAATAATGAAGAACTTCAAATTCAGAACGAAAATTTGCGTCATGTTACTCATCAAATGAGAGAGGACATGGAGGATTTGCTGACGAAAAAGTTGACGCAACGTACCACTGGATCGATTACTAATGCAGGAGATGGCGTACCCATTACGGAAGGTAATTGTATGATAATAAAGCGGGAATATATTTCATAACAAAACAATTTCGAAAATATAAAGCCAGATTGTTTTCTATGCATGGATGATTTTAATTTTTTCTTAAAATCTTTTCTTTAATATAGCTACTCTACTGTAGTCTGGGTTTGACCCCCGGGGCTTATTAGGCAATCCCCTTTCTACTGTACATATATAGCTTCTGTATTTTGAAAGACATATTTTTAGAATGACTAATCGTTATAGTGATCGTAACAAAGATCAGTGTGAATGGAATTAATCTGGTATTTCTGTACTAAACATTTCAGAATATGTGACAAGTCTGGAAAAAGAAATTCGAGAAGTGAAGGCGAGAAACCGCGAACTGACCCAATCCATGGCTAATAAAAATGCTAAAACTGAAAATACTGAGCCAACTTACGTTTTAGTAGCCAGCTTGTCGATTTGTCTCACTATGCTAATATTTTAGTGTTCATTGACTGTGAAAACAATAAATTTCTAAAGACATGAATAATTATAATAACTCGAAATTTACATATATATAGCGGGACAAAATCGTCAGGCTGGCTACGCCACTGCGAACAGGGATAGTATTAATATGGTCGTTGCCGGTGACCTTTTGTTGCGGTGTTTGAGATTCGTTGTTTGGGCTCTTTTGATTTATAGATGTTTTGGTTGTTTTAATTATATGTAAATCGGCATTGTACAGGGTGTATCAAAAAAACGCAACACTTAATATTCATGATATCCTCTTTGTTCTACAACACAAAAGACGTTTGGCCCCTGGAATGCGAGAAAGCTTGTAATCATATTCTAGCGGCACAATCGTCGGTAAACAAAGTCGGGTGCGCAAACCAACCAGCTGAATTGAAAGTATCTAACGAGTAAAATGTTATTTACAATTTATTTTACAAGGTCGACAGTTAGCATTCAAGTTATCATGCACGACAATAAAAACTCGTTGTTCGGTTGTTAGCTGCACCATTATTAGTTTAGCTGATTTGACTATTAGCAGTTGAACTGTACCATAAGAAGCCATTTTAAAATCCCAGGGGCATAAAATCTATTGAGCTTATGAACAATATGAATTTTAGAATATTAAGTGTTGCGTTTTTTTTGAGACACCCTGTAATGCTGATCGTCAACATCGCTTGTTTGATTGCAATTTTCCCCCTCATTAGGGATTAACTCAACGATAGCGCTATTATTAGTGACCTTTTGTTGCAGTGTCGGAGCTTAGTTGTTAGGGCTCTTTTAATTTATAGATGATTTAGTTGTATTAATTATATGCAAATCAGCGTTGTGATGTTGGTCATTTGAGTCTGAATGTAGATTGTTTAATTTTTTATTGCTATTTGGGAAATCATTGTTTCCCACAATAGTCCTACGTGCGCTGCAATAATCTTCCTTGTTATCAGGGGTTTCAAGTATGACCTCGCTTATTTGTGTGGATTCTCCTGCTTCTCCAATACTTTTAATTTTTGTTGAAGGTCTTCAATTGTGACATCTCGATCATATATTGCTTTATTTTTTTTCATCCAAAATAATAGCAAATTCATTCAGCATAGATTCCAATCTATGGTTACAAGATATAGATTATGGTCCCCATTGGGCACCATAATCTTACTCACGGAATCTACTAGAAATACATGCCACTTCAAAGATTACTAGAAATACATGCATGCAGCAACACCTCGCCATTTTAAACGAAGCAAAATATTTCGTGTGCTACCTAGAATTTTCTACGCTAATATTATGAAATAACTCGTGCAAATTTTTCGGAAACAAAGACAGTCGTAAAGGTGAACAGAAATCACCTGTTTGCCTGCTGCATTACGTTGCAGTTTAAGTGAGCGTTAAACTTTTCTATGGCTAAACCTTCAAAACATCAAAACAGCACAAATAATTATAACCATACAAGCACTAAACCACAGAATACCTATCAGAAGAATAACTCTATACTATTTTTTCGTAAGTGTGATTCGTCATGATTCGTCACTTAGCAAGTGCATTTTTTTGAGGTAGTCACCCCCTGCCAAAATTTAGCAATATGGCGCGCGCGATATAAAAACAACATTCGACGTTTAGTCACAGAATACCTATCAGAAGTAGAACTCCTGTACTTTTTTTGTAAGTGTGATTCGTCATGATTGGTCACTTAGCAAGTGCATTTTTTTTGAGGTAGTCACTCCCCTGCAAAAATTTAGCAATATCGCGCGCGCCATATTGCTAATTTTTGGCAGGGAGTGACTGCCTTAAAAAAATGTACTTGCTAAGTGGCGAATCATGACGAATCACACTTACGAAAAAATAGTATAGAGTTAATTATTCTTTTGATAGGTGTTCTTTTTATATTTTGACATAGGTAATTGGAACCATATCGTAGTTCTTATATAGTTATAAGTTAATTTGTAACAATTGTCTGAATTAGACAAACTAGAGAAAAAAAAGGACGTTATGTGTATGTGGGCTAAAGGGGAACATAATGAGTAATTTGTTGAATGGTTAATTGCGAATTGAGGGGCGTAGAAATAGAAATAAAAATAACCAGATGGGGTAGTTTGGAATTTGTTGGACAACCGCCAACCATGTGGTGTGTTTGAAATAAATTTTTTTTAAAAGGGGGTTTTGTTTGTTTATGATGGAGTTCTTCAAGAAACTATGTAGTTGCGTTTGTAGTAATAGGTTGTGTAGCGTTATTGGTGGTGTTTAAGTCAAGGTTATGTAAGGAGGTAGGTAGAAAAGTAAAACAAAAGACAAGAAGGCAAGCGTGTGAATCAGTATCCCCGTACGCGGCGTTTCATCCTTTTGCGGACTCGTCAGCGGGGAGCAGGGTTGGCTTTGTGTGAAGGAACAATGAAGATAAGAAGTGAGTAAAAGTGGTGTGTGTTTGTAGGAGAATCATAAAGAATCAAGGTTAAAGTTATCAAACCTGCGTGAGAGTGTATTCGTAAAAGGCAAAATGGTAAAATTAAACTGTGTGTCTTACCAAAGTTGTTGTTGACTTTAGATAAACCAACGCGGTGAGCCATCTCAGGGTTGGTGTGAAATCGAGTGTAATTTTACTTAAAAATTGTTTTGAATTGCTTGACAGCAGAGCTTGTGTTCGAGCTTGTATCCGTTCAAGAGACTTGATCGAAAAGGGGTCAAGGATTGCACGTGTGTGCATAAAATGCGTTAATATGTTACGTCACTGAGGTCAGGTATCAAAGTCTGTGTTGGGGATAGTGGGGGTTTACGTGTCAATTATGGTTGTGTGTGGACATCCGAGGTTTAAATGTGTTTTGGTTGTAAGTTGTACTTCATTGTTTATTTAATATTTTGACATAGGTAATTGGAACCAAATTGTAGTTCTTATATAGTTATAGGTTAATTTGTAACAATTGTCTGAATTAAACCAGCGTTAGGACGTTAAGGTTAGGACGTTATGTATATGTGGGCAAAAGGGGAACAAAATAAGTGATTTGTTGATTAGTTAATTGCGAATTAAGGGGTGTAGAAATAGAAATAAAAATAACCAGATGGGGTTGATGGAATGTTGTTGGACAACCGCCAACAATGTGGTGTGTTTGAAATGAAATTTTTGTAAAAGGGTTTTGTTTGTGTATGATGGAGTTCCTGAAGAACCTATGTCGTTATGTGTGTAGTAATAGGTTGTGTAGTGTTGTTGGTGCTGTTAATTTTATATTTTGACATAGGTAATTGGAACCATATTGTAGTTCTTATATAGTTATAAGTTAATTTGTAACAATTGTCTGAATTAGACAAACTAGAGAAAAAAAAGGACGTTATGTGTATGTGGGCTAAAGGGGAACATAATGAGTAATTTGTTGAATGGTTAATTGCGAATTGAGGGGCGTAGAAATAGAAATAAAAATAACCAGATGGGGTAGTTTGGAATTTGTTGGACAACCGCCAACCATGTGGTGTGTTTGAAATAAAATTTTTTTAAAAAGGGGGTTTTGTTTGTTTATGATGGAGTTCTTCAAGAAACTATGTAGTTATATCGAGGCAGTGAGGGTTTCAATTCAAATATGCCTTTGAGAAACCGTGTTACCAATGGGTGCTCCCCAAATGTGCGGTGGTCGTGCAGCGTCAAGATAGATGAAAGGGCAGATCGTGCTGTGTTTATAGCGCTGTACCCAAGGTTTTGCTTGTGTAGGTGCGTTAGAAAAGCCAATCCTTCGATCACACCAGCGTCATCATTAGCAATATGTTGCTCATGGCAGAACTTTTGCCATTTTAAAAGATAAGAGTTATATTGTTTACTCGTGCTGTTTCGCCAAGACGCTAAGATTATGTCAACTGTATCTTGTTGGAGGCCCATACCTGCTAACTTGCTCCCGACACAAGACAGACTAGAAGACTGAGTGTTTTGTGCATAGGGTGGATTGTCTGGGGTTGATCTGCTAGGCTGAGGAGACAGCGTTCCGGTTTCAGGAGAACTGGGTCGCGAATGCACATTTTCATTGCTTTGGAGTACCACGACTGCGTCGGCCAATCTGGAAGAACACAAATCCCTGTCGCCGTCTCCTCTTGTATCTTTTGCAAGAATCGGCTTATTACACTAAATGGCGGAAAAGCATAGAACTTTACTTCGGATAGGTCAACAGAAAAACGTCCACGGCCTTAGCTCCCGGGTCGGGACGGTACGAAATGTATGACGGGAACTGTGTGTTTAAGCGGGAAGCAAACACGTCTACGTTGGCAACGAAGTCTAGTTTTAGTAGCGCTTCGTGTAGTCGTTTATGGTTCAACATCCATTCGGTGTTAGATTGTTTCTGGCGGGATTCGAAATCAGCCTCTGTATTTTCTATACCTGGTACATGGGCCGCACTAAGCCAGATATTTCGCATGATACACCACTCCCATATTTCCTTGCCTAAAGCATTACACTGGGCGGAGTGGCTTGTACCCATATGATTAATTACGGCAACGGCTGTAGTATTATCTAGTCTTACCCTAACATGGGTATCATTCAGTGAAGAACAGTAGGTTTGTAACCCAAGATATAATGCTAATAATTCTAGGTAGTTAATGTGGTGGTGTTTCTCCCCTTCACCCCAGGTTCCCCCCGTTTTGCTTGTTTGAAAAACCGCTCCCCATCCGCTAAGGGAAGCATCAGTCGTCAACGTACAAGATGGTAATTTGTGTGAAATGACGTTGTGAACATGAGAGATATTTGCGAGCCACCACCTTAGCTCTAGGCGGGAGTTTTCAGACAACCCCATGGTATCATCGAAATTTCCTTTTGATATTCGAAGTGCTTTGGTTTTGTCTGCTTCGAGTGAACGGTAATATAGAGGGCCATGCACCACCCCAGGAAAAGAGGCTATTAATTTACCTATTAACTGGGCTAAATCACGAATTTTTATCTTGCGTGAGTTCAATACGGTGTCACACATATTTGTAATATCCGTACGTTTTTCATCAGTTAACGTAACTGTCATGTCGACTGAGTTGATGATAAAGCCTAACACCATAATAATCTGAGACGGATTAAACGCAGATTTTTCCGGATGAACGACGAAACCTAATTCGTCAAATTGTTTCAACGCGGCAATTACACAGGTAGCGCATTCCTCATAAGTGTTACCCTGGAGGAACAGATCGTCTATGTAACTTGCAATTATATGCCCAAGTTGACGCAGTCGGGCTAAGGGTGGTTTGAGTAACTTAGTAAACATTCGTGGGCAGCTAGACAGTCCATTAGGCAAACAAGTAAATTGGTACAGAACGCCCTTCCAACGGAAACGAAGGAATTTGCGGTCTGACGGGTTAACCGACACGGAATAGTATGCGTCCTTAAGGTCTAGTGAGGCCATGTAACAGTTTCGTTCGATCAGGTTAGTGATAGACCGTAACGTTTCCATTTTGAAATGGCGATACGTCACAAACTCATTAAGCTCTTTTAAGTTTAGGATAAGCCTATGGCGCCCATCTTTCTTTGGTCGTGTGAAAATAGTCGAGAGAAATTCGCCTGGACAATGCGCAGTTGTTTCAACAATCCCTCGAGATAGCATAAGGGCTATTTCCTGATCAATTATCGTGAACTCTGCACCCGAAAAGCTGTGGTTTAGTGCTTGTATGGTTATAATTATTTGTGCTGTTTTGATGTTTTGAAGGTTTAGCTATAGAAAAGTTTAACACTCACTTAAACTGCAACATAATGCAACAGGCAAACAGGTAATTTCTGTTCACCTTTACGACTGTCTTTGTTTCCGAAAAATTTGCACGAGTTATTTCATAACATTAGCGTAGAAAGTTAGGTCTAGGTAGCGCACGAAATATTTTGCTTCGTTTAAAATAGTGAGGGGTTGCTGCATGCATGTAATTCTAGTTAAAAATACAAAACAATCGCACCGTAACCATTAGCTTCACTTGGCCCGCATATAACCAACTTATGTAAAAACAGTGCTTTAGAGCACTTCAAATCTGCATGTGATATGTTACAAGCTACGAGTAAGATGGTAATGTCTGTAAAGATACAGTGTGTCAGATTGACAAAAATTAATCATTAACATTATAGTGAACTCATCAGTTTAAATTGTTATTTCATTTGAGATCCTACCAAAAGGTATTAAGTCTCGTCAAAGATCTTTCCAAAAAAGAATAAAGTAAAAAAAAAACTGTAGGCTTTCACCACAAGAACTGGTGGTGTAGTGGTGAAGACGGTGATCTGCCAAGTATACAGTCAATGGTTCAAGCCCTGGACAAACCGAAAAAGAACAACAAGGTAATTAGATGAGAATTTGTGAGTGTGAGAGGAGTAGAGCGAAAGGGCGAATATGCCCTCGCCAAAGGCGAGGAGTAGACAGAGGGGAGTTGTCTTTCCCCCGTCTTTCCTCACTTTCAGTGTAAGCTTTCTTCAAAAATTTAATTGTGTAAGGGGATAGTTTGGGATATCTGAGGATAAGAAAGAGTAGGGATAGTTAGGAGTAAATAGGAGGATAAATAGGGGTAAAGAGGTTTAAATGAGTACAAAAAGACTTAAACGTTTTATATACTGTTTTCTCACCTATACCCTCCCCCTGCTCCTGGGAGCCGAGGCCGCCCAATTACTAAGTCTTTTTGTACTCATATACCCCTCATTCACCCTACTTATCCCCTGATTTCCCTAAAGATTAACTTTTATTTCCAAAGATTAGTCAAGTATAAGCGCGAACAACAAACCAACCCTTTTTCTTTCTTTCCGCCATGAGAAACGTACCATCCTGTTCGTGATACCACGATCTTGTATTTGACAGTGCACGACTTTACCACAAGGCTAACTGGCGATTGTTGGAAGCCTACACAAACTTATTCGCCATAACCTTACCATGTATTATTTATAACGAAAATTTTCATCTAAAACGAGATTCGAACCTCCGACTTTCGACACATGAAACCAACATTTTCACCATTATACTACAATTTCTTCTGCTGAAAGGCTACGTTTATTTAATTAACCTTATCCTTTTCACGATCAAGTTCATAATGAAAATTGGTTATGATAGGATTCGAACCATCGATTTACCATTTGGGAGACCATAGTCTTAATCACTAGACTACAAGAACTTGGTCTGAAAGGCTATGGTTATTTAATTTTCTTTAACCTTTTTACAAAGTTCATATTGAAAAACGGTCATGGTAGTATTCGAACCATCGATTTACCACTTAGGAGGCCATTGTCTTCACCACTAGACAACGAGATCATGTGCTGAACGGCTAAGATTATTTGATTTACTTTAACGTTTTTACTAAGGACATAATGAAAAACGGTTATGGTAAGATTCGAATCATCGATTTACCACTTGGGAAACCATTGTCTTCACCACTAGACTACGAGATCATGTGCTGAACGGCTAGGATTATTTGATTTACTTTAACATTTCCATGATGTTCATATTGAAAAAACGGTTATGATAAGATTCGAACCATCGACTTACCACTTGGGAGACCATTGTGTTCTCCAATAGACTACAAGACCATGTGCTGAAGGGCCATGATGATTTACGAACTTTCGATTTTTCATTTGGGAGACGATTGTTTTCACCACTAGACTACGAAAACGTGTGCTGAACGGCTAAGATTATTTGATTTACTTTAACATTTTTGACAAAGGACTTAATGAAAAAGGGTTATGGTAAAATTCGAACCATAGATTTACCACTAGGGAGACTCTTGTCTTCACCACTAGACTACGAGATCATGTGCTGAACGACTAAGATTATTTAATTTACTCTATCTTTTTCACGAAGTTCATAATGAAAAAACGGTTATGATAAGATTCTGACCATCGATTTACCAATTAACTGACCACTGTCTTCACCACTAGACCACGAGATCATGTGCTAAACGGCTAAGATTATTTGATTTACTTTAACGTTTTTACGAAGGACATAATAAAAAACAGTTATTGTAAGATTCGAACCATCGACTTACCACTTGGGAGACCATTGCCTTCACCACTAGACTACAAGATCTTGTGCTAAAGAGCTATGATTATTTAATTTACTTTATCTTTTTCACGAAGTTCATATTGAAAAAACGGTTATGGTAAGATTCGAACCATCGATTTACCATTTGGGAGACCACTGTCTTTACCACTACACAACGAGATCATGTGCTGAACGGCTAAGAATATCTGATTTACTTTAACGTTTTTACTAAAGACATAATGAAAAACGGTTATGGTAAGATTCGAATCATCGATTTAGCACTTGGGAGACCAGTCTTTACCACTAGACTACGAGATCATGTGCTGAACGGCTAGGCTTATTTGATTTACTTTAACGTTTTTACTAAACACATAATGAAAAACGGTTATGGTAAGATTCGAACCATCGACTTATCACTTGGGAGACCATTGTCTTCATCACTAGACTACAAGATCATGTGCTGAAGGGCTATGATTATTTAATTTACTTTATATTTTTCACGAAGTTCATAATGAAAAAACGGTTACGGTAAGATTCGAACCATCGATTTACCATTTTGGAGACCATTGTCTTCACCACTGGACTACGATATCATATGCTGCACATATACTTAATATTTGATTTACTTTAAAATTTTCACGAAGTTGATGATGATAAAACGGTTATGGTAAGATCCAAACCATCGATTTACCACTTGGGAGACCATTTTCTTCAACACTAGACTATAAGATCATGTGCTGAGCGGCTATGAATATTTGATTTACTTTAACCTTTCTACGATGTTCATAACGAAAAAATGGTTATGGTAAGATTCGAACCATCGACTTACCACTTGGGAGACCATTGTCTTCACCACTAGACTACGAGATCATGTGCTTAATAGCTATTTAATATTTGATTTACTTTAACCTTTTGACGAAGTTCATGATGATAAAACAGTTATGGTAAGATTCGAACCATCGAATTACCACTTCGGAGACCATTGTCTTCACTACTAGACTATGAGATAATGTGCTGAGCGGCTATATATATTTGATTTACTTTAACCTTTCCACAATGTTCATAATGAAAAAACGGTTATGGTAAGATTCGAACCTTCGATTTACCATTTGGGAGACGATTGTTTTCACCACTAGAATACGAAATCATGTGCTGAACGGCTAAGATTATTTGATTTTCTTTAACGTTTTTCACAAAGGACTTAATGAAAAAGGGTTATGGTAAAATTCGAACTATAGATTTACCACTAGGGAGACTTTTGTATTCACCACTAGACTACGAGATCATGTGCTGAACGAATATGATTATTTTATTTTTTATATCTTTTTTCACGAAGTTCATAATGAAAAAACGGTTATGATAAGATTCTGACCATCGATTTACCATTTGGCTGACCACTGTCTTCACCACTAGACTACGAGATCATGTGCTAAAGGGCTAAGATTATTTGATTTACTTTAACGTTTTTACGAAAGACATAATGAAAAACAGTTATTGTAAGATTCGAACCATCGACTTACCACTTGTGAGACCATTGTGTTCTCCAATAGATTACAAGATCATGTGCTGAAGGGCTATGATTATTTAATTTACTTTATCTTTTTCACGAAGTTCATAATGAAAAAACGGTTATGGTAAAATTTGAACCATCGATTTATCACTATGGAGACCCTTTTCTTCTCCACTGGAAAACAAGATCATGTGCTGAACGGCTATGATTGTTTGATTTACTTTAACCTTTTCACGAAGTTCATAATGAAGACCATTGAGAAAAGGAGCAGCGTTATTTCACCATAAGCTAGTTATATGCAGCCCAGGTGAAGCAAATGGTTACGGTGCGATTGTTTTGTATTTTTAATGAGGTCAAGTCTGATTTCACAGGTCACAAATTAAAATTTGAGGAAAATGGTAATTCAGATTCATTAGAATGTTTCAACATTTTTCACTTATTTCATAGCTGAAATTGTACTCCAAATCTCCATTATAGCGCAACAGATCTAGATATTAAATAACTCTACTTCTCTTAAGCTGCGTTTACACGGTACCATCCGCTCGTCACAACATCTTCGTTTCCATGCAGCGTACACCTAAGATCGTATAAGACACAGTCACTGTCGGGCACAGCACGGCTACCATCCCCAGTCTGATTTATTTATATCAATTTCTTTTTTATATTACATCCCGTCAATTACGTATCATAATCGCTTAATCATCATGTTCCTCTAGCAAATTGTAGTTACAAGATTATGTATTGCGACATGTATTATTTACGCAATCATTTTGATCGCGCGCCACACTTTCTTCTCACATTAGTTTTGGTCCCGAAAACGTTAAAAGTTGATACAGAAACTACGATCAAAATCTCCCGATTCCTGACCTGGACAAACAAACTAGGACAAGCAAACTTTCCCTGCTCAGTAGGCATAAAGTAAGGTTTTAGATTATCGTGATGGGCTATGAACTCTCGACCTGTTTCTGATCTAATCTTCTTCTACGCCTAGTCTTCCTAAAATATAGTGTGAGGTCCAAGCTATTTGGGACAGAATTTCCACTCCTTTGGCCGCCTAAGCCATACATGCTCAAGCCATACAAAATCTAGTTTCCTGCTGACCCAGCAAGTCCGACAAAGCGAGGAGTCCTCGGAAGGATCGCGAAAGTTTATGATCCTCTCGGGTTGATTTCGCCCATTATTCTGCAAGGAAAGTTCCTCTACCGCGAGTGTTGTGACGCTAAGGTCCCCTGGGATGCCAAACTGCCTCGTGAGTTAGAAGCTAGATGGACGGCGTAGGGGAAAAGCCTACCAGAGAACGTGACCGCACCAAGGAGTCTAGCTAAGTTCCAGGAGCCAATTGAAGATACAGGTCATTAGATCAAAATCATTAGATCTGGTCGCACACGAAAGACAGTATAGAACTTAGTGCTTTAGATTTCAACATATATTTCGAACAGTAGCGTTAAAATTAGAATTCAATCAAGTTAACATTTATTGGGACGGTGAACACTGAACGAGGCACAACTTTTTATATTCTAATACTTTTTATATTATAATAGGGGGGGGGTGTTGGAAATTATGCGGAAATAGAATGATTATTATAATGCATGCAAACGTCATGGGTATAAATTAATACTGCATGCGGATCAATAGTAAGTAAGAAAATTGGATAATTAAGGACAGATTGGAAGTGAGGGTTAAACATAGCCTCTAATGGCATTCCTAACACAGCCTCCTACTGCCATGAATGACTGGTCTTGTTAAAAACCAATATTATAGGTAAATAAAAATATCTACAATCCCTCGCGAACATCTTCGTTTTATATATTATAATTTCTTATCTTCGCTTTTACCTGGGAGGGTGTCCATTTACCAGCTGCCTTGACAGACAGTGCAGCCTTGGAACACTCTGGCTTGAGATGCACGTGACTAGGCTGACCTTTGACCGTGAAACTGTCCGTAGTTGAGGAATTTCCCGAAGCTGAGACTTGCTGACTTCGTCCCCGCGATGGGTTAATCCAGAACTGTCCTCGTCTAGTAGTTTCCAGACATCTTGTAACGACGCGCGGTCGTCTGATGAGAACGAAGGTTGCCATGGCGAGACGAGGTCGTCACGAACAGTAGACGATTCCGGTAGGCCTGCTTTTAATCCTGATTTTAATCAACTGTTTGCGTTCTTTTGTTAATCCATTAATCCGTTGAGCAGCTTGACGTAGTTTGGTGTGTAATCCTTCAGATGACGATACTACTCCCTTCATACCAGGGACTTCTGAAAAAAAAGGAAAACGTTTAAAATTCAAATCCTGACTAAATCATTCAGAATTTTATGAAGTGAATTTAGGGTTTGTTATGTGTTGATGAGAAATGTTGATGAGAAGTTTTCCAGCCGCAATCAATTTACTGTTTTGGAAAAGGTCGTAATTTACAAATTGTGAACGGGTTTGAATGAAATATATCTCCATAGACAGGCGTCATAGCTATATCACGCTATTTTAGGTGGATCAGGACAGCAAGGGATATGCATTCTATATATGGTCTAACAACTGACAGTGGTTGGGTTACATCACAATCTCTACGTTTCAATTAATTCAGTAGATTTAGAATGTTCTACGGCAGTCGTGATTGTTAAGATTCTAAACACAAATAAAGATAGTACTTTCAAAAGCGTCAGACAGTACACTCACCTTTCTCTCGAAGGTCTTGTATAAACTGACTTTCTGGATTGTACGTATTCAAAGGTTTTCCGTGACTGACAAGATCCAATTTTAATGCTGAAAACTGCAGAAAAGCAATGAGAAAATGCAATCATCTCCTGCCTGTCACACAATTCTTGACTAGATGTTGCTAATACTTTTACCTCGGGTAGTTTATCTGCGACAAACATTAACCCATACTTTCATAAACGATCTCTGCAGAAACTCGAATTTCTGTCTAATTACACCGAATACAAAAATTTTGGACATTACGCTCTCAAAACAGATAAATATCAAACGATTATCAGTAATTCTTCCGTATCCACACTATCGCATGTAGGCTGTGTTACACTCACATACAAATTTTGTCATCACCGATCAAAGAGAAAGTTATTTCTTAATCGATACAAAGATTTAAGGAAAAACACTGAAAATTAAGCTCTTATTCGATTGGAAATACCGCCATGGAAATGTTATGACTCCTACTGAACAAGTCTCGAGTGCGCTTTTAAAATACATTAGTTCCTCGCTAACTCGAACTCCCAAAGGGAAAGAAAAATTGATCGAGTTACCGGGGGTTGGAGTTAACTGGAGTTGGTGTCATATTACGTTTATTATATATAAGTAATACAATAAGGTATAAAATCCAATCGAATCATTCTTCAAGAGATATCATGCCTACCGATATGAATGATCACCGAAACTGGACGACATTTTAAAATTAAAAGATCGAAAGAATACAAAAGGAACTAAAAAAGCTAGATCAATAACGACAGTTGCACTATACAAAATCTTTTAAAATTGATAAGCATTTATATACAATTATATACACTGATTAACTTTTTATTATTTCGATAGTTTCCGGTCCATCATATGGCTCACAACTGATATCTTAGGTTCAGGATTATAGCTGCTCGCTTTGTTGCTCAGTGAATCACCCAGGATGTTACTGACCTTCCTGCCCTCTGGCTGATAACTAATCAAATCCTCTCTTAACTGCTTGCGGTTTTAAAAGTACATATAAATTTCGTTCGATTTGCATTAACCAACAACACGGTAAAGTAAAAATGAAAGTGGGTTCACCGTTAAGCTTCAGACTGTGATACATTTACCCGTTTAATTTGTTTTAATGTAATATACCTAAAGAATGTCTTTATTATATCCATTTTGCATCTGCGATCTAGTCATTTAACAATATCATTGAACCTGGTTTCCTAATGATACAGCATCAATATTTCTTTTCAAACCCGTTTTGTAAAATTCGTCAGCCTGGTGTCTTTTTTGGGTTACCTGCAGCTTGAGATCAGAGTTCTGCTGCTTCAAAGCATTCATTTCTTCGTTATCCCGACGATTCCCTGTTGACAACTGATAGTGAAGTTGATATGTTAGTTGTTAAGTTGCTAAGTTTAAGTGCAATGATCATCAATGCTCGACACAGCTTTCTAAAATCTAGGAATGCAGCACTCGAAAACTAGCCTCATTTACACTATAGACTAAATTTATTGGCACGACATATGTTACTGCTAATAAATACACACAATAAAAATAGGTACGCAATGCGTACATGTGGGTAGCCTGTAATGCGATAAAGCTGCTATAGTGGCGAGTAAATATCAACTGATGCAATAAAATATTATTTTCTAGTCTTATGTTCTAATGCCATAGACAACGGAATAAATGCCCTATAGTTAGCTGGTTGAATACAGTTATAACAAAGTCGATTTATTACGCAATCTATAAATTATAATATTTTATTGTATTAAATACATTTTAGGACAGATCAAAACATGTATAAAACCATTTTTACAAGAGATAGGAAATGAAATTTTTAAGCAGAATAGGTGAACAAAACAAAAAACATGTATAAAACCATTTTTACAAGAGATAGGAGATGAAATTTTTAAGCAGAATAGGTGAACAAAACAAAAAGGATCCGGGATGGTGGCACACATCGTCTGATAACATAAAGCTTAGTTTAGAAGGAGAAGGATCTTAACAAAGATTTATCTAAGGACTTATCTATGTATCTGAACAATATTTCAAAGATTTTTGATCAGTTGAAATGCACTTTTGTTAACAGTTTTGTTTTTTGAGCTCCATAGCATTTGGTTTAATAGCCGCATGACAGGTGAAATATTGCATTAAAATTTATAAAACAGGGCAACTTGTTACTACTATTTGCAATAAGGTAATGTATTTGGTTTAATAGCTGCATGTCCACAAGCAAGAAATTGACAGGTGAAATATTGCATTCTAATTTATAAAACAGGGCAATTTGTTACTGCCATTTGCAATAAGGTAATGTATTTGGTTTAATAGCTGCATTTCCACAAGCAAGAAATTGACAGGTGAAATATTGCATTATAATTTATAAAACATGGAATTTGTTACTACCATTTGCCGAATTATAATTTATAAAACAGGGCAACTTGTTACTACCATTTGCAATAAGGTAATGTTTTGGTTTAATAGTGCATGTCCACAAGCAAGAAATTGACAAGTGAAATATTGCATTATAATTTATAAAACAGGGCAACTTGTTACTGCCATTTGCTGAATAAAATAATGCTTAATATTTTTTCTATTAGTGTAACTTTGTAGTTGTAGATTCAACGCTCACCGATCACCGCTTTTTTAGGACAGATCAAAACATGTATAAAACCATTTTTACAAGAGATAGGAAATGAAATTTTTAAGCAGAATAGGTGAACAAAACAAAAAGGATCCGGGATGGTGGCACACATCGTCTGATAACATAAAGCTTAGTTTAGAAGGAGAAAGATCTTAACAAAGATTTCATTGAGGATAAAATACTTGATTTGCCAGATCATTTAACAGTCACATAACAAAGAGTCCAAAATTGTTTCAAACGTTTCGCATTAACATTTTTTAAGGACTTATCTATGTATCTGAACAATATTTCAAAGATTTTTGATCAGTTGAAATGCACTTTTGTTTTTTGAGCTCCAAAGCATTTGGTTTAATAGCCGCATGACAGGTGAAATATTGCATTATAATTTATAAACAGGGCAACTTGTTACTACTATTTGCAATAAGGTAATGTACTTGGTTTAATAGCTGCATGTCCACAAGCAAGAAATTGACAGGTGAAATATTGCATTCTAATTTATAAAACAGGGCAATTTGTTACTGCCATTTGCAATAAGGTAATGTTTTGGTTTAATAGTGCATGTCCACAAGCAAGAAATTGACAGGTGAAATATTGCATTATAATTTATAAAACAGGGCAACTTGTTACTGCCATTTGCTGAATAAAATAATGCTTAATTTTTTTTCTATTAGTGTAACTTTGTAGTTGTAGATTCAACGCTCACCGATCACCGCTTTTTCGTCTTTAAAGTAATTTATTGCTTCCTGCACTTGAGACTTTATAATAAAGTAGATTAAATACTTTAGTTTGACGCGCAGGTAATTTCCCTGGAATTCTGATGACATATAGGTAACGTGTGGGAAAGCGGAGATGAGGGTCAGTATAGATAAAGAGCAGAATGTGCTGCCAATTCATTCTGCTCCTCGCTTCGACAAGGTCATTACAGATCAAATTTGAACCCGCCCTCCTCCCCGTTTTCTCACGCGAGTTTAAAGTAAAGGTATATTAGTATATTCGGTAGGGCGTTTAAATTAGCCCCACCTTTTCTGTGCAAATTGTTTAGTAATTGAATTTATTGTTTGTTGATTAATAATTAATTTGTTGTTAAGTAAAAATTAATAAATCAGCATGTGCGTTAGACAATTACGCACATTGCCAAAATTATTCCAACTCTGTGTCTGAGTTGTTTTTGTACGAGATCTAGAACACAGAAAACAGAGCTCGTCATGACAAGGTATCTTTTAGATATGAAGGGAAGCGATAAAATGTTTTTAAGTTCGTCGCACCGAAATTCACTCAAAAAGTGAGAAAGTATTTCATTTAATTGCTTCGATAGTTAATTTAAAGTAATATCCCGCCCAAAAGCGTAATTTAAAACATCAAAATACCATTCCGCATATGATGGAATTCATAATTTACGTTATAAGTTGAAAAACTCTTTTCCCAGTAGATGTTAGCCCTATTTTATATCTTTTGTAAAATCAACTATTGGCATAACAGCCCGTTAACAAGCGCATTTATACGCTGAAATATGCACTCGGCGATCACAAACAACAAATGAGTAATAACCGCGCAGAAGACTATGTCCGATACGATGACGAATGCAATGACGTGTCGTGGCTTCACCAAAATACGAGAACATATATCACAAACATTCTCAGCGAAGACGGATAAAAAAACAAGTGCATTAAAACAAAAGCCCATAGCCATTTAGAGAAGAAGACTCACCTCTTTTCAAGAATGATGAAGTAAACATTAAAGATGAACCATAGTTGCTTTACATTTCCCAATT